CGTTACACTGATGAAACCAAGAGATTGTACTCGGTGTTGGAAGCGTACCTTGCCAGAAATTCCAAGAACGGGTCTCTTTACTTGGTTGGTGACCACTACAGTATCTCGGATATCGCAATCTTCCCATGGGTCAATGTTTTTTCCTACCTTGGTATTGAGATCACCGAGTATCCGTTGGTTGCCAAGTGGTTAGAGACGATTGCCGCCTTACCAGAAGTGAAGAAGGGGTTGACCGTTCCTGCGCCATATCCTTCTCGGGGGTGAAAGGGTTGACCATTCCTGTACCATATCCTTCTTAGTTGAATTATAAGTTAAAAGTATAAGGGAAGCTTTAGCTGTCTGCCACTATCTACTGAGAAATACACATTACGAACGAATCCCGAGTAAGAAGAACGAGAGAAATCACCTAGCTAGAGCATACGCTCAGTTCACGTGGTGCTATCGAGGTAAGAAGGTTGCTAAAATGCCAGAAGCAGGAAAAATTGACGGTTCAATGTGCAGAAATTCTCACTTAAGCTTAACTATTTGAAACTCGGGCAATGAAACCTAGCGGCGCCTTCTTAATACTGTACCGCATAATTATGGGGTTTTCCATGTAGGAGCACTGACAGAGATCCTCCAAACTGTCCCAGTATATCCAGCGTTGCTGACCTATAAATCGCATCCAAACTGCTTCCTTTCATCTGGAAATAATAAGAGATATGCGGCCTTCTATGCAGAACAAATTACTAATCCTGCCTCGTATCTTAAGCTTCATGCGTTATCGGAGATTTTCCATTCCAAGCATGCACCCTGGGAGCGAGCGGAAAACGCTGCAGGGGGTTTCATACATAAATAGCCGGGCTCCAGCTTGTGAGCGTTTTTTCCCAGATTGCTCCATCACAAAACTTTGATATAAAATATGAGTGCCGGTAAGTTTCCGCAGCTGGCTCACTCCACATTCACGTATACTAACGCGCTTAGCCGTCAACCACATCAAGCTTTACACATGTGGCACCCCAAACGGGTACAAGGTGTCCATTCTCTTGGAACTCTTGGGCCTTAAGTACGACTTTCACTACCTCAACATCCGCGAAAACGAACAGAAGCAGGAATGGTTCCTCAAGTTGAACCCGAACGGGCGGATCCCCACCTTATCTGATACCAACCACTCTGTCAGCGGCTCCGATGGAAGCGACGGGATCACTGTCAACGAGACCGGTGCGATTATGCAATACCTTGTGGACAAGTACGACACCGAGCACAAGCTTTCTTACCCGATTGGTACTAAGGAGTACTACTTGCAGTTGGAAACATTGTACTTCCAGATGTCCGGGTTGGGGCCAATGCAAGGCCAGGCCAACTTCTTTAGCAATCTCGCCCCAGAGAAGATTCCGTACGGTATCAATCGCTACACTGAGGAAACCAAGAGATTATACTCGGTTTTGGAGGATTACCTCGCTAAAAACTCCAAGAACGGGTCTCTCTATTTAGTTGGTAACCACTACTGTATCTCCGACATTGCAGTTTTTGCCTGGGCCGACGCGTTGCACGTGTTGGAAATTGAGATGTCTGAATATCCATTGGTCGATAAGTGGTACAAGACGCTTGCGGCCTTGCCAGAAGTGCAAAAGGGGCTAACGATTCCAAGAGCATCGGTATATGCCAAGAAGGGTTGAAATCAGGGGACGTACGTTAATATAATGTATCTGCCCATGATTTGAAAATATAATGGTGCTAAAGCTTAGACCTGGAAGAGAAGGCTGGATTATGGGATAGAACAGAACTGGAACGTAGATATATATGTTGGACACGGTACATTTCGGGCGGGTATACCTATGTTGAGCCAAGCGCAATGGTGCTCAGATTACGAGTGCGTTCGTCGGAAGCCGTAAACAATGTATTAACTTAATACATCAAAATACAAAGATATGGTATAAAGAATAATACAAAGGATAATACAAAGGATAATACAAAGGTATAGTACAAAAGATAATACAAAGTCATGAGAAAATACAAGGACGCGGTACAACTAGTTCAGTACAAACCGAAAATCATTGAGAGTACCTTTGTTATAAGAAACCTCCGTCATTAGAAATTGATCCACTAGACCAATAAATCTTGTTGCTTCAGAAACCCATTGGCAGCTCCGCTACTCTCTCGGTTGGATCAAACAACTCAACTTCCACGCCCGGTCATCTTCCTTAATGTTCAATTGCTTGATCTTCCACAACTCCAACAACACCAACTCCTGCAACGCGGGCACCGGCGCAATATCTAACCGCTCCTCTGGCCCCGCGCTGCCCGGAGGAGTCATCCTCCCCTTATAATCCTCCACGTACGACACCTGGAGACTCTCAAAATCGGAAATCACCTTTGTCGCCTTCAAGTACTTGTCAATATTAATCAACTTCCCAAGGGCTCCCTCAGCACTGCGGTAGTTGGGATTGCCCTCCACGATAAACGTCAAATCCTGCAAGAACAAGCTCACGTACGGCACCAACGGAAGACGATCAATATTGGAAGAGATCAAGAACGTCTTCAATTTGGCACGGTAAATACTGTAGTTCTTGTCAGGGATCACGATCGAGCTCAAGTATTCGTACAAATCCGTATACTTCTGCAGCAAGTCGTCCCAGAGAACGCCCAAGCGGCTGATCAAGAACGACTGCAAAGACGTAATGATCGCCGCGAGGGAGTTAAAGTTCCGGAGGTAAAGACAAGAGACCGCCACCTTGAGCCACGCCTGCATGTTGGCGACGCGCTGCTTCATGGAAAAGTCCGGCTGTAACATCGACTCAAGCACGTATTCGGAGAGACAGTTGGTGAACAAGACGGAGCGGGCAACGTGTGGCGCGAGGTTAAGGTGAAGCTTCTTAGGCGCAAAGTTCTCGTTGAGCAACTCCTCGTGCCGAATAGCACAGAAGAGACGCGACTCGATGATCGTGAGCTGCTTCGCAAGCTCAAGCGCATTAAAGTCGAGGAGGTGCGTACGATAGTTGGTGAGAACCCATGTCTCGTAGCAGTTGCGGTACCAGTTGGTAATCATCAGGTCAAGATCCACGGGCACGTACACGCGCGCCGTAAGGAGTTTCTCGGGACACCATTTCTTGCCCAAGATAGTGCGGAAGCCCATGTTGATCTTCTCGACTGCTGCAACCTGCGCGGGCGTCACGAGCGGTGCGGTCGTCGTGACCGCAGACGTGACCCCCAACGGAATCGCCACGCTACTGCTGCTGCTGGCACCCAACTCGTAGCCGTCCACCATCGAGTAGCGTGCATAGTTGCGCGTCAACATCATGGATAAGTTACGGTCGGCTTTACTCACCTCGCGGATGCGACGCTCTACGAGTTGGAACTGCGCGCGCGGCAGGAACCGATCTTTGGTATTCTCCACCGGCGGGCGCGAGGCCAAGCGCGCGGCCACCTCGATCAACTCGCTTGACTCGCGCGGGAGGTAGAGCGAAACCCCCTCGTTGAAAAAGTTGATGAGCGTGGAGAGAAGCGGGTAGTCCGACTGGTGGTTCCAGTAGCTCTCCAACCATATCTGGAACGTGCCGCAGATCAACTTCCGACGCTTATTCAACAGAATAGCATCAGTGTTGGCAGAGTTAGTAATGTCAAAGCGGGAAATCAACTCCTCGACAAGATCAATCCCCGAGCTGAAGATCCGGAACGTCATCAACACCGACGAGATGAAAAAGTACTGCGGCGGGCTGGCTTCATTCGTGAGCGTGTACACCAAACTCCGGAAGGAACCCCCGATCAAATGGCCGTCATTGTCGGTCAACAACTCCCGTTCGTAGTCATGCGGGAAGTTGGTGGCCGAGTCGGTGGTGAAGGGCTGGAAAACCGCGTCGGAGCTGACAAACGGCGTGGAGTCCATGGCGGGAAGGTAGGCATTCAAGATGGCCGCCCCATCCGCACTGACACCCAACGCACCGGTCTTGCCCATGCGGATGGTGGAGTAGCGCGCGGAGCGGCGGTGAATCTTGTCCACCTCGCGAATATGCTGCTGGCCGTTGGTGCTCAATAACCCGACAGAGCATTTACGGATGAACGTCTCGGGGTCGATCTTGAGGCGATAGAAGTCCGGGTACTGGCGCGCGGCATCCAACTGCGTATCGCCTGTGACCTCAAAGATGCGACGGATGGAGTAAATTGCGCGCGCAACCGAGCGCACCATCTTTGCAGCCACCTCGATCAAACTGCCCCCCTCGGCCGTGTAGTAGTATGTGGAGCGCGCCTTTTCGTGTTTCTTGCCCTTGGGCGCGCTCTTTACCGCCAAGTCTGCACCCTCACGGCGCTCCAGTGCCGTTTTGGCCACCAATTTCTTTACCCCCGACACCAACTCGCTCACAAGCGAGAGCAACAGGTCCAAGGAACTGTCAATCTCCGGCGGCAGCCGCTCGAGCGATGCGGACGCAATCTTGTTGATGAAGAGCAACTCGCGGAGAAGAAGGATAATCTGATGCGTAATGTTCTCCAAGAGCTCGCATCCCACGGGGTTATGCTCGATCAAGTCAAGACGGCCAATGATTAACCCGAGGTAGTTGAACAACAACGTATGGATCTCCGTCACGCGCGGCTGCACAAATGGCGGCTTTTTGAGGTACGGGATCTTCGACATGGTGTTGGAGCGTTCGAGAATTTTGGGCGCGGATTGCACCTCCGATTGCGCCAAGTCCGCCTCGATCCCCCAGATATCGAGGAATGCCACTGCCTTGCGCAACACTTGGTAGATCAACCGCTGGAGCGTGTCAACCTTGGCCGTGTTCGTGGTGTACTTGTACTCGACCGCCCTGCGCATCAACTCAAACCAGTCGGCGAGCAACACCTTGCGGATCTTCTTGATAGTAGGCCGCTTCGCGACAATTTCAGATGTCCGCGAGATGCACTCCGTCTCCTCGAGCAAAGACCGGACACCGTCACGTACGGAGTTCAACGTCTTGGTTGGAAAGGTCATCGCAGGAACCCGCTCCTCGCCGTCGTGCACGCGCACTCGCTTTACCACCGGCACACACATCGGCTCGCGGAGAAACTTTGCACTCGCCGCAAACAACAATTTGAGCGGCTGCTTCGACGCCGCGAGCTCGCCCGGCGAAAGGCGCTCCACCTTGTCATACTCGTACTCAATACAGTGGCGGAAGTAATTCATCGGCACCCACCCGCGTTGGAGGTTGAGAATCAACGTCACTTCGCCCCAGCCGGACGGGTCCGTCGAGTGCACGAAACAAATGTCGTCCTTCTTGAACGAGAGACAGATGGACGCATCCAGCTCCGCCTTCAAACTGAGTGCGTCGAACGCATGTGTCGCAGTGTAAAAAAGCGCAGAGAGTTCGTTCGTGCGGCCCACAATGGTCTCATCCAAGTTTCCGGTTGCGGGCCCGTTTTCGTCAATGGGCACGGTGTTCCCTTTCGTCGTACGCGGCGTGCTGAGTGCGAAGCCGTTACGCAAGTCGTGCGAGTGCGAATAGCGATGTACCTTGGGCGGGGTGGTTCCCAGAATGGCGTAGTCCCCGTCATACTCAGAGACGGAGCTGGCCTTGGGCGTCACATCGCGCGTGGCATGGACAACCTTCACGGGAGTTTCGAGCTCGTGCAAATCACCCGAGGCGTTCTCTGTGTACCTTCCCCTCATCCTTTCATCCTTCGTGAAAACACTGAACGGCTGCACTTTCGATACCACAAACACCCTTGGGGTCTGGGAATCCAGAGGTTTCTGTGCTCCGACAACGGAAAACGCGGACGACGACTCAACCGGTGATCCAGCAACGATTGTCACCCCGTCATTCTTCACCATCAGGACCTGCGTCGCCACCGACTCGTGGCGCCGGGTGGGGGAAATATGGCCGTCGTAGATGGATACCGACGACTCGCCGTCGCTGTCAAGCTGGCCGTTGCCATCCAACGTGTAGTCGCCAGTGTCCAAGGTAGTGTCCATGTTCACATCATATGGTTGCTGCGTTTGGTCGTAGAACTGGAAGCTGTCCCGGGATTTAGACAAGTCCCGGAATGCGTCCATCTGCGACATCCGCTTGTTGATAGCCGAGAGGGACGCTTCGCTAGGCAACGCCGGCGGGGTCTCTTTCGTGGTTGCCACCGAGTCGTCGCTGTCGTATGCGTCAGAGTACGGCCGGGGCTGTAACGGGTTGCTGGACGCCATGCGGTCTCGGTCATCCTCGCTCCCTCCCTCGCTGGCGGTGTAGAAGGAGTTTACCGTGGCCGATGACCGAATGGGATAGATAGCTCCGTGGGCTGAGACGTGCTCGTTGAGCTTGGGTTCGTCCGCTTCAAGCGGGGTTTCCTCGTCGGAATATCCCTGGCTGGCACCGCTGTCGATTACCAAAGCTGCATTCCCTGCGGTAATGGTGTTGATGCTGTCGCGGTAGCTGGGGTGTGCGTGCGCGCCGGTCGGCAATTCTCCGTAGACACTGCTGGTGGCCATAGATACCGGCGCGCCGTTCCCGGTGCGTGGCTTGCGCGGCACCTCGCGGTCAATATCGGGACTGGGGAGGTTCTGGGCGGGTTCGGTGTACACGGAGGAGGCCATGCTGTTGTGGCTGCCGGGAGAGGTTACAGACGGCTGTGACCAGTACGGCGATGGGAAGCCCCCGGGGATAGGTGAGAGCGGGGAGTCTACGGAACCCTTTCCCGTTTTAATTTGGAGGTTTTTGGGATTTTTGAGGCTGGGGCTGCCAGTGCGCGCTTCGTGCGCACGCCCGGTGTACGTACCGGCCATCATCTGAGATGTTGGCGTCAGGTGGAGGTTTTAGGGAATAGAGTCGTTGCTATGGAATGCTAACGGAAATACCCACAGTGGAAATCTCTGCGGTAGAAAGAAGGTACGACGGTGGATCGGCGTAACCACGGTTAAAGGGATTATGTAGCTGGTGAAACGTCTATTTTGCAGAAGCAGGCGTCAGCGACTTCAAGTAGCAATAAAGGTGATGGTCTGGTGGGGTTGCGGAACCAAATAATCGGGGAGCTCAAATTGGGCCTAGCGTGTATCCTGTGCTGGCTGGGTCAATCTTGGCTGAAACTGGAGGTCTAGCAGCTAGTGTAGGCTTGAGTTCAGAAAAACGGAAATTTCTGGACGCGATGATAGATCTAGATCACGGCTGGCAGGAATCTTCCGAGGGGTTGTAAGTTCTGTCTCTAGCACACGGCGTCTAATTTTTAACAGCACAGCGCGACAATGGCACTAAAAAAGGTACGCACGTGATCTGCTACATGGCCACAGCCAGAACGCTAGAACATGCATAACAGGTACGTCACAGAGGACGAGCGCGTTGGACTGACGCGTTGCAAACGGTCTGACGCGTTGCGGGAGCTCTGACGTGTCGCGGTTCAATCCCAGAGGAAGGATTATACCTGTGCTTTAAATCCTTTTTGGTTTAGCCTACTAGAATTTTGAGAGTTGGGTGAGCTCGGTCCAACAAGGCAGATACTTGGAATGGCAGGTGCTTGGAATGACAGATGCGCGTCAGTTACCACGTGCAATGTACATGCACGAAAAGGGGTGGCTGGTGTCATATAATCTGTCGTCAAGCAAAGCCTATTGCAGGCAGACCATGCGTTGGGCCGTGGGTGTGGAACTCGAGAATATAAAAAGCGCCCATTTTATCACGTTATAATCTGGTTGCGATCAACTTCCATATAGTTGGTCAGGTATAAAAAAGGAAACAGAAGCAATAGCAGGTTGGTGAAATAAGCACGAAATGCCAACGTGTATATGCAATTCTCTATGGGTTCGCTGTAATTAATCCGTGGGAGCTCTGTTATCTTGTGATAAGGAAATCGAGAATCCCAACCGAACCACTTCGCGATATAGTAAATAGCTGTATCTGTTCGACCTGACAGGCATAGTTTAACGACCGAAAATGACCTTCCTTAGAGGATTAGCGCACCCTGAAAGTCTCCGAGATAGCATGTGTTCCGCACGCCAGGTTGAGACCTTTGCACTTAGGAAGCATTTTTGTGGGAATGGAGTGTGCTGCTTCCACGAATATGGCGATTCTCCCGGGCAAACCTAAATTATACCAGATGTGGTATATCTAATAGGTAATAGTATCAGCTAAAAGTGAATACTATTCATCTATAAGATATTCGCAGGGGAAGGATAGTCGGTGACTTTATATACGGAGACGGATACGATATCAGGGCGTCCGCTTATCGGAGATGGTAATGGACGTCGACTTTTGTCAAGTTAAATGGCACTTTTACTACAAGTATACTGGTTAGCTATATGACTTATAAAGGATAAAAGAAGGAGAGATTGACCTCATTATATAAAGTATAGATCTCTACTACGTGACCACTACATACTTACTACTCCAGAGAAGTGGTTGAGGATAGGAAATTGTCAAAGATATCGACACCAGCTTTGTGGCTCTGTATCAGATGGAATCTGATATCGCCGGTTTATTCGTTGTATATGAGCCAGTTTCTCTCCCATGGATCATCTAGTCGACCCCCTACCGTACACTAATATCGATCAGTGGCTATACTGCTTTACTTCAATACCCCTGACCTGATACATTCCTATCTGTTAAATCGGGTTGATTCGTTTGAATTCAAACCCTTTAAGGGTCTGTTACAAGGCACAAGGTTTATGTGGCTTTGTGATATCTCCACACGAATATTAGCATATCCCCTGGTCTCTTGTCTAATATCCGGGCTTGAAATAACGCTTTCAACGCATTCATCCAAATTCTCCCAGCTATGTCCCAACCAGTGTGTCATACTCTATGCGTCATAGTGTCTCCCACTCTGTTTACCGGATTCGGTAGGCGCGCTCTCCTTCTCCTGCTCCTTATCGCATATCTACTGTATGAGTCACTAACAAGACAGACTCAGTGCAGGATGTGAGCCAAAAATCTCTGGAGGTATGCAGGCTGAAAAATTCGCACCGCGGTAAGCACCGCTAACGGAAGTTTCATTGGTCCGCGCTCGTGTTCTCTCCGCTGTCGGTCGAATTTTTCACTCATATATAAGTCTCCGATCCCCTACAGCCCTAGATTTTTCTGAAACTCTCCTCTCCGCATCTCTCACATTACCATGTTGGCTGCTAGACAGACAATCAGACCCCGTACTGCGGGTATCTCCAGCAGAGTACGTATACCGATGGAGCAGTGGTCAAAGGAGGCATTAGGAACGTGACCGGGTCAAAAAAAAAAAACCAAGGTGATAGAAGTCAGGGCATCATCGTTCAGGAAATTAGCCTCCTGAATCTTTTTTTTCCTGAGACATCCCGACACCGCTTTTGTATCCTCTCGTGTCACCTGGAGCCCGAACCAATAATCCTTGACATGCTCCGGACGCACTCGCTAAGTACTAACTACTCAGCTTCTCGCAACCTCTTCCTACACCGCGCCCACAGGGTTCGCGTCGCGCACACCGCCCTACGCGCACCTCCTCGCAAACCTCCGTGAGGTCAACCATATCCTTGGAAAGCCTCTCACGCTCGCGGAAAAAATCCTCTACTCGCACTTATGCAACCCCGCAGAGTCCCTCGCCAACGCGAATGGCTCGCTCGCCAACATCCGTGGCCAAGAATACCTCAAGCTCAGCCCCGACCGTGTCGCAATGCAGGACGCGTCAGCACAGATGGCACTTCTCCAGTTTATGACATGCGGCATGCCCCTGACAGTGGTCCCCGCTTCCATCCATTGTGATCACTTAATTGTGGGCAAAGAGGGCGCGGAAACCGATTTGGCAGCCTCTATTTCCACAAACAAGGAGGTGTTTGACTTCCTCGAGTCATGTGGTGCCAAATACGGCATCCAGTTCTGGGGCCCCGGCTCCGGAATCATTCACCAGATTGTCTTGGAAAACTTCTCGGTTCCGGGGCTCATGATGCTCGGGACCGATTCGCACACACCCAACGCGGGCGGGTTGGGCGCGATTGCGATCGGCGTGGGTGGTGCAGACGCGGTCGACGCGCTCACCGGCACGCCTTGGGAGCTCAAGGCGCCAAAGGTGCTTGGGGTTAAGTTGACCGGGCATCTCAGCGGCTGGACGTCTCCGAAGGATGTGATCACCCACCTCGCCGGGTTGCTCACCGTTAGAGGGGGCACCGGCTATATCGTGGAATACTTTGGCGAAGGTGTGGAGTCGCTTTCGTGCACGGGGATGGCAACGATCTGTAACATGGGTGCGGAAATTGGCGCGACAACCTCGACATTCCCGTACCAGCTCGCGCATAAGCGCTACTTGGAGGCGACGCACCGCGCGCCGATCGCAGCAATCGTCGACCAGGTGCACCGCGACACCGGATTCCTCGCGGCTGACGCCGGCGCACAGTACGACAAGGTGGTTGAGGTGAATCTCTCAACCTTGGAGCCACACGTGAACGGGCCTTTTACACCAGATTTGTCGACCCCTATTTCGCAGTTTGGCGCCGTGTCCAAGGCCGAGAACTGGCCGCAGACCGTGTCCGCGGGTCTCATTGGATCGTGCACGAACTCGTCGTACCAAGACATGTCGCGCGCGGCGCACTTGATGCAGCAGGCTGCGGATGCGGGGTTGAGGCCAAAAATTCCGTTTTTCGTGACGCCCGGATCCGAGCAGATCCGCGCCACCATCGCGCGCGACGGCCTTATTGACGTGTTTGAGGGCCAGGGCGCGATCGTCTTGGCTAATGCGTGTGGCCCTTGCATCGGCCAGTGGGACAGAACTGACATTGCCAAGACATCCAGTGAAAGCAACGCTATCTTCACCTCCTTCAACCGTAACTTCCGTGCTAGAAACGACGGAAACCGTGAAACCATGAACTTCCTCACCTCCCCGGATATGGTTACCGCCATGATCTACTCCGGCGACATGGGCTTCAACCCGGTCACCGACTCCATCACCAAGGAAGACGGCACCGCGTTCAAGTTTGTGCCTCCGCACGGGGATGACCTTCCGGGACAGGGCTTTATAGCCGGCAGAGCGGAGTTCTACCCCGAGGCCGAGCCTCAGCCACAGCCCTCGGTGGAGGTTTCGGTGAGTCCAACATCTGACAGATTGCAGTTACTCGAGCCCTTCCCGGCCTGGAATGGCGAGGAGCTTGCGACCAGCGTGTTGTTGAAGGTTGAGGGTAAGTGCACTACCGATCACATTTCCGCCGCGGGTGTGTGGTTGAAGTACAAGGGCCACTTGGAGAACATCTCCAACAACACCTTGATCGGTGCGGTCAACAAGGAGACAGGCGAGGTCAACACCGCGTACGATTTGGACGGTCTGGCCTATGGGATCCCAGAGTTGATGATCAAGTGGAAGAAAGAGCACAGGCCGTGGTGTGTGGTTGCCGAGCACAACTACGGCGAGGGTTCTGCCAGAGAGCATGCTGCGTTGTCGCCAAAATTCTTGGGTGGTTCCATGCTCTTGGTCAAGTCGTTTGCCCGAATCCACGAAACCAACTTGAAAAAACAGGGGATGTTGCCATTAACCTTCGCTGACGAGACAGACTACGACAGGATCCAGGGTGGTGACGTACTCGCGACCAAGGACTTGGCCGACATGATAGCCAGAGACGGCAATAACGGGGGTGTCTTGACCGTTACCGTCACCAAGAGAGACGGTACTCAGTTTGACATCCAGTGCAAGCACACCATGTCCAAAGACCAGGTTGACTTTTTCAAGGCCGGTTCTGCCATCAACCACATCGGAAATTTGAAGAAGCAGGCTGCATAGCTGTGTATATTACTGTTATTTATTGGTAAAGTAGTCTTCAGGGTATTAACTTTTGATTGTAAAAGCCCCGAGGTGTTGACGAATGGGTGCCCATAAGACTCAAGAGAAGGTCAGAACATGCAAACACCTTTCGACTTCAGCTAGGATAACTGTAGTTCAGTATCTTTCAACCATATATTTAGGTGCTGTCGTTCTTATGCCCAATAGAATCTGAACCACGAGCTGCTGCATGCCGGAATTTTTCACCGTCCCCGGATTATGAAAAAGGCCAGCATCCACCCGTCCACCATCTGTAAGATTCGCATCCACAATGCGCCTAAATATCCTTATAATCCTCTTTTCCATCCTCACGACTCTAGGTGAGTGTTCTAGAGGTGACAGGCTCCCCCGATTCCAGGAATGTCTCTCTTCGTGTATAGCCTCGCTCTGCGATCCCACCCTGGAAACCCTCCACTCGCACGCCTTTACACCTCTAAACCCGCTCCACAGACTTCTTCTCTGGGATTGTGAGTCCGACTGCAACTACCAGTGTCGACGGATAGTCACACAGGAACTCAAACAAGCACACTTGCCAGTGGAGCAGTTCTACGGGAAGTGGCCATTCATCCGTGTGCTCGGGACCCAGGAACTTTTCTCGGTGGTGTTCTCCCTCGCCAACCTTTATGTGAATTACAAGGCGTTCCAGACGGTTCAGAGCTATAAAAAGAGCCTAGAATCCGGGGCTGCGGCCGCAGCCATGGCGAGTCAGTATCTAACCTTGATTCTGACCAGTTGCGCGGGTTGGTTGGCCAGCACGGTGTTCCATGTCCGTGATTTTGCCCTCACCGAAACTCTAGACTACTTTCTAGCCACTGGAATCATCTTGAACCAGTTATTAGTGATTTCTATCCGTATTTTCGAACTATACAAGAAAGAAAACGCCAGGGTTTTATTCAGAGTCCAAGTTTGTGCTGTGGTCTGGTACTTGTTTCACTGTATCAAGTTGCTCCACTTTTGGGACTACCAGTACAACACCAACGTCAGCGTGGTGACAGGGCTTGCTACGAATATCCTATGGACGGTCCATAGCGTTAGAACCTATAGAAAGGCTAAAAAGGACACCACCTTGAATTCAGCATTGATTCCGTATGAGAATAGCGTGCTTGTCAAGTTGGCGGCGATCGGAGTAAAGGCATTTCCCGTCAGATACCTTGGCTTGGTGCCCATTTTCATGAACTTGTGGATATTTGCCGGGATGGCGTTTGAGCTCTTTGACTTTCCTCCATGGTTTGACTTGGTTGACGGTCACGCGATGTGGCACTTGGTTACCTTCTTTCCGCCGATTGTGTGGTACGACTGGAATATCTGGGACTTGCAGTTAGAGAGAACCGATGAGCTTGGCCGGTCAAAATAGAAAAGGGGGACCAGCCCGTGTTAGCCACTGCAGGGGAGTAATTTCCCCGCAGACGGATGCAAAAAAAAAAAAGACGTGCTGTTTGCTGCTTTGTACGAAACGGGGTAATTTCCGAAATATAGCTGAAATGCTATGCATTGGAATAGGTTTCCTTGCTGTAAATAGAGTACAAACCTGGTATATACCCAGAGCCAAGAGTAACGTCAGCTGAACCTAAGGCACATGCTTAATCTGAGCAAAGCCTATTTGATTCTAGGCCTCGTCAAATTTTAGCTCATGCCGAAGGTGAGCTCATACTTTGTATAACTAAAGCAGCCAGGCCTGTGAGAGGTTGCAAACTCACATAAACCTTCCTACCCCGATGTGCGTCAAGGACTAACTTTAGATAAACTCTGTTTTGGGATCTTTCATATCGGGATTTTAGATCTTGGTTCAGACCAAAATATTATTCCAACAACGGAAATAAGCTTAAGTATATATGAATGTGCATTTAACCATAATTACTCTTGGCACACTAGCCAAAAGGCGTAAATATGCAGCATAGCACCGGAATCTCCTAATCTGCATCCGTGCCGTAAGTCAGAGAGGCTCCAGGTTACGTGCTTGCGATGTTGTCACTGGAGCTTTTGTAGAAGGAAAATAATTGCTCAAAAATATGGGCTTTCAAGAAAATCTTTATTCAAGTCCGGAGAATTCCAACTTGGTGTACTTTCGAAATTCACAGCCTGTATCTTTTTTTTAAAAAAAATCTCTACGCTGGGTCCAGCACACCGTTGCTGTGTTAGACTTCCCCACTAACATTCCCCAGCTTCAGCAATAAATATCACAATGGTGTCAATTAGGGCCTATGTAAAGCCCTAGGTCTGTTATTCCTCAGTGGAGCCCTTATCACCGTTATGGGCCACCCTTCTCACCTTCCTGACCCTCTTGGTTTCGCCAATCTCCGCCTCCTCGTCCTCTGAGTTGTCGAGGGTATTCACCATGGTGCTGTCGCTGCTCCCCACATGCAAGTTTGCAAGCGTGGACTTATCCGCCGCCGGGCCGTCCAACAACGCTAGCTGGTCCTTGGGGAAGATATAGTGAAAGTAGCAGGCCCAGAGCATCCCGGCAATCAAAACCCCAGGGAATCCCACGGCACCTTTAGTGTTTGTGATGGAAAACTCCGCCACAAAGAGAATGAGCAAGAACGTAACGTACACGTAGTGCCACTTTTTGTCCGGTTTTGCGTACTGCTGGAACTCTTCCCTACGTTCGACGTTGAACTCAGAATGAGTAAACTCTTTGTCCATGCAGATGAAGCGAAGTCGATTAGTGACGGCATTTCCGTTGATCCCCAAAAGACCCATTATGAAGAACAAGCCCGACAACACGGCCTGTGGAATCAACCCGAGCACCACTAGCAACGGCCTAGTCATCATCCCGATGGTCATCAAACCCTGCACCGTGTTGGTGAAGCGCTGTTCCACGACCCTGGTAATTTTGCCCGTCTTGGGATCGTGCACGCAGAGCGAATCCGTGTGCAACGGCGCCTGCGGGATCAAGCCGTTGGGAGCCGGAATTCCCAAGATCCCGGCCACGCCCGTGGTGATGCCTAACAAGCAAAAGTCCCAGTGGAAGGAAGCTGGCTTCTTCAAGGGGTACTTGGACGCCTGGCAAATGAGCGAAGAGATGTTGTGATCGTAGTAGAACAAAAGCGTGAGAAGGATGGCAAAAGGAATCGCGAGAAAGACGTCGCCGACAGAGATTTTCCAGAAGTGGATAAACCAACCGTCGGGACGGCCACCATCTAAGGCATTCAGGTATTTCACGGTTGGGTGGAACGCCAGGGTAATGGGAAGGCGCGCCAACTCGGTCCGAGAAATGTTCCCAAAGTGCGCAAACCCGGTGTAAAACACGACACACAATGGGGTTCCGTAGTCGGCAAAGATCTTGCGCACTACGGGCTTGAAATAGTGTGACTGATTGCCAAACGCGGCGGCCGCGACCCCAAAAAGGGTCATTAACAAGGCGATGACAATCGACAAGTAGCCACTTTCGTAGCTAATGTCCGTGAACTGCTTCGTCAAGATCTGGATGCCCTTCTGGATATACACAAAGTTGATGAAGAAGCCAAACACTTCGCATGAGAACTTGGAAATGTAGCGGGTGTAGTTGACACCGTTGGCAAAGGCGATGGCAAAGTGCATCACCATACTCCAGAGACAAACCCAGGCCATAAACGGGAAGAAAGGTGTCCCTCTGGGTGTGATGAGCTCGTAGACCGTGTAGTTGAAAATCGAAATGGGGCCTGTCACCCCCACCACACACAACGGCTGGCCCGAAAGCAAGCCAAAGACCACTCCCGCCATTCCAGACGATAGGAGCACCTCATTCACGCCATACGAGTTGTGTGTCTTGTCAAACATGTCCTGCGCAAAGGCAATCGCCGGGAGTAAGTTTGTGAAGAAAACATACACCGTGGATGGGATCACGCGGTAGTCCCAGGCGTCGGTCCAGTCCAGCACGTAAACTTTCAGCCGAGCGTGGATATCTTGCGTGATGCCCTTTCCAAAATACCTAATAAACAGCATATTCTCAGTATAATGGCTCTGGGCGACTCAGAGAAGAGAGGGGGAAGACAGCTTATAAGGTATTTGCAAAACCGTTTTGGTTTGCACAAGGGTAAAGCTTATTTACCTTAGCCGTACAAAATTTCATATATCCTGCGTTGAACAAGATTTCAACCGCCGAACGCTCCATGACGTATACAAAGCACATGTGGGGATAAAGACTGAGGTGTGAAATAAAGGACTTGAGAGTTGATTACAGGTAGGTATAGGGGTTTATTATGAACTGGTTGAAGTAAATGAAGTTTGGTTGGTATTAAAGCCATGATTCAGTGGTAAATATTCGAGTTATATATATATATTCAAACATTTTTCTACTCTGATTTTTCCCACGTGGATAATTTAAATTCTCATAATAAAAATTATAATCAACCTTAAATACTATTTATTTTTTATCCGTTTTACAACTCCTTAATCTTGGAAACTTCAAACTCCACATTGGTTTCCACATCCCAGATGAACCAATCGTACAACATCCACGACGGATAGATGGTGGCCAAATGCCACAAAGCGTGGGCGTCGATCAAGTCCCAGAACGGCGGAAAGTCAAAAATCTCCAACGACATTCCTAGGATAAACATCGAATTAAGCATCACCGGAACGAGCGTATACACCTTGGGCGATCTGACTAACCCGTGGTATCTTGCGGTAGCAAAGGGCTTTGCTTTGGCGGTGATCGAAACCGGAGAGACGACAGGCGCCGCGGTGGGCGGAGCCGTGGACGGTGGTGTCAATAGCTGTGACTGGGTTTCCACCTTCAAGCCAACCTCTGATACACTATCCAACTTTTCTTCAGCCATGTCCTTTGTTTCTTCAACCTCTTCCAAGCCCGCCAACTCTTCCAAAAGGTCGTAGTGCTTGAACAACTTGAAGCAGTGGCGTATCCAGACGGCGTTCTGAAGGATGCCAAACAACACGTTTGCCTGCATGTTGTAGGTGTAGCTCCAGTCGATCATTAGGCGGGCCAAATGGCCAATGTATAAACACAAACACGCAAACGTCAAGGTCGAGAACTTCAACCAGTTCTGGGGCAAGTAGTATTTGTAGTAACGCGTGGTGATAGTGTAGAAGCCGGTCATGACGGTTGCTCCGGCCATGTAGTAATCGGCCCGCTCGGTCACAAGCAAGTCGCGAATGTGGAACACCGTGGAACAGATCCAGGCGCCCATGGTTACCGCAGAAGAAAACATGATTTGCGCGTACATCCGCTTCTGCAGGCGGCCGGCATTTCTGTGCTCGTGGTAGAGCTTGCGGAAACCCAAGAAGTGCGGAACAAAGTTTCCGATGGAAAAAACCATACTGAAGAGCTCCTGGATCCCTGCTACCCGCACAAACGGCCATTTTCCGTGGAATTGCAACACCTCCTCCCCGCGCTCGATGCGCTCGCGCGTAATAATCTGCTGGCACTCGTAGTCGCAGTTCAGCTCACAATCCCAGCGCAACCACGTGAGGTAGTTTGGAAGAGGCATTGGCGAGAAGTAGGCCAACTGTGGGTATGTCTCCAGCGTGATGTTCTGCTCATTGGCAACGTTCCAGCACACAAGCACCTTGCAGTCCTCGCGGCACGCCTCGAAGTCTTCTAGGTCATCGCCTGGGGATGCGAGGCACGCGGATAAGAGTAATGTGATTAGCAAAGGACCCAAGGGTTTCATAGCGTGGCGAGGGAGAAGCAGCCGAAGATGAAGAGAATCCCCAAGGCGCCTTATACCTTGACCGGCAGAACAAATGCGACGCGTCAATACCAACACGTGACTGTGCGGCAAGTGGGAGCCCAGGCGGTCGTCCCAGTTTGTATTTATAGCTAATGATATATACTATTATAATATTTTCTTAGAAAGTAGCGGCAAATTCTTTTGTAGCACAGTTGTATTTCCTTTGGTGGTAGTACCGTGCCAGCCTTGGCTCCTGCAATGGCGTTACGCAATGGGCAGTGTATATTTGATAGGGAATCGGCTGGCCCCCGTAAACCCTAACTTCGTATATACGAGATATAAGCTCTTTACCAGGCTCATTATTTCCTAGGCAACGATTGTTTGGTCTTGGCACTGCTTTTCTAAGGGTGAAGCTTCATGGAGCTAACAAACACAAAGTTGTCTGGCCAATCAGCGAGGGTTTAATCTGGAATGCACCTGATCTGGGAGAATTCCGTGATGACGAAGCGTGGCTTTCCTAATTCCACCTCAAACACCGTGTAGCCCCTTGGATCGATTATATAAAACTTCACGGTTACTATGGTACCGTTTAGTAATAGCCCAGTCCAAATGGCTAGGAGATAGGGCAAACTTCGCTTTTTGTAACTGCATTTTAATCGGCCCTTAGTTGGATACAAAATACACCCCAGGTTTCTATAATGTTGGTATTTATAACTGATAAAAGTGTTGATAGTATAAATTTCCATATTGCCATTATTTATGGTTGATAAAAGTGTTTGTATTTTTGTATAAGCCTCCGGGTCTATCCAAACCCACTTTAGGACCTAGGGCTGGTGATCGTTATAACATTTTCTGACTATGCCTCCCTGCTTGGCTAACTATAGAACCTGGATCCATTTTTCTCAGAGTAGGTTACTGCTACCCTTTTTTATGGATCGACCAACAGCTACACTAGCCTACGTAACTGCTTTTACTTGGCATTCCATGTATTAGTTGGAGGCTGTAAACAGGTTTCCTAGCATTGGCTATTTAAAAGACGATATACAAACACGCAAGAACCTAGAGTGTCCGTTAGAAAGAGGGAGAAATGAAATAATGCAATAGAGTAATAGTGATGCCATATGACGATGTGAAAAATGCGAATCCTTGGTTAGAGTTAATGCAAAGGGGGGTTGGACGGATGCCTTATTGACGTTAAAAGACAACAGCCAGCAAGTCTTCGCGATGGTTCCACGAGGCTTGGATAAAAGGCGACTGTTTTGAAGGGACGGTAGGAAGCACCGTGACCTTGATGCTCGTCAGATAGTCATCCTCCTCGGCTTCATTAATCGAAGAAGACTCAGAATGGGAAAAGACCGAGGGACTGTACAACGAGGGAAGCTGGCACTCCACATCCAGGTCATAGAAAGTGGATTCCCAGGATTTCTTTTCCGAGGGAATAGTTGTGATTGATTTACGCGCAATAGGCAAAATGTTCTTTGTCGTTGATCTGGTAAAAGTCCTAAGCAACATCAACCCTAAGCCGGCAAAGATAAGTAGCGCACCCACAAGGTAGACTGTGCTAATCCCCCCACTTCCAGCGTCTGGGTAATGGCTTTTGAACTCCTTCGTCACCCGGTTGAACTCGCTTTGGAACACCATGGACTCTTCGTTGAGCTGGGAATCGGTCTGCACAACCACAGGAAACTCGTAGGTGAACAACCCCAAGCCTCGATATAATGTGGACTGGAACCCCCTTACGAAAGAGGCTTCAGGAATCACGAGATCTATTTCACCAGTATTCTGATAGGCATGTTCTCTTAGTAAAACTGGGTCGTACGGAAGGGCCACCATTTTAATTATGTGCTGGTTCGGTTTTGTGGTAAAGAGTAGGGTCGGAAAATAGTAAAGGGTATGAAGAAAAAGGGGGGAAAACTCGACGTAATTACCCGTAGGGAGCCAGCCTTATATATCACCCCGTATATGGGGGTGATAAATATCGAGCCTAATTATAGGGTTTGTTAGAATCTTGAAACCAGTGGCTGGTGCTAAATATAACATGTCTGTTGTCAGGACCTGCATAATGTGGAATGACGCAGCTACCCTGCCATGCATATCGCAACAGATTTAATTAGTTACATACGCGTAACGTTTGTGCTGGGAATGTGGCGGGGCACGCGAAACTCAATATTGCGCCGCACTCCAAGCTATTTTTAACCTCTGTTGACGAATCGTCGGGGATCGAACTATTTGTCGTGGATACGCAGCAAGTCAAAATTACGTTGCTAAGTAAAGATAGAGATTTATGGCACACAGAATCCACTACGCGTTTCAGGGTCGTATAACAGGACAATCGTAGGAGAGAGTTGCCTTGTAGATGCACATGCTAGTGCGATTAGTTGTGGGTTTTGTCTGGAGGTTGTTTAGGGTGACCAGGAGGCTATTGTTTTTCAATGCTTCTTCCCATGGCTAGCCCGTTAAATTGGATAGTGCTGATTTAAACACATCCCAGGCGGGTTCAAACGAGCTCTTTTTGTCAGTCAAGAATGTGTGCGCACTGTTAGATAGCCCCTTTGAGTGCGACAAGGTAACTTCCTTAGAACGATCTGAAATATAATCGAGTCTACGGAACCGAGCGCTATACAATAGACACCACCGTATATTTAGATAGGGAATGTGCGCAAGAGGCGTGTGAGTTACACGGGATTCCACCAAGCCTTTGTTACGACGCGTGGCAAGTATGCTTCGTCGAATCTGAAACGTGGCTGTCGCTGTGGCGGTGAAATTTGATCTGGAGATGCCGCTTCTCGATGCTAACCTCTGGAACTGGATCACTCATCTAGCATACTTTATAATAAAGCACTGACTATCCCGGTTTTTATAGCTCTTACAAATGAAGTAGATGTTATACGCTCTGCGGAGGGGCAAATTAGGATCATCTTCGTTTCTTGTTTTTTTGGACAGGACCCCTGGAACAATAGCATGGGGCTACGCCTTGCCCTGAAAGGCAAAAACCTTGTGGGATTCCAAAACGCCTCAAATGATTAGTCCATAAGGAGTAATTTTTCAGATATAGTTAAAAAGAGATATTATCCCCAGTTGAGGGGCCATACTGGCAAAAACAACCCGACGCGGGGGTCGAACCCGCAACCTTGTGATCGCGTACTGCTAAGAGTCACACGCTCTACCGATTGAGCTAGCCAGGCAATTTCTGGAAACATTCTGTATGAGCGTAGATTGGAATAAAGTCACGGTCAGTATTGTTTGCTTAAATTTGATTACATAAAAGATAAACATACACCGGTTTGTCGTAATCATATATTAGTTCGGCCGTGATTAGCATCTATCAAGCCAAGGCTTAGCTCCATCAAATATTCATCCTGGAGGAGTAATCCTTCGGACTCACCACAAGACCCTTGCCCTTCCTGGCACCACGATAAATCGTTTCAATAATATCAATCAAGTCCTGAGAATCCTCGCCAATGGAAAAGTTCAACTTGTTGTTGTTCCCGGTCCCGAAGTCACACATCATGTGCTTATTTCGGAAGAAGAACATCACCGTGCACGGATCATACAACTCGTACATCTGGTTAAAGTCAGGAACCTGGTCAATGTCACAGAGGTAGATAGCTGCGAAGTTTTTAATCTTCTCGGCCACATTGTATAGGTGCTCGTCCATGATCATACAGTCCTTGTCGTGGTCCCTGCCGAATCGCACAATGACTAGTCTCTCATCTTCTACCTGCAGTGTTAGTATTGGCCATAGAGAGTAAATATATTCAGCATACCCGATAGGATGGCCTGATCAACGTGCCTGTGCGCGGTGTTAGTATTCTGCTAGGCGTCTCCGGTACTAGTACCATGATAAGGCGAGGAAGAATGGACATACCATCCGGTGTGTAAGTGGGGTAAGAAAACGGAACCCATTATGTCTTTGTGCTATGGCTATACGTTGAGTCGTGAAAGGATTGTTTTTTTTTTGGTTCAAGCTATTGCTGCATCTGAAAAATTAGAGCCTGATAAGAAATTTTGACGCGTGGACACGTGACAATGAACTTTTAGACCAGTCTTTACGGGTTTATAAATTTATCTTTAAGCTAAGGGTTTAGGTTTGACAAGCGGTTGGATAGATACATAGTATGTATAGAGATGACGCGAATACATCGAACATTGCGACAGCTACAGCGTCAATCTCGTAGATTACAAAAGTCTGATCTAACAAACGCTCCGCGTCGATGATTTCTGAATCGTATTTTTAATTAAAAGTAAAGTGATTGCGGTGGGAAAATCCAGAAGCGAGATCAGGGTAAACTTCCTAATTGGACAAAGTCCAGCCCTTAGGACTCCTCTATCTTGCACCAGATTACGTAATTTCAACCCACCCCATCCACTGATACTATTTTTTTTGCTATACCCTACATTATCCTTGGCGTTTCTGTCAACCAGGGCACATCCAACGAGGAATGCGGAATAGTGCCATCGCCAGCCCCGTCATATTTCCATGCATGTAATGTAAAAATTACTCTGTGCAGGACGCTATCGAGGCTCCTGTCATCCCTTATCTGGTCCGAGTCTTGCCTGACATAATCAGTGCCTTCTCTTGACCTGTCCTATTATTTTATTCATTGCCGTATATCCACTTTAAAGTTCTCCGATCCAAACCATACACGCTTGTCGATCAGCCCCCAATCGCGGCATAACTTTTTTCTTCAATCCACCAGTAACATCCGCCATTAAGTAGCAGAACCTGATTGACCCTCAATATGTACATTCCCTTTTGGACCCGCTTACGTGCACGCGAATGGTTCTACCTTCTTATCTCTCTTCTCTTTCTCTGGTTCGAGAGCCTCGTAAACCTCATCACATATCTCCTTCCGCGAGTGGTGATTTCCCACTGCACCAGCTCCACGAAATGGGTCTTCCGCTACGTTTTGCGCTCTCCCGACGCTGCTTCCGCTAAGGATTTCCCACCTGCTTCTGCTGGATTATCCCCCCATGTCAACTGGGAAAACCTCTGTCTGCTCCAGAGCGCACAGAGCATCCACGAAATGTGCGCCGTCTTCGGCTTCACGGCCACCAGCCACTTGACCAGCACCAAGGACGAGTATTTGCTCACACTCCACCGAATCTCCCGGGATATCCCCCGAGAACGTAACGGGGAGATTGTGTACTTCCACCACGGGCTTCTCATGTGCAGCGACATCTGGTGCACGATGCTGCAAGAGCACCAGAACTTGCCTTTCGTACTTTACGATTTGGGCTACGACGTGTGGTTGGGCAATAACCGTGGTAACAAGTACTCTAACAAGCACTTGAAGCTCCGCACTGGCACCAATGCGTACTGGGATTTCTCCATCGACGAGTTTGCGATGCACGACATTCCCAGCATGATCAACTACATTCTCACTTTTGCCAAAATGGAGTACCAGCACATAGCCAAACCGGCGATACGGCCATCCTCGCAGTTAACCTATATCGGCTTTTCCCAGGGCTCGGCCCAAGCCTTTGCATCGCTCTCTCTCAACCCAGACCTCAACTTCAAGGTGAAGCGCTTGATTGCGATCTCGCCCGCCACCACGCCTCGCGGGCTAAACAACTATATCGTCGATAGTCTTATGAAAGCATCGCCAAAGATCATGTACCTTTTGTTTGGCTTGCGCATTCTCCTTCCGTCTGCGCAGTTCTGGCAGAACATCATGTATCCGCCGCTCTACTGCAAGGTTATCGACGTGGCGAACCGCTTTCTCTTTGGCTGGAAGTCGGACAATATCGATGTTATCCAGAAGCTCTCATCGTACAAGCACTTGTACTCGCCCACCAGCGTAAAGTGCGTGGTGCACTGGCTTCAGATCATCAGTAACTCCAACTTCCAGATGTTCTACGACTATAATGAATACTACTTGAAGCGCTTATTCTACCCTGTGGAGTACCCGTTGCCGTCGATTTTGATCCCCATCAATCTCATCTACGGGACCCACGACTCCTTGGTCGACATTGACATCATGACTGAGCAGTTGGGCAACGGAAGGAACTTGCAGGTGTTTCTGATGGACGGGTACGAACATTTGGAGAATATCTGGGGTGTAGATGTAGCCACCAAAATCTTTCCTTACATAATTGATGTTTTGAAAAACGACAGGCGTGGTGGGTTGCTAAAGGGAAAGGATACCCTCCAGGGGCTCTTGGGAGACGTTATCGAGGAGGGCACGGCTAACTCCACTCTGTACAGTCGGAATCAAAGAGGGGACGAAAACCGCGAAGGACACAGAAAGAGCCCCGGTGGGGAGTTTCACTATGCGGAGGTGTCACTGACTGGGTTGAGCGTCCTAGACGTCAACCGGAGACTAAGCCACAGCTTTCAAAACTAGCGATATTTCGTTCAAGTATGAGCCGGTTACGTCCCCGTTCTGTGCTCTTGGTTGAAATTATTACAAGAAATAAAAGCATGGTTATAGAATATGACACGAAACCGTAAATAATTCAATGGTGAGAGGGATGGTGTTGCCGTCTAATTATCTCAAAGGTTTAGAGCCGTTGCTCTCAGCACTGAAAATTTTGGCCTGGCTCTGTCAATTCATCAAACCGCAGATAACTTCAAACCACCCAGGTCATACCTCTAGGGGTAAGTCCTACGTTGTTCTGAGTTCCGCCGGTAGAGCTATAGTATTACAAAAAAATGGCGTTGTGCCATAGCTACGACTTATAAGCACAATCAATATGTTGTGGTACACACACGCCCGTATTAAGCGCCGGACGCCAGCGCTTAAACAAAACGCCTAAATAAAGCGCCCTGTTCTGATCTACCGCAAACATACCCACACACCTATATGTCATTCTCCGCGGAACTTCTCACACGGAACTACGACCGCACAACCACGCTCACTAGTTTGGTGGAGCTTCACTCGCGCCTCGCGCTGACCGATGACGGCGACGCCGTGTTGCGCGAGCTCAACACGCTCGTGGCATTTCTCTCCACCATTGACCTCCCTGCGCGCAAGGAGGAAGACAACACTGAAAGTCCCGAGGCGATGCAATTGCGAAACGAAGAAAAACAGTCGCTCAGCATCTATAAGGTCCTCTCGGCGTGCTACATTTTGTGCCTCCGGGGCCTTCCGCGGGCAAAGACGTTTGACAGCGCAAACACCCTCGTGGGCGACTACTTGGTGCCGGCGGCAGAGGCCAAAAAGCCGAAAAACGCCACGTCGCGCATCAACGCAAACCCTACGCTCGTGCTCCTCATTGACCTCTACGCAGCGTTCCCCGCACAGGTCTCCAACCTCAACAACGCGGTGGTGTCCGCGCTCTACCGACTCTGGAAACACGACCCGGATATGGCCAACAACCAGAAGGTGGTGTTCTTGCTCGCCACCGCCGTCGGCAATGCCAACGCGCTGGATATCCCCGATAAGCTCCTCGCCAAGTTGGTCAAGTACACCAAGGTCCAGCTCGCGGATACGGCCAACTCCACGCCCATGCTCCGCGACGTGCTCCGCGTAGCTGGCCACTTGGCCACCTTCCAGATGCATGGCCACTACACTGGTCTCATTGCTAGGCTTGCGAAAGGGAAGAAGGCTGCGTCACTCGAGGAAGTGCACACACAGCAGGCCGCGCACCAGGCGGCCGTTCTTGCGACGTACCTCCCATGTTTTGTCGCGGGGATGGTTCATCGCGAGAAGGACATTCGTACGACGGCGGTTGGCGTGCTTGCAACGGTGATGTTCGAGCTTGTGCCAACCGACGCTTCCCGTGACGCGCGCGCGGGTACGCGTAGCTTTGCGTGGGAGTACATTGTCGACTTGTACATCACTGGATCTGCCCACCCGCGCTTGCGCACCAGTGCCGTCGAACTATTTATCCAGCACACGCAACTTGCAATCATCCAGGACCCCCAGTACCTTTCGGCCAACACCGTTCCCGTTCTCATCGAGCTCCTTTTCCGTAAGGTGATCGTCCCTCTGGCAAACTGGAAGGTGTTCCAACACTGGCGCGCGGCGGTGCGCTTCCTCCTCTCGAACAACGCCAACGACTGTGGCGAGATTACGCTCGCCGGCGGTCTAAACCAGCTCGTGCGTACGTACTTCGGCACCGATTTGCTCGACGCAGACCCGGAGACCCCTGCGGAACCGTCCGCGCCGCAGTGCTTGCTCCTTCTTGACGTGATTGCGGTGTATCTTGAAAAGCTTGGCGCCAGCGCGGTCGTGTCCACCTGCAAGTTTGTCGCGCTTCTTGACCGGTTGATCTTGGATGCCTCCGCCGCCGTCCGCGCAAAAGCCTTACTGGTGCTCGTGCAGTACAACGCGATTGAGGGCTATAACGGGGTGAATCTGTTGTGTCAGGGGTTTTTTGCGAAGGTAAAGGAATCTGGTGACTCGGCCCCTTACGCGGCGCTCGCACTCGCAACGATTGTGCGCATGACGCCCGTACGGTACCTCCGCCGGGAGCTCTTGTTACAGATCATGAGCTACTGCACGCTGAGCTTGAAGCAAAAGGCTGGTGCACAGCTGGTGCGCGCGTGCTGCTGCTGGACGGTGCTCGCAGGCTTGATGATCGTGCCGAATTCGGATTTGGTCCAGTTGAACACGTCGCAGTTCTTAATCTTCTGGAAGGGCTTGCTCACGCACAACTTCAACCCGCACTCGCTTGTGGGTGAGTCAGACACACCGCAGGATGTGCAGCGTGCGGTCGCGACGAACATGGCGCTCCGCAACCACGGCTTGGTCGCGTTGCTTGCGTTCGTGTCCCACGTGGCAGCCTCGCCCGAGGTGCTCAGACAGGTGGGCTTCATCCTCGCCAAAGCGCTCACCTACGTCAACAGCGTGGAGGCCAGCTTCCAGGAACCCCTCATCACCGCCACCCTTCTTGAAGACCCCTCCGATCCCAGGAAACTCGCGTTGTACCACAAGAAGTTGCTTGTGCAATGCTACCTCCTGATCGCGGGCCACGTCGAGCGGCACGAAATGAACTCCAACTTGATGATCTTTGCCGTGAAGAACTTTGCGGCGACGAGCTATTTCAACGCCCCAGAGATAGACGTCAAGCCCAAGGCAAAGCCCCAGCCGTCACACGAAGTTTTGCTTCTCGAGACGACCGACGGCTTGTGCCACGGCCTCTCTAGCAAGTACGCGGGCGAAAGCGGCCTTGCGTGGTACGCGGAGTTGGAACTGCTTGCGGTCCAGCCGGTCCCCTGCGATACGGCCAACGACCCGATGTGCTTTGTACTCGCGGCGACGCCTCCGCCGTTGGTCACCGAGCTCGTCGATCTCTCTATCGGATTGTTCCAGGTGTCCTTCCCGTCCATGTCATTAAAGATTCAGCTCCTGTTGGTGGAGACGTTACGCGCGTTCTTGTTCCAGAACGAGGCGTCGCCGCGCCTCGAGGTGGTGCACCTCAACACCGCGCTCGCGATCCACGGGCTTGCCAAGGGCATGCGCGCGGGCACGCGCGTGGATACGGAGGTCGCACACTTCCTCATGGAGACGGTCAAGAACTTGCAGATGCTGCAGCCAGACACGGTGCGGTGCAATGCTGAAACTCTCGCGTTGTTGGTCGCGGGCGCGGCGGGAAACGCCGCGGACGTCACCCAGCACATTGCAACCATCACCAATGACATTGTCTCACACGCGGACCCGTTGGTGCGCAGCCGCAATGTGCTCGCGTTGGCGTGCATCTACCAGCACACCGCGGTAGGCTTCGTGGATATCTACGCGGTGGTTGCACAGCTCGCGGTGGACACGCATCCGGTGCTAAACCACTGGGCATTGCGCGCGTTGGTGGTGCTCTTGGAGAGCCACCACGACAACCTCAGCCTTTGCACGCCGGTGCTCGAGCTCATGGTGCGGATTCTCACCGACGACCGATACGGCTACGACATGGAATCCATCTCATACTCCAACATGCGTGTCGCGCACCCCTCAGTGACGGTCGTCGCGCGTGTTGTGAAGGTGTTGGTGTCGTCGCTCGGACCGGGGGTGCGCACGTTAGGAGGTGCACGCACGATGCTCCGCGACGTGCTCACCGCGCTCAGCCTCGGCATCGGCGCCGGTGCCACAGACGACTACGAAGCCGTATCCGCCGATATCCTACTGTTGCTCCAGGAACTTGTGCTCTACGACCCGCTGTTGCTCTACGGCCAGCTCGCATTCTTTGTGTCGCTTATCGACTTCCAGATTTTGAAGAACTTGAAGGTGACGACCAACGCCGCGATGGTCACCAGCAGCGCCATGGACATCTTTGTCGGGGTCAGCTCGCCGACGTTGTTCCGCTTGGCCATCGCGTGCTACACCGAGTTGGTCAAGATCCACGGGTGCGCGGTCATCAGCGAGAGCATGCGCGACGTGTTGTGGATCGCGATGGATCTCCAACCGTGTGTGGAGTTGACGGCGTTGATAAAACTCTGGGTGGAGTCTGACAAGGATAACCTTGGCTGGTTTACCAAGTTGGTGGCGTTGTACGGCATTCCGCGCGTGAAGCTCTTGCACGGGTTTAACGAGAAGTTGCTCAAGAAGCTCAATGCCAGCACGAACGCTCATTCTTCGGGGGGCGATGCTTCGACCAAGATTGACTTGGGCGACGAGGAGGTGGAAGGCATCGTTGGCGAGGAGGCCGATGACTCCGTCTCCAACAACGAGCCCGTCGGCTGGGCGATGCGTGTGACCCTCGTGGAAATTATTCGCGATCTCTTGGCGCACAGTCGCGCGAATGCGGGATTGCTCCATGTGTTTTCGCTCCGGATCCAGGACTTGGTGCGCGTCTCGTTCGTCAGCTCGTCGTCCAACATCTTGCCGCTTCAGTTGGCCGGGATCCAGCTCTTGGGAATGGTCTTGGAGGTGTTTGGCAACACCGTCGACCCGTTGTACCCGAGCACGTCCATCCTCGAGCAGCAGCAGGCCCAGATTATCTCAGCCATCATCCCATGCTTCGGCACGGGTAGCAGCATTGACTTGGTCATCCGCGGCGTGGAGATCTCCTCCAAGTTTCTCAACTTGCCGCGGATCCGGTTCTCCGCCAAGCAGCGCGTCTTGAAAAGCATGGTGACATTGTTGGACGAGTTTTCCAGCAAGGAGTACGTGCTCTTCCCTCAGCTCAAGACGGTCTCGGAGTTGCAGAAGAAGGCGGTGAAGTTGACCTTATTGGACTGCTGGGCATTGATGAAGCTTGCGGCGGATGACGAAAACGACGAGTCTGAGGAGGAGGATATTGCCCTGGTGTTGGACGCCCATATGGGCGTGTTGGTGCCGATGTGGATCTTATCTTTGCGCGAATACTCTATTGCAAAGTACTCCGACGCTGGCACTGCCGTGGAGGTGGAGATCTACCAGAACTACTGGATCGACTTCATAGACGTGTTGAGCTCGATCTTCCAGCAGGACCAGGCGGTGCTCTTGCAGTTGTTGGGCTCCGACGTTACTAGCTTCTTCTTTGCGGTGTTCAGCGGGTGCATCGAGTCATGCATCCGGAACAAGAACACGGAGCGGGTGTTGAAGTGCTTGGGCAACTTGTGCCACAACAACAGCGCGGTGGGGTTTGTGTTTGATGACGAGGTGTTTGTGGAGGTGGTTGATTTGTTCGACCGCTTGGTGTTGGTGGGCTCGCCGCGCGAGAAAATGTTGCTTACCAACTTGGTGTACAGCATCTTTGACAACTACGTACGAGACCATACCCCGGAAACCGGAGAGTTGGAGATGAATGAGAACATCGACAAACTCTTTGAGTTGTTGCGGGTGGATATGCTATTGATTGTCAGCCTTCTTCCATTCTTGCGCGAGGAAGCCAGAACCGAAACGAAGGCGGTTTCGGCTACCGAGTTGGCGTTGTTGCGCAACTCGTTCCAGATCTTGGTGGCGATGATTGCCAAGTTCCCTAGTGTGGTCAAGGTTGATCTTTACTCGTGCTTGTTGTACGTGTTTGCAGTTGTGTACGAGCACAACAACCCCGAGGTTATTTCGCTGGTGTTGCCGCACTTGAAACAGGTTATCGCCGACGTGAGTACGTTGGAGGTTGATTTGGTGACCCCGTTCTACGAGGTGGTCAGACCAAAGCTCTCGTTCAATGACGATAGCTCGTTGTTGTCCTACATTATCATTCTCACCAACTCCGACGTTCTTGTGGCGGAGCAGGATATGGCCGAGGTGGTGCACTTTTTGATGCAGAACTTGACCAGTCCCGAGCCAGCGCCGCTCGGGGTTCAGTCTGCCAAGACGTTGTTACAGTTTTCCGCCAAGAAACGGGGCTCCGGCCCCTTAGCGGCGCAGCTCTTGGTCCCTGCCTTGGTTCGCCTGATGAAGACCAGCACTGAACCGTACCACAGGCTGGTTGTTGAGTTGATGGTGGTGTTTGCCAAGAGCTTGGCTGATTCCAAAAACAGTTATGCGGTTGTCATTCCCGTCGTGCTTCATTGTGCCGTGCATGATACCCTACACCGATACATCAAGGAACAGTTGTTGGAGTTGGTGACGCATAGCCCGGAGGCGTTCAAGTTTGTAATCAGTTCGATCTTGCCTGCCAGCCAGAGACAAATGGCTGAAGCCTTACTCAAAGCCACTGGAGCGAGTGAAAACGGAACATCCGTTCCCGACCAAGATAGCAGGGGCCACATCCAGTTGAAGTCGTTTGGGAGCTAGCACGTAAAATAACGCGAAAAGCTGCTTTTTATCTTTGTAGTATGCGGGTGCACCGTCCATAGTTACCATGAGGGTAGATAAGATGAAATTTCAGGCAAATCTGCAAAGCCAGGACGTATAAGTCTCTGATCGGCAGAGCGTACTACGGCGATTTCGGTGACTTAGTACCCATCCCAGAGTTTGCTATTCCTCATCGGAGCTTGTCTTGGTCGGGTGAGGGACGGGCCAGACCACCCAGTTATGATGTTCAAGCACAGGACTGCAAGCTGTTTGGAGCTTATCCAGTTTGTTGCATCTAAACATTAAACTCTATACGGGTATTTCCGTAGGCTGTTGAAATTACTCCGGTCTAACCTATCTGTTGTGTGCTCTGTATCGCGTAAGTTTTGCGTGCCTTGGTGTCTGTAAAGCGTGGGTTAGATCTTGTTCTACTACACCATCGTTAAAGGGAAGGTTTGGAGTTGAACTGGGTTGCGGTAACTATAACACCAGCTTATTTTTTGATAGCTTATAACGATTTGGGTTTCGGTGAGGATTCAACGGAGCTTAGCGGGGATAGCGTTGCGATGAGCAACGGCTTAGTGTGTGGTACAATAAACACAACCTAAGATGTTGTCGATCTAAAGTGTAAACTCTCAGTGTACAAGGATTGATACGGTTCGGAGAAAAAAAAGTATCAGTTGAAAGTCTATATTAGGGTTGTTAGGCGTACGAGACGTGTCCATGCACTCCTGTGGAGTAGCACACTTCCGATAGGTACGCACCGACGTAATATCTATGGAGCCTGAGCCTGAATCTGAGCCTAGCTACGGGCAAAACCTTTCTCCTGGTCGATCTACTCCTCCGTCACGTATGGCAATCCCTACCCAAAGATTATTGTAAAGCTTATGGCCTCACCCAATATCTGCATATTCTATGTATACAGTGATTCCAAGTGAGTAGCGGTTGCCCAACCGGAGGTCTCCATCAAAACATTGTTATAGCGGTGAATATTCTGTTTAATACGACCGTATATATTTAATTATTTGTGGATCTGGTGGTTTGATTGGATCGAAGTGAACACGCGTACCGGTTGTGAATGCCCAGGGTCTTTTATGTTTCGGCCCATATAGAGTTAGTCGATCCTTCCTCTCCCAGTTCTGACTTGACAACGTTCACGCTCTTGCCTTTTGGGCCCTGACGGATATTCCTGTTTTTATGGATCATGCATCAGGACAACTTGTACTCTTAATCTGCGCAAATCATGAAATTTGAGTCTAGCAGTTTGTATATATATATATCTGGAAGTAGGGGATCTTTTGTGCGTCTCTCCGTGCTAGTTTAGCGGGAAACTATACGCAGGATATAACTTGAAGGATTTAAGGGCACATTAATCCCGTACTCTGTTTGGTGAAACACAAAACGTTACCCGCAACTTTGCATTTGCCTGATCCTAGATGGGGATATTTTAAATAGGCACACACCACCCTAACTGCGAGCGGGGATGGACCTAGAGGTTTAGCTGTGGCAACTTGGAAAATCACCGGTGTTTCCAGGTTCAGCGGACATATATAAGTTTGTTCTACAGGGATTGCTGGTTCATGTTGATCGGCAACGAATGGTTATACATAATTAATCACCCACTCTGCATGCGACATGTGCTTTCGGGAATGTGTCTGCATGGCTGCCCCTACTCCTGCATCTCTCCCAAACCTTGCATATCTAGTAATTACATGGGATCTAGAGCCGTGAGGCCATGGGTGGGGTTTGGAAAAAATGACGCAACTGGACAAATCGTTTGCTCAAAAATAGAATTGTGTTGCTAAATACATCCACAAAGAGTTGCACCCGCTCTTACCTCAAAGGGCTATGAGAGTAAGCTGATGCCAGGCCTCACACCCCTTGATCAGATCGACATCGCGTGAACTGGGATCAGCGGTACTAATTCATGTACACTCCCAGTTCCAAAGGTCTACTTGTATGGTTGGAGTTTCTTCCGGGGGCTGCATGCAGAGGCTGTTGAAGGTTGCTGATAAGACTGAAAGGCATAGGTTGCAATATGCTTTTTAGGAAAGCGGAGACGGCTCCATCCCCTCTTTTGGCTAGTATTCGTGACCCTTTTAACCATATTAAATCACATGTTACCCCAAGCTGATAAGCATCTCTGCCGACATGCGGGTTTCGGGAAGCCTACAGCATGCAAAGCAAGCTTTGGATATGAACCGTGAGCCATGGTTTGGCATTCAGTGGAGAACTCAGTGAATGTGCTCCAGGTCATATTTACGTTCACGCGGATTGTAATGGCCCGGAGCTCGACTACAATATCAGCTCTACGGATACATGAGATTTAACCGCCGTAAATACCCGATGAAAATTTATGGCACATAACTACATTATCAGCTCTACGGATACATAAGATTCAACCATAAATACCCGACGATATTGTATTCACCAGTATCAGAGCCACTTCTAAACGTAAACAGCCATATATGCTATATAGAGTTGTTATTTTGGATGCCCTGAAATTGCACAAATTGATAGTCTTTAGTCTAGAGCTGGCTAGACGCTAATGGATCGAACCCGACGGAATACCGGTGAGGAAGGGGGACGACTGAATGATTTGGTTCTATAGAAGAAATATTTGTAAATATGGAAAAGCCTAGCTGTAAGCCCCGCATAGAGCACATGGTTAGGAGGTTGAGCGCGACTTACATACACCTGGTGCAGCCATGGAATGTACTAAGGGCTGTTACAGACATACCGAGCAGGTTGAACCACCCGGGTAGACGCGCCCCACATATAAGCTGTCTTTGGCTCGGCCTTACCGCAAGCCCCTTAGGGCTTACCCATATGGTAGTTTCACCTCTAATTTTGGAGATCCTATTGTTTGTGATATGAATCCACCTTAGACGGTGCCTGAATTCCTAGTTGTACCTATGTTCGACCAAACCCCGAAGTCACGCATCAGTTGACTCGACTTTTCTGCTTTGAAAGGTTTTCCGTGTACACTACTATATCAGATGGAACTGCAAGATAGCGGTATTTCAAAGTCCTGCTCGTTTGTATAGGTGTAATAATAGTGGCATAACGCCTCATATAATGAAACATAACCTATCGCCCATATGTATAGGATCAGATACCCCTGCTCTTTACATCAAGTTTAGGAAGAAACTAAGAGTTATATTCCACTAACGGTAAAAACCTGGAGAAATTGTTTGCTAGCCGAGAAGCGGCGCAGTATTAATTAGTGGAAGTGCACAAAAAGCTCTAATTCCTCAACTCCACCCAATGGTTCAAACAAACTGTTAAAGGTGTTACACTATGTCGTGCGTCACTGGCATCCTTCGACTCACCCCCCCCCCCCCCCCCCCCCATCCAGGGGTGGTGTACGGCTGCCCTTATGATCTATATGAACCTCTTCGTACTTATGTATCTCGTGTATAAAGCAGCCAATTTTCTTTCGACTAATAGCATCCACTCTTACCTACTATCTGTACCACGGATTGGCCGTAGCGAGTGGGCAATGCAGTCGTAGCATTAAAGACAGCTCCTATAAAGCTCAGAAATTTAGATACCCAAGGAACTTACCCCATTTCCCAATTATTTATCGACACTATATTTGACGACACCATGTGGCTCCTGTCTGAGAAATTCAAGCAGGTGTAGCCAAGGGGAATTAAAGGCGGCTGGAGAATAATAGAGCGTCTCGGTAATCCTATTGTAAATAGTGCTCGTTTTTTGTTTTTTTTTCAATCGTATAGACTAGGGAATTCTGCTCGACTTATCCATGCGGGCCGCTCGTAGCTACCCGGGACGTTGCAATACACGATCCAAGACGCTTGCCTGACTGGGAGAAAAGCTGCGAGTCACCTGGACCTCAAAATTGATTGTTCTAGGGAGGAATGTAGCGTAGGCGAGGCGTGCTTTTAGTCACCAACCGTTGCCAGAATCTAGAGGCTCTGGTGGCGAGGGGCTATCCACTTTACGCAGAGTGTGCATTCCGGGATCCATCAACCTAACACAATACTAGAGTCCTCGCAGCCGCCTCTGGGTGTACCCAGTACCTCCTTTTGGGCTGGTCAGGTGTTTTCTTATATGACTTTGTTTCTCTGCGCCTAGTAGGATTTACGGGTTTGGAATCTGACCTGTAATTACAGTACGCAAGTTTAATTCGATTATACCTCTGGCTTTGAAGTGCAAGTTCCCGGGAGTAGACGATGTATGGTTGTGGAGCAACCATAATCCTAGTGTTTTGTAGTCTGTACGAGCGGCATGCATGGAAAAACTTTTGTTCCTTCTCGATGTGCGAGTTGCATAACTACGCACGGCGTGTGATGTAGACGTGGAGGAGAACTCGAAAATTATTATGGCATTGGGCGGCAGAATTTTTTTCCAAAGCAGTTTACCAGTTTCCACTCAGAAGTAGGTATGGGGAAATTCGAAACCTTACACCCTGTGTCGTCGTCTTTTTGCTTCGTTAGTAAGGGACACGGGTGTGCGCGACTAGGGTCCCTATGTGCACGCACGCACCTCAAACCTCGTGTACATACGTGATAGCGTCCAAAGAGATAATACGTCATAACACTAGCTTTAAGAGGGACCCCGTTTAAGCCCGCGTGCCCAGACTCTGTAGCTTGTTTAGAAGATGGAGCGCCCCCAAGACTTATCCACAAAAGACAGCTTTATGAGCTGCGGTTACGCTGGTTTAATATAGAGCATGGGCAGAGATCTAGAAGAACAAATGGGGGAGAGGAGGGAATTGGTACCTTAGCTATCGGTTATCCCGCAGCGCGAGCTGTACAAGATGACGGAAAAGAAACTAGCGCTTTTCCCCCATTACACCTGTACAGATATCTACCAAGCTTGGTAAAAAGCCTGGCCAGCTAAATACGAATGTATCAGCAATTACCTAGACATTCCTTCGTAGTCCCAAGGTGTTCTAGATTTGCCACATTTCGACTTTGGCGCCTCTAGATCATGCGGCGATAGGCCTTCACCCTTGGTACTAGGGGCCCTGGAGTCTGGTAATAGGAGTGATTCTTATTAATGCGGAATCGGTGCTACCCTTGCCGCATACCCCTCTGGCCTGAGAACTTTGAGGTCACTCCTGTCAAAAACAGGCTATCAGTGTCAATATGATTGCTATCGCTGGACTTTGTCCGATGTCTACACCTGTAAACAATAAAAGGCTTGCAAAAGATTAGCTTTCAGGTGTGGTGGTATGGCGAATAGGCTAGCTTTTTTTGATTCATCTCATGTCTATTATGTTTGCAACGAAGTCTTCCAGGATTTTGCTTCAGCAAAACTAGGTTTCTAAAATAAAAAATCTGTCCAGCACATGATTCATGAAGCTAGCCCTAGCAAGTTTCTCTAGTTGTCTCCCGGGATTAGATCGGTAAATCACCCTCGCCTAAAACAAGCATATTCCTCGTCTATTATGACCGTCATTTCTCAACACGCTTGGGCTGCGGAACACCATACCCAAGTTTTAGTACCACCACGTCTAAGACTTGGAATTGCTTATAATAAATGCGCGAGCTAACCGTGTAACCTCCGTGTACGATCTGTATTTCTTCGATAGCATGACGCGTACTCGTCAGAACCTCGAGATAGCGTCTAGCCGTCTCTATTGAACACGAGAAGCCTGGTTCTAGCTCTCAAAGTTTGGTTTCTCGAGTATTTGCTAAACTATCATCAAATGGGACCCAGCGAGCGGGGTTGAGTCGATGTTCGTTGTATTTACGGCCCAGACTATTTGACTCGGAGTCCCGGTACGGTCGTGCTAAAAAGTATGTCCTAGCTTGGCCGCCAGGGTAACGAAACAAAGCCAAAAAATGGGCTTTATCACTACCTCCATGGATCCGTCCGTACGGCCCAAAGACATGATGCTTTTTCTGTCCAGGTTGAACCGGGTCTAAGCTAACAGTCCGGGTTAGCTCACGGACATGTGCCAGCCGCCCTCATGGCGATGTCTAGATTGATTGCACTGATACAGAGGCCCGCCGATTTTTCCTCATCAAGCAAAATGCTCGTGGTAACGATGCAAAAGCGTAGGGATGGTAAACGATACGTCCTTCAAGGATTGCTTGGCTGGCCCCGGTAAACTGATATAACACAGCAACTGGCTTCACCAACGCAGGAGCTGTTGGCGGGCAACCCTGGATCCAGCTGGCCGCTCCCGTGCACAGTCTCCCCAGCGACTGGCAACGCTCACATGTAACCCTCTGGTAACGGGAGCGCAGCCCTACACATATGTGCATGACGTGTGTGCATGATCTTCAGAAATATGGCACTAGACAGGCCTTTGTCCTGCATACCCACCTACAGCTGCGAGATCTTCTCAAAGTGGGTTAAAGACCTCAGCACCCACAAGCACGGGGGCTTTAGACTGTGGAAACCCCGTAATTCTATAGTTTGGTCACGGTTGGAGGGAAGGCTCCGGTAATGCCAGCATAAACTTTGATAGAGAGCACATGGTACTGGCAGGACACCAGGCCACTCTTAGCCCACCAGGCCACTCTTGGCCCACCATGCCACCCTCGACCCACCATGCCATTCTTGGTCCACCCTGCGCTCATTTCTATTGCATCCTCCGCTTTCGATGCCACCACGCTTTTCCTTTCGATCAATGCCCAACCGCCTCCGGCATGTGCTGAAAACGGGGGGCCCAAGCCGAAACATGTGGCTCTGCATCTGTATGGAAGATTTACGCAGGTAGTATATCCGGTGCATGCATCCGTATCCTGCACAGCATTCCGCTCTCTTTTCAGTTTATGCTTTACGTGTCGCTTGGGGGATTCACTGACTAGTAACCACGGTGCGGGCACATTAATTACGTACGTGCCTCGACATAGTAACCGTAGGCAGTTTCTAATACCCGAGCAGTCTGTTAGATCCTCGCATCTGACGATTTCACTCGTCGCGCACGGCAACAAAAGAAAGCACACACCTTTCTTTTTCGCACTGAAGTTTTGCTAATCGCATATATATAACTAACGCTTTCCCTCCTTTCTGCTACTCGTTTCGTGCTCCCATCACTGTCTCTCCCTGGGTCTGTTCATCCCTTCATTCATTTCACCACCTTTCGGTTCTTCTTTCGGTTCTTTCATTTCTCGGCATCAACTTTCATCGGCTCGCCCACCAACCCTGCCTTAGCATCTGTCATAACATCCAGCCATTAGCATCTGCCGCTCCATTTGACATCTTCATTCGATACCTGCCATATCACCTTCACATCTGTCGCTACGTTTTGAAAACCGACATTTCACCCCATTGTTGATCCCATTGACTTGCATTCCCACCCATTATGACCTCGCCAGACAGATACATCGGAACCAGAAACCGATGCGCGGCCGTGCACGCACGCGCGCCGCGCCTAGTTGCACGCGAGACCGCGACACACGCACAGACCGTGTGCGAGTACGACCAGCAGCTCTTGACGCACGCGCTACAGCAAGAGCAGCCAAGCGACACCGGGGCCCACCCCTACCTGATCCCCTCCCTCGATCTCTTCTCGCAGCAGCCGGAAATCAACCTCCGCATGCGCCCGTTGCTCCTCGACTACCTCATGGAAATCATCCACAAGTTGAAGCTCCACGCCGAGGTGTTCTACACCACTGTCAACTTGATTGACCGCTACTGCTCCATCCGCATCGTGCGCAAGCAGCACTTCCAGTTGTTGGGGCTCACGGCGCTCTGGTTGGCGTCCAAGCTCCAGGAGAACAAGCTCAAGATTGTATCGTTAAATGACCTCCTTGCCATCTGCTGCCACTGCTACGCCAAGACGTTGTTTGTGGAGATGGAGCAGCACATCTTGAAGTCGTTGGGCTGGATGATCAACGCCCCGACCGTCAACTTGTTCACCACGTTGCTCACCGACAACTCCGAGACTCTCCACGGGTGTAGTTACTTGGGCGAGTTGTCCCAGTTCTACCCGGCCGTCTACTACAAGCACAAGGCGTCGGCGATCGCGCAATGTGCCATTGACTTGGTCCACAGAGCCGCGGAGTTCGACGCAACCTTCTGCGCAAAGGGCAAGCCACACTCACTCACGTCCGCAATGGTGCAGACGTTCACGGCCATGGCGCGTGCACCGTATGCGCCGCTCACCGCGACCTTGGTTAAGTACATCAAGTGCCCACCCCCATCGCTCAAGGTGCGTTACTTTGATGCGCCGTCGCGCACCATGACCCAGTTATTACAGTTTGCCAACTTCCACAAGGCCTACGTCCAATTTTCTGAGCAGAAGCTCATGCCCTCCACCCCTCGCTCCGATGCTGGCATCGGGGCCTACGCCATCTCTACCCCGCCGTCTGCCTCTGACTACTTTGATGCGGCCGTCACCCCTGTCTATTATCAGAGTAGTAACGCGCTTCCGTCGCCTGAATGGTCCCCGGGAAACATTTCTCCTGACGACTGTGTTCTCTTGAGCGCCACACCCGTTTCCGGTTACACCACGCCGCCCATCACCCCGCACGAGGCTGGCGCCCGCAAACGCTCGCATCCGTTGCTGAGCTGTGTGTCGTCGACAGAGACGGGCTTGATGATGCCCGCAGTGGTAACCACCAAGCGCTCCAGATTTTAAGAAATAAAATGTGAATGATTGCAAGCAAGCTGTAGAGTTGAAATGATAGGACGAAAAGCTGTAGCTATTGAGTTAATAAAAGGGGGCGGGGTAATATGGTTTACAGAAATATCCATGAGTTTAGGTTTGTGGTATCAGTAAAAGTGGTATGGGAAACCCGTATGTTTTTTTTATATATATATTTTGAGTCATAAACTGGGGGGTTAAACTCTAGGCGGTTTGCGGTCGATGAAAAAAGGCGATGGTATCGATAGCCCGGTAGAGAATTCTGCCTTGACAATGAGATGGCGAAAGTGTGAGGTCGGTTTACGTGATGAAAAATAAAGGAGATAAGGAAAGGATAAATATGGCTGAATTTACGAGTCTCTAAAGTGACTAGAGGTACTTTGGCTGGCATTCCCGAATATGAACACTCAACGCGGCGTTTTCATACAATACAAAGTTCTACTGGATGGCTAGTATAAGTATCTCATCATGAGAATGCCTGTCCCGGTTAAATACAGACCACATAAGCGGTTGTTGACGACTCACTTCTAGCCACCAAGGGTAATACGGTTCGGATTTCTTTCGAGAATCCCTACACCGCTTGTATGCTTCCCCTGAGGCTCTTTCCCGACGTTAGGCACTGTCACGAGTATTCACAGCTAATTCCAGGTCCAGAATAGAGCCCCCTTCAACCGTATATCAAGGTTTTGAAACCACTATCTCTCGGCTACCACTCCAACCGTGTATGTAGCACCGTGCTATGCGGCAGGTTGTAAAGGTGGGTGAAGGGGGTTAAGAGGGCATAGCCCTGTTCTGGGCAAATCCGCAGTAACGAATTACTCGTACGAGGGGGCTGAGCACACATGAACCTACATAACAACCTTACACGGTTCCCTCGGGCCTGTGAATGATTGAGAAAGTACAGATAGGAGGTGGCCGGCCAGTTTGCTGGTTCCTATCCCTTAAAACGATACGTAAACCAATAGGGTTAGTGGACAGAGCAGCTCTAACGCTCTTATCGCGTGACGCGCCGCACGACGCGTGTAATTTTTCAACATTACATGCAGTCTCTGATCTTGAAATTCTCGGCATCTGGGGGGTAAAAGTGGGGAGAGCTAATTATGCGCAGGATATTATGCAGACTTAAACAAATCGAACGCTCATGGAATCTTGATTGAGCCGCATGCGCCGCATACATAAACCTTACCTCTAGCAGTATATCTGCTTCCGGGCAAGGGATGGTAACTTCCGGGTAACGGAAGCGTTTGATCCAGGGCCCCGGGGAGGGTGCCATGGGTTATTCACCCAAGGCGCCATTCGGAAACGTCTCCGTCTTCTCAGATGGTTAGTTTTATCGACAACGCGAGAACCTGGCACTAGAGTCTGCTAATTCATAGTGTGTTGTCACCCCTTCCGGTGGTTCTTCCTTCCTCTTTCGGGTCTGAAAAGTCCCTAGAGGTGATTCTACGAGGTTATTTTTAGTTGTGCGTCGATCTAGAAGCTGTAAAATGCGATATCCCAATTTCTTCTTGGCCTTTTTCCCAGGACACAGAAAAGCCCACACCCCCTTCGCTGTTTCGGGCACAAACTTTGGACATTCGTGCATGGTACGGCAAAATGGTTGAAGGTTGCTGCCAGCCTAAGGCAGCCTTATATGTACACCGACCCAACAGATTAACACTGTCTAGGCCATTCATCGCTGTGAAGACGGTTCTAGAGTTCATTATAGCCTTTGTGGAACGTGCTTACTGCTCATACCAACAGAATGTTGCGACTCAGATTTCTTGGTGGCTGCGCCGCACTAAGGATCAGCACCAAATTTTTCTAAGGAAGAAAATAATTTTCCACTTTGGGAAGGGCACGTAAGTCTGACATGGGTTTATGGTGGCCTTGCTACCCAGGAATGAGGAACCAAAGTCCCTGAATTCCCTAGTCTATAGTTCACAAGTATATTGCCTCGTATATTTTCATTCGAAAGGAGAAGCCAGTTGCGGTGAAATTAATGCCAGTTTAGTGTTACTAATGGTTGGAAATCGCTCGTGTAGGGACAATTATCATGGCAGAAAGAGATTCGGTGCTGCGGTAGAGAACGTCATCGTCTTGGCTGGACAAGGAGTTAACTAAAGCTGCACGCTAAGATACTAACAAGGGCAATCTTAGAGTGCATGGGTCTAAACAATATGTAAGTAACAGGGAAGAGAGACGTCCATGCTTGACCCCCCGTAGTATCTTCGATTCAGAAGTACGAACCACGGATGTATCGTTTCTCCTGGTCAGAACTATTGTCCATTTTCTTCTAAAGCAACCGACAGCCGCGGCTTCTCAAATTGATATGGCTGACCCCCAGGCCTAAAGATCTACGTGATACAGGACAATGCCGATTTTGCACAATACGATTTAAACCCAATGTGCTTTTATAGCCCTACCGAATTATTAACCGAAAGTGGATACCCAAGGACTCGACACTTTCTCAACTAGCTCTGGTTGTAAAAGCTCCGCGTTGCAACATCATTGCCCCTCATATCCGGGTTTTGCAGGTGCCATGTCTCAGTTTTTCACACTGCATAAACCTGTGCATCTGATGCAACTCTGTGCCAGGGTACCTGCTTGCTAGTAGCACACACGGAATGTAGATAGAAGTTGACCGTGGTTACTCGAAGTACGTTGTCCTTTTTGTTTTATAGCGCTTCGATTGAAGAAGAGAATTCGTACAGGGTCTAGGGTGGCTGGCTGCTCGATACACAACCAGTCTTTAGTGCCTTTTGTTTCTCCTCAGCTTTCTCGAATGACCAGGCATGGGCTCTCTTTAGCCTTAGTCAGCATGTACAAGGACACGATGTGTAAAATTAGTGCAAAAGACATGCGGGATAGGCGAGGACTATTGATAGCCACTTTGAATGGTTACGGCTATTCGCATGGAGTAGTACCATCCGAACAGCCCTCCGTGTCAAGGAATCAATAATATTACTAAAAAGAAAAAAAAAAGTGGTTACCTGCACATGTTGCCATGGACACCTCACACCAAGTCCACATATGGAGACTATGGTTGGTCTCGTTACATTGTTGCTTGCAGTTACCACTGGTTGGACTGAATAGGTGACAATACCCCTTACTATAACAAGCAATCGGAGAATTGTATGCCAAGCACTTATCGGGCCCTTTAGTGGTTAGCAGTAACCATAAGATCTACTCAGCGCTCATTTGCAACCTACTCATCAATGATTTAGTAAAAGTCCACCGGCGGTGAGGTATTCACCCCCAAAGGCTACGATCGGTACATTTTTCAGCACCCATCCCGGCCAGCTAGTGAAAAGAGACTGATAGGTTTTCAATGGCTGCGGTGACCTTGGTGATAAGGACAGTCCCGTGCACGTTTCTAAAGTTTGCACTATGTACAGGCCACACCTAGGCCAAGATACCACGGCAACGCACTCCAAGTATGGATATTTCCCCAGTATCCGGGATATCTCTAGCTACCACTGACATATCTAGTGCATCGCATAAGCACGTACTCACAATCACACGCGTGAATCAATGACAACCGTCGCGGTGCGTTCAGAGATCCGTAGGGAGTCTAGTCGAATCCACCAATAGGAAACTTCAAGCATCAATCATTATGTCCACGTGGGAGGTTGATAGCTGCAGAAACTAAATTTTAGTAAGCATAACTGTATACCCATGCCTGGGTTTAGTCAAAGTTAATTATGACTACACGACGGGTACCCTGTAAATAACAGCAATCGTGATTTGTCGGATGATCACCGCCGCAGGACTCCTGTTTTCAGCCCTATTCGATGCACGTGTGTATGCATGCTGGGATTCTCGGCCGTAGGGCTCATGTCCTGATCTTCACATTAATTACGTACGTAGCACACAAGCCTGGATGCACCTCAACCGTTGGTTTTCATAAAGCCACCATTATTAGCCGTATTATTCATTCTTCTTCCTTCGCCGCTCTGGTTCTCTGGAGTGCTCTCGTGGTGGCCTAGTTCTGGGCCAGCCTTCATTGAGGCTTCCCCTTCGTCTATACCTGTAAAGCATGACAGAGCAGCACCGATCCGCGTTGCGCACCGTCAATCCTCCATGTGCACGTTATCTCCAGCATTAGACGTTGCTGGCAACGCTAGGATAGACATTATAATCTCCAGCTACGATTTTGAAACCCCATCATAAAATCAGGATTCACTATCAATCGCCCGGAGGCCCTTGGTACCACGGCATATCAACAACGTTGTTCCCAGAGCCCAGTCTAGGAAGGTCCGGATTCCGTAAACGTAGCATACTCCCCGAACCAAACGTGGCTTGCAGAGTTGTGGGGAGATTGTGCCAGCCCGAAGATCTGATAGGGGTTAGCGGTTCTCTGAGGCACGTATTTCTCATCGGGGATTACCTTATTCTGCGTTTCAGCCCTTATCGTTGTTTCTAAATAGTACCTTAACGAATGAACAAATATGCTTTCACCAGTATTGTTCAAGGAGGGGTAAGCTGGAAAAAAAGGTTTGCACATGGTGTGGGAAGGCTATAAGGGAGTTATGCGTTTGAGGGTCAGATCTGTCCCTCCTACCCAGGAAATATACGGCTCGATCCCAAGATTTCACTCGCGTTATGATTAGTTGTCTAAATTCTATACACATACCCCAAATTACATTAACCTCATTGGCAGTACGTGTGGTGGAGTCGCGTTTCAGTCTCTCATATGCATCGTTCCCCGCTATGTCACGTAATCTCATCGCGTTAGCCTCGTGCCACGCTAGCCTAGCCGCGTTGTCCTACCTAGCCCATCTATTAGCACTATTCTTACTCTCTACAATGTATTCTATACAGTCTCGGTTGACCTTAGTAGCTCACGGTTGATAAAAACACAGTACAGCGTGGCAAAAATCGAGAAAGCGATTGATAGTAACGATTATCCTCTTGGGTCTAGGCAATGCTTTGATCTAAATCAATCACGATTTGAATAAGCTGCAAGAAAACAGCATGTTTAACGGATAGCGAAGCGATCTAAACCCTTGTAATGGTTTACTCCGAATCCTAATGCTGTTTCTTAGGATCGTTTTAGAGGCTACACCAGTATACTATCAACAACAGTTTCTGCGGTTGGTAAAGTGTCTGACATGACTATGAAGTATAATCCATGAGGCGTCATTTTGGTTAGTGAAAAGATACTGAGGCTCCCCCGGTCAACAGATATACGCTGGGTTTCGCCCAATCTCCTGAAATAAACCATTGAGTCGTCAATTAAATTCTATATTCGTCACCCCCCCCCCCCCCCCCCCCCCCCCCCCCGTAACCATTCTAAAGCTCCAGCCATACTGCTATACAAAGAATGGCTTTTTCTGTGAAAGCTCAGCGCTATATACAAAGGAACTATCACACGGAAATTCTTAGCGAGCTTTCCCCGACCCCGCCTTAACCAACATCACATCACCATCCTCCACAATATACCCCTTCCCGGCCTTGACAATCTTCCCCGCATTCTTCAACTTGGCCTCGTTCAACGGCGCGGTCTCCTTTACCAAATCCGCCCACTTCGTCACGGTCGCAGAAATAAACGTCTTCTCCAAGTCTGTGTGGATCACACCTGCGGCCTGTGGCGCGGTGGTGATGGCCTCCCTGATTGTCCACTGTCTGGCCTCCATCGGCCCGCAGGTGTAGAAACTGATCAAGTGCAAAACCTCGCGCATGCTGGCAACAATCGCCGGGAGAACGCTATCCACGCCGCTGTACATGTCTCTGTACTCCTGCTGAAGGGCTGGAGTCTCGGCCAATTCGTTGTACTGGGTTTCAAAGGCAGCAGAGAAAAGCATCAACCTGTCACCCGGGGAGTTTTCATCAATCCAGGTCTGGACCTCGCCAGAAAACTCGTTCGTTTGCGCGGCGTAGTCACCTTCGTTTACGTTTAACAAGTAAACCGTCGGCTTAGCGGTGAGAAACGTGTGGATATTCAAAATATCAATTTCCTCTGGCGTCCAGTCCTTCTTGGAAGCCACTCGCTTTCCCTCCGAAAGCCAGGTTTCGGTCTTTTCCAACGTGGCTAGCTCTTCCTCCGCCAGCTTGCGGTCAGGGCTATTCTTATTTCCACCCTTCACACGCTTCTTGCACCGTTCAATGGCACCTTCCACAAATTCCAAGTCCTTCAACAAGAGCTCATCGAGTACCACGGTCAAGTCACGGACGGGGTCCACCGACCCTTCAATGTGCGTGATTTCGTCATCGCGGAAACCACGACACACCTGGTAGATCCCATCCACCGCGCGGATATCGCTCAAAAACTTGTTCCCTAACCCTTCCCCGGACGAGGCACCACGCGTCAATCCGGCAATATCCCAGATCGTCAAACTGACCGGAACTTGCTTGGCGGAACCGTACAAGCTAGTCAAGTGGTCGAGCTTGGGCGACGGCACCACAATGCGTGCTTCCTCGGGGTCAATGGTTGCAAATGGGTAGTTGGCAGGGTTTCCAATCGTAGATTTGGTGATGGCCTGGAAAAAGGTAGACTTCCCCACGTTGGCGAGCCCAACGATCCCGCTCGACAAGTTGTTGCTGACACGGCCCAAGTACTTGGCAGGGGTCCCTATCTTGGCGGTCTTGGGTTTAGCGAGAGCCAAGGCCGTTGCGGTAAAGGTTCGTCTGAATGTCTTCATCGGTAGAGTGAGGAGATGAGATGGTGTAGGAAGTGGGATAAAGATGGTGAAAAAATCATGCACCCTGTACGAGATGAGGACGTCGGAGGATGCAGGAATACCTGGGAGGATAATTGCAAGATGAGTTTTTTTTAGCTATATATTTGTGAGTTGTGGAATAACGTTGCCGTTGGAGTCGTAGTTGACAGCTGGAAGCACCTTTGCGAAGCCAACAGTGACATTTTTCGTCGTCCAAGCAGCCACCACTACGGTGAATCCCATCGGAACTTTTAACGGTGGACAATTTAGAACAGTTTGAATCTTTTCAAAATTGATAGATATATATATATATAACTGTCTATCACTACAAAGGAGCAACTATATCTTAAGCCTAACATATCCGTCTATTTCTCTTGATCGTGTAATGAGTTGTAATGCTCTCCTAAGCCAAACGCATGCTTATAATACGCAAGCTTCAAACCCGGAGCCACACCCTCTTCGTTCATCCGAAGCGGGGCCCTGCCGCTCATCACAACGGTTATCGGGCAATTGTATTCCACCGCCAACGCCAAAATCTCCATATCGCCACCCCACATTGGCGTGTTTTCGATTTTCTCCGTGTACTCCGTGATATCGCGGATGGTCATGGTCTCCTCGTCAAACAAGAACGGCGCAAAGGTGTCGGGGTTAGCTCTCATGTAATTGGCTGCGCGGGTTCTCAACTCCTGGATGGTGGTGTCCACGTCATGACGCAGCTTCAACTGGTCCACAATCGACGCGAAAAGACAGTGCCCGTCGGCCTTGATCTCCTTCTGTGTGTAACCCCCCGCCTTGAAGAGCGCATCCATGTTTTCAAGCTCGAGCGCACGGAAGTCCGTCTGCAGTTCCGCCTCTTTCGACGCTTCGTCCTTCATCTGCTGGATACTTGCGTCTCTCTTGGCCAAGCGCTCCTTCTGTCTGTTGCGCTTCTTCTTTGGCTCGTTATGCAGAGTCACGGCCGGAATCTCGACCGGGGCCTGCGTTTTTTCCAACTCAAGCTGTGCGAGGAGCTTTTCTGGGGAGAATTCATCAGATTCAGATTCGTTTTCACCCTTGTTCGAACCTTCAATCGTGGCATCCTCCGAAAGCTCTTGCTTGTGTCTTGCCTTGAGCTCATCCTCTTTCTCTTGGCACTGCTTCATGATTTCCTTACGGTTCTTCTTCGTTGCCTGCTTCTTGAGCCCGGTCACCGTCGCAATGAGGTCACGTACCTCCTTCTTGTGTCTGGCGATGATTTCGTCGGACATTGGTATGAACTAGATGGAACTGAGGGATGTAAGTGGAGCGTGTGAATAACTGGGAGTTTTGGTGTATAAAACTTGATCTTAGCCCAAAACTATTGACCGTTACCAAAGACTTTTAGAGTATAGTCAATCGCTGTTCGTGACAAAACGTCTTGGTATTAGTAACGGCCCTACATACGTTCTGCACGTGCAAATTTGTCATTGGCCTGCATATGCGGTCTTTTACTCGGCCACCATACACTGGGCCCTTTATCGGGGCCCCCAAATTTGAAATTGTTCTACAAAATTCCTATTGCTATCATCCAGAGATATAAGCTCATATGATGTGTAACCTCGTGCCCTTCTTACTCTATCTCCTTGTATAGGCCTCCGTGTCATCACGTGTGGTGAAAAAAAAATATTATGCAGGACGCTCTTCGTGACTCAGGTCAGTTATCTAATTGCCAATTTATCCAGCCCCACTGCGCGTCCAGTGTTGTCTCCCAGACTTTTCCTCGGATCTTATTCTCTCAGAACTGTCTGATTTCGCTTTTAATCTCCCCGCATTGATTTCCTTGTCTCGCCGGTCGACCTTCTCGACCAAACTTCTCCACTTGAGAGCCTTCAGCACCCCCAGTTTTCCCGATAAACCCCCTACTGATTCCATGGACGATCTCGTACACATCCGGAACCTCCACGTGAATGCCATCACCGGGAACGATGCTTGGAAACGGCCATTGCCGCAGCCGCTCCGCCTCTCGGTGGAACTCCGCACGTCCTTCGAACAGGCGGCGCTCACCGACGACTTGAAATACTCGCTCAACTACGCGGTTATCTCGCGCAATATGCTGGAGCTCATGAAAAAGAACGAGGCACGCAATTTTCATCTGTTGGAAAACATCGGCCGCTGCATCGGTGAGGTCGTGCTCGACCGCGCGCGCGGTGGCGGGGCGGACGCACGCATTGAGGTCTCGAGCACCAAAACGGAGATCCGTGCGGAAGAGGTCAAAGTCGTCATGAACCGCCGCAAGACCGCGGGATCCATCGAAGCCTACGGCCAGGACAAGTTTGTGGTCAGTGGCTTGCGCTTGCTCGCGGTCATCGGGGTGTTCACGTTTGAACGTCTCCAGCGCCAGGTTGTGTCCTTGGATATTGAAATGATGACGGACTTTACGAGTGGGAAGCTTGACTTCCAGCTGATTGTGCACGAAGTGGTGGAATATGTGGAAAGCTCAAACTTCAAGACGGTCGAGGCGTTGGTGTTGGGGGTCAACCAGTTGGTCACCGCACGTGGCGTCGCGCGCGCACGCGTGCGTGTTGAAAAGCCAAATGCGATCACGTTCGCGGACGGCGTCGGCGTAACGGTTGAGAAGAGTGCGGGGTATTTTGTGGGCAAGGAGTTTTTGGAGGTGGATAATCCAACACCGAGTGGGTCTTCTGCCTCGTCCGAGTCGTTTAACTTTCCGACATACGGCGAAAACCACGCCGGCAGCCTCGGTGCCGGCGAGCACACCGCCTACATTGCCTTTGGTACCAACGAGGGCAACCAGGTGTCCAACATCACCCGTGCCATCGCCGAGCTCAATGCGCGCGGCCTTACCGTCCTCGCAACCTCTTCTCTCTATGAATCCCTGCCAATGTACCATCTCGCGCAGCCTAACTTCATCAACGGGGTGCTCAAGCTCCGCACCCATTTGTCTCCATTCGACCTTCTTAAGGAGTTGCAAGACATTGAAAGTAATACGCTTAACCGCGTAAAGTTGTTTGTGAATGGCCCACGGACCATTGACCTTGACATTTTGCTCTATGATAACATCATTTTGAACACCCCCAAGTTGATCATCCCGCACATTAGTATGATTGAGCGCACGTTTGTACTCCAGCCGTTGTGCGAGTTGCTTCCGCCGGATGAAATTCACCCGGTGACCGCCGAGCCGTTCCACGATCATCTCCAGCAATTGTTTGCGAGTGGAACGGACCGGTCGAAGCAGGTTTCGCAGGACCTTAAAACCGTCTTGCCAATGAGCCGTGACGTTTCTGACTCCGTCCCTGCCTCTACTCTCCTGTTCAACCTCATCGACAATACCCACGCCACAAAACTCATGGGCATTCTCAACACCACCCCCGACTCCTTCTCAGACGGCGGCACCAACACAAACGTCGCTGCCGCCTTGGATAATGTTACCCGCATGGTCAACGAGGGTGCGGACATCATCGACATCGGCGGTGTCTCGACCCAACCCGGTTCTGGTGCCCCGGACGTGCAGGAGGAGTTGCGGCGAGTTGTCCCAATCATCCAGGCAATCAGAAGCGCGTCCGACGCTCGCGTCCGCGCGGTCACCCTCAGTGTCGACACCTACAGAGCCGCCGTTGCGGAAGCTGCGCTTGCCGCTGGCGCTGATATCATCAACGATATTAGTGGTGGCTTGTACGACGACGAAATTTTCCGCGTGGTCGCGCAGAGCGGCGCGCCGTATGTCTTATGCCATACCAGAGGAACTCCCGAGACGATGAGCCAGATGACAGTCTACGAGGCTAATTCGGACGAGAACTTGGTGGAATACATGGATGCAGACGTGGCGGCCGCACTCAGAATGTCGGAGGCGGACGAGGTGTTTGTGCGTGCAGTGGCGCGCGAGTTGGCGCTCCGCGCGATGGCCGCGCTTCGCGCAGGCGTGAAGAAGTGGCAGTTGATTCTCGACCCGAACTTGGGTTTTGCAAAGGGTGTCACGCAGAACTTGCAGTTGATCCGGTTTCTTCCGGCGATGAAGACGTACTCACTTACCAACACTTCCAGTGGCGAATATGTGAGCTTCAACGCGAGCCCCATGTTATTGGGGCCCAGCCGTAAGCGCTTTATCGGCGAGATTACCGGTGAGCCTGTCGCCCAGGCGAGGGTTATCGGGACCGCCGCAAGCGTGATGGCGTGTGTCGCGGGGAAGACGGATATTGTACGTGTTCATGATGTGAAGGAGATGAAGCAGGTGTGTTTGATGGGAGATGCGTTGTATAGGATGCAAGGCACGAGCTAAGGTATATGCGTCATCTACCTGTCGAGGTTAGTATATAGCTCAGTATACGTAATTTATAAAGACTTTAATGAAATTCCCTAGATATGGCTGAGACCGATACACCAGCAAAGCCGATGGGCTTTTAGCATGAAATAGCTATGGCGCTATAACCAGTGAGCGTGGAATGGACAAAAGCTGTGGAAATAGTGTGAAACGGTGAACTAGTCATGTATCAGAGAAGCAAGCAACGTAATGGTAAATATCACAACAACAAAAAAAGCGATGGCCTTTATCGTAGCCAGAGTTTATCCTTAAAATCTATTTTTTTTATTCCCGTCTAGGTCTATTTTGTTGTGCATGGCACTAATGACTATCGACTAAACACTTTCGTCAGAGGAAACTTGCTTAATCTCGGTGTGATCAAGGTTAGAGTCGTCGATCCGCTTGGAATTGATGGCGGCGGGGAAGATGTCGCACATCCAAATTAACAACAACACCCCGTACCAGAAACAGATGGACCACTCAAACCGGGCGCTCAAGGAGTTTTCGTTCTTGACCATGGCAATGAGAAAGCCCAACACGCACACCGCAGCGGCCACGAGCCACACGAACTTGACGATGAAGCTCCACTTGAAGTAGAGATACGTGTTGTCGTCAGGGATATACTCGGTTGCATCGGGGTCCAGCGCGGACTTGTGAATCTTGTAAAAGTGGATCCAGAATATCAAGTACGTCATCAAGTCCATGAGAATCGTGAAGAGCATGAAGATGATGAATACGGCCACCATAGTGAAATGCACATCGTTGTAGTGGTCTATGTCAAAACATGCGGTAAAGAGAATCCCCAACTCACTGATGGTGATGGTGAAAATGCTGGCAATCTTCATCCGCTCCTGATGCTTGCTGGTGTAGGTAATTAACAACCTCTTGGACTCTCCTGCCTTCCGTCTTCTCATGAACAACTCCGCCACCACCGCAGAAATAGCCAAGGCTCCATGGACAGCAGCACCCACGGCAAACAACGGCTTTAACGATGTGGCGCCGATATCGGAGAGGAAGACGGGGTCCATGGTTTCACTGAAGCTCATGAACCAGTAACGATCTGGGCGGCCCTGGATACTCCATGCGACAAGCATCGCTATAAGCATACCCTGCCAGATGACACACGATACAAGGTATAGTAAGTAGTAGTGAAACGGCTTGAATATCATTTGGAGCGTGTTTTCGGGGAATTGTTGGGCGGAAGCTGGTCTTGTGAGCCTTAGCCGTTTTAGGTATGAATTTTTCACCGGGGGGGCTGAAGGGTCGCTCAAAATTGGAAGAGCTCAAAGACGTTTAAAAAGCTGGTATCTATTCTGGAATACAATCAGATCTTTAATCGCCCCCTGAATTATTACAATTTTTTTGCCATTGGTAAAAATGGCAAAAGGGGACAAGCGCCAACCGAGATATTACTGCGGTATAAAAGCTTCGCCCTGTCCTGCGTCTATGTCCTGCGTTCACGGTGTTTATGTTTGCGGCGCCAATTCGTTTCTTTTTCAGGCACATTCACAGCCTTGTTTCAGAATTGTGAGGAGCAAAACAAGAGAAGGCATCGCTAAAGTTGCTCATAACTGTTGTAGCTGTATCACAGGTATAGCTAACCTGGCTTCTGCAAATAAATTTGGGGAAAAAACGCGTACTATGTGTCTCTGTCAAGCTTTTGAGTATATGCATCTAGTACCAATCTTTGGCTTGTTCGGCATGACTTGCTGCCGGCTTGTTCGGCATGGCTTGCAGCCGGCTTCCGGTTCGCCTACATGAAGAGCTACTCCCGGGGAGGCGGAAATTCGTAGACTGAAAAGACAGGGTTTGAGGGGCAAGATGCCCATATAGCTGGTTCACGTGCTGGTATGAACCTGGCTCTTTGTGTTGTTTAAAGAAACCCAGAGCTATCAACGCCATCGTGGCTTGGACTACGTTTGTAGTCTGAGCAATCATAAATTGTCTGGTATATTATCGGTCGGTCTGGACCGTGAAAGCTAATTGTAAACGCATTTGTAGCGGCAATGTATTAAGTAAATCGAGAAAATAAATGTCTTAGCTGTGTTCCGGGTCGGAAAAAAAAGATAATCGGACCGAGCAGGGAATTGAGCCCTGAATGGCGGATTACCAATCCTACAGCTTGTCACACTAATTGTAGCCCGCTGTGACTTAAGTCTTCCGAGAAGACCCGATAGTGGTGGTGCAGCGCTCCATGTGCTTGAGGGCTGGCTTTTTCCAAGTGGAATTGCCACGTTCTGTGGGATCCTATATAAGGGTCCCACCCCCGAGCCCAGTAATTGAAGTATCTCGGATTCTAGTATACCGATTGTACCCCAATTTCCTGAAATTACAATATTACACCTTCTACGACCATGACCTCAAAATTGACCGCTCAATCCCTCCGTAAGCTATCCAACGGTGTCTCCATCCCAGCCATTGGCTTTGGTGTGTACCAGACTCCTGCCGGAGAAGCGTTGTCTATCGTCAGCGAAGCCCTTAAGGCTGGGTACCGTTTAATTGACTCGGCTGCTATCTATGGAAACGAAGAAGAAGCCGGTGAGGGTATTGCTAAGTTTTTGAAGGCCAATCCCTCCGTCCATAGATCGGAGGTGTACTACACCACCAAGATCTGGAATGACGACCACGGCTACGAAGCCACCAAGGCAGCGATCCAGAAGTCGTTGCAGAAGGTTGAAAAATCGATTGGATATATCGACTTGATTTTGGTCCACAGTCCAATTTCTGATAAAGAGAAAAGATTAGGAACCTGGAAGGCCTTGCAGGAAGCTGTCGCCCTGGGCTCTGTCAAGTCTATTGGTGTGTCCAACTATGGAGTCAAGCACTTGGAGGAGTTGCTCGCGTGGGACGGTTTGGTTAACAAACCAGTTATCAATCAAATTGAGCTGCACCCTTGGTTACCAAGAAAGGACATCACCTCGTTTGCGGCCAAGCATGACATCTTGATCGAGGCTTATTCTCCTCTCACCCAAGGTAAGAAGATTAATGACCCAGAGTTGGTTCAGGTTTCCGCCGAGTTGTCTAAGAACGCCGGTAAGACCATCAGCCCGGCACAAACTTTAATCAGATGGTCATTGGAACAAGGATTCATTCCGTTGCCAAAGACCGCAACTGTGAGCAGAATTCCGGAAAACTTGGATGTTTTCGGTTGGGAGTTTACCGATGAGGCCCGCAAGACCTTGGACAAGGATTCCTACGAGGTTTTGACCTGGGACCCAACCGTTTACGAAGACCCAAAATAGGCAAACTCGTGCATTGTATGGACTATACCCGTCTGAAGCATCCAATATTTCCTGTACAGGCTCTGAACTGGGACTTAGTTTTACATTCCTTCTTGTTTTCTCCGTACTTATCCAATTTTTTTTATTGCTACTTATCGAATTCTAGGCCCATTAATCGATCTTAAATCGCACGAGAGCTAATATTCGGATTCTTGCTGATACGCTCGATCTTGATCCTCAAGGATATTTAAAATGTCAGATCATTGTCTTGTATGATAGCTCAAGATTTGACTTCACCAAATGCCATCGTAGCTTGGACTACGTTCGTAGTCTGAGCAATCATAAATTGTCTGGTATATTATCGGTCGGTCTGGACCGTGAAAGCTAATTGTAAACGCATTTGTAGCGGCAATGTATTAAGTAAATCGAGAAAATAAATGTCTTAGCTGTATGCCGGGCCGGAAAGAAAAAAGATAATCGGGCCGAGCAGGGAATTGAACCCTGGGCCACTCACACCCAAAGCGAGTATCATACCACTAGACCACACGGCCGATCTTTTATAAAATAGGGTTTATTGTCCACCAAACGGTAAAACTGTGAGAATTATCTTGAAGCCATTCAACCCCCACTAAAAAGATCATTATGTACTGTGCCAGTGTATATCCCCAAATAATCAACTCCTTAGTCTACATCCTAATTGTTTCATAAAGCACGTAAATTGCCAACGATAACCCTTATAACAGCTATCTACGCTACCAACTCTTGTCTTATCAGGATCAAAGATAAGACGACCCCTTAGGCGATGGTCTTGCCGCCAAGAACCTTTTTGCCAGTCTTGGCAATCTTTTCCAAGACAGCATCATAAGTCAAGGATTCATCGGTGGTGACGTTTACCAACTGGGTTTCCAAAGAAATATCGATCTTCTTGACTCCCTCCGTCTTGGTCAAGACTCTGTTGACGGCACCGGAGCAGCCTGAGGGGTCAGTGTTCTGCCGCGAAGAAATTGTTTGGGTACTTACCAGAGCAGGTCATCTTGACGTTATATTCGTACTGGTGTTCAGACATTGTAGAATTTGGATAAACAAGGCGGGTGGGAATATTCAGAGACGAGATGGCAATAGATATGTCCGATACAATCCCACAGCTTAGTCAGCCTGTTTAGACATTATGCACGCACCTTTTTTTTTTTGTATGCAACATGCAGCTACAATTTTTCATACAACCCAATCATAACTCCCTACAACATATTCATTGTTGCAATGAGCTACAAGCGTACCAAAGCACGAGTGGTGCTATATGCTACAAAGTCCGAAAATGAAGCCACGCTCATTCTCGAAGTTGAGCCCACAGCCATTGGTGACGCGTTCCTCGGGTATTGTACGGACACGGAAAACAGACCAAGCTTCCTAAACTCCCAGGTGTCCAGATTGGTGGCTCCGGAATTTATCATTCAATTGGGAGAGATTCCAGGGCTGACCCTTAGCTTTGATAGGGAAGGGCTCTCCAAAACAGAGACTGGAATTGTGTTCCATACTGCCCCCAGGCTGGGCTATGTCTATGCGGCCCAGAGTGCCTCCTCCACTCAGTTCTTTGTGACCTTGAAAAATATTGAAAAGTACGCCAAGGAACTTTCGTTTAGCGAAAACTACGCGTATATAGGCAAAGTTATCAAGGGGTTTACGAAACTCGTCGAATGGCTACCCCAGATTCCCGTGGACGATGAGCATAAGCCGTTGGAGGATATCCACATTGTTGACTGTTGTGTGGTGCCTGAGATAAGTAGCAGTACACGAGGTGTGAGAAGTGCAAGAGATGTGAGAGACTCCAGACACCAGGATTCACGCTCCAACAAGTCTCATCGCTCGAGGTCTAAATCCCCCGGGCATGGAAACTAGTACCTTGACTCGACATATCTTGATAGGCTGCTTATGGTCGTTACAACCTACGGTGAAATTTTATGGTGAATGTTATTATGGGGTATGCATGTTTTGGACCGGCCGTGACGAATCCTGGGAGAATATTCTTGGAACCCTACTACGTAAACTCCATAACGGATTGAACGTGCACAAAAGGGGACTCTTCCTGAATGTTCCTCACTTCCACGCCGTTGTCAAAGTACGTCTGCTTCCAGTAGTTCATTTCATAGTTGGAATACGGGCCATGGATCTCGGAGTCGCCAACCCACCTGAACACCCACTTTTTGTTTGCCTCGACCGTTCCACTGTCCACTGCCTCGCTCTGAACGTCCAAGCCAGCGTCATCGGCCGTTCGCTTGTTGGCCTGCTGACCCCTGGCGACAGAAAAGTCCTTCCCGCTGTGTTTCTTGTATAACCGCATAAGCTCCTCTCTCTCCTGCTCGTAGATATCGTTGATGCCCTTCTCCGCTATAACATCACACAAACTCGTAATCGACTCGATGTGCTCGCGGGTTGACTTTAGCTCAGGGTACGTCTCCTCCATCTGCTGTATCCTAGCGCCCTTGCGCCGCTTAAACTGCTTTTTGATCTGCATCAGCTTGGCGTTTAACCGTTGGAGTGCTTCCATGGAGGTTTCGGCTGGCTGTAGCACCTCTATCAACGGGAAAAGCGAGCTTTCAATCGGTGTTTCCTGTTGTAGCGCAGCCTTTTCCCGCCGCCTTGCCTTCTCTTGTTCCTCTCTCAACTCGTGAGCCTCGCGGGCTCGCTTGATCTCGCTTGCGCCGACATCGTTAAGCCAAGCGTCCTGGTGCTCCTTGTCCTCCTCAAGCTCCTCCTTTGTCTTTTTGATGTAGTTTCCGTCGATATCAAAGGTACCAGACTCCTGCTCCTCGCGGAGGTTAAAGGCATCCATTTTAGGCTCCATTCTAGGTTTCTGGTGTCCGTGGAACTCTTCCGGGTTGTTGTAATACTCCATATCCACATCTGCCTTGTTTTCTTCAGTATCTGATGCAGCTCCAGCCTCGACCTCATCCAAGCCCTCGAACTCTCCCATGTCCATAAGTTTCGGAATCTCATTGCTGGCGGCATCGTCGCCGTTTTCAGCCTCGTTCTCCTCGTCCGAGGAATCCATCTCATAGTTGTGTTTCACCTGGTGTTTCGCGTTTGTCTGTAGCCGGTGTGACCTCACACTGTCTGGAATGTCCTCTTCGAGGAGCTCTGTCTCCTCCTGGGTTTTGGATGCCTGTCTGCCATATAGGGGATCCATTGGAATAGGTAATGTGTTTAGAGCTGGGGAATGAACGATTTGATGGGCTGAACAATTTGATGGTGTTGATATATGCGGTCATGCGACCTATATGCCGGAACCGAAAAAAAAGCGAAAAAGAATGGTGAGAGTATGAAGAAGACTCCTCATCAGGGGCTCGAACCCTGGACGTTTCGGTTAAAAGCCGAACGCTCTACCAACTGAGCTAATAAGGACAGTCTGGTAGAGTTTTTGTTTTTGTTACACTGTCCCTGCTAACATTGTATGCTGAAGAACCAGACATGGTATCAAAAAGCTGTTGTGTACATGAGTTGCACTTTGGGAGATTATAAATATTGTATGTAGCAAATAGGTAACACCTATTGATAGCTATCCTTGTCCACAACATTCATTGGTATATGTTTCCACAGGTGTTATTACAATATGTATATTTATAGTTTTTATAAAAAAAATATTTATATATACGTATATAATTTATACATTAATATATTTGGCTACCCAATGAAGTATACATAATTCCAATATGTAATTGGGGAATATATTCACAATTATTCTCAAAAAGACTCAATATATGTTGCCAGTCACATACTAAATATTCAAAAACTCTACTACCCCTAGTTTTCCAAGGAATCTATGATCGTAAACAGGTGCTAAAAACACCAATAAACTAAGCAAAAATGAGAAACCCGACGCGGGGGTCGAACCCGCAACCTTGTGATCGCGTACTGCTAAGAGTCACACGCTCTACCGATTGAGCTAGCCAGGCAATTTCTCGGGTTGCACTGCACATGGAACATCTTGGTTCTATTTTTCTCAAGTACGGCATGGCCTAAGGGATTGCTGAACAAAGGGTTTTGCACCAATGTTGGGTGCGCGGGCCACTTGCTCGGGCAGTATGATACACCAGGATTCCAGATTTTATTTAGTCAAATATACATTATTTAATTCTCCCACAAATCATTCCAAGTGATGTTCTTGCGTACGGCGTTGGAAAAGCCCTCGTGGTACTTGACCCAGATGCGGTGCTGGGCGCTCGCGCGCTTGCGATCTTCGGACATGTCCCTGTTCAAGGTGTTGTTAAGCTCGTCATACCGGTTTTTAAAAAAGTCCATGGAGTTGGTATGCTTCGGGCGCTTGGTCTCCCCTTTGGTCGTGGCATCGGTTTCTACGGCTCCGGCCGGCGAGCGCCTTTTCTTGGTAAACTTCAGTAGCTCCTCGGCAAGAACTGGCAACACGACGGTCTTTTTCTGCGCCAACTGCTTCTCCAGAATATCGGTGAACGCCACCACCGAATCGTAGCAGGGCTCAAACTCCAAGGCAAAAGTGGAGGTTTCGATGTTCCGTTTGTTGTGGATCTCGATGTTCAACTCGTGCAAAATCTCCGCCGCGCGCTCGACCTTCGCCTTGTTCCCCTTGTTCGCCATCAAGATGGAGCGGTTGGCAGACGACGCCTGTTTCTGGAACTCCGGCAAGATAATCTTGTTCACCAATGGAAGCACCTCCAGGGACATGCTCTGGCGCTGGAGTAAGACGCGCAAGCTGACAGGGAAGGCCAACGCGTGGTGTAAGGACGAATTCAAGCAGTCACCGATGAGGGTGTAGTTGTGCTGGAACGCTTGGAAGTGCTCATAGTCCAAGTTAGGGATCCGGAAGTTGCTGTTGTAGTTATTCAAGTCAGAAAAGAGGTCCCAGAACTTCAAGACCACCACGGTGGAGTATGATAACGAGTCAAAGCCGTCAGATACCACCGCATTGCTGCCAAGGAGATCGTTGAAGTAGAGCCAGTCACTGATTTCCGCCGGCTTTCTGAGCCCTTCATCGTGGTAATACACCAGTTGGTACAACGAGAAACACCCATTGATGATCTTGTCGTAGTTGTTTCCGCTGTAGTTCTCAATGAGCCGCGTGAGCTCCCCGAATTGCTCGACCGCGGGCCTGTTGTTTCGTGAGAAGAGCCGGTTCACAATGGCGTACCAGTTCACCTGGGTGTCCTTTGTGCTTGTCTGAGAGACGCTAGGTCCTTTGTCTCCGCTATTAAACTGCAAGTAGTTGAGACACGATCTGATATCCCCGCCGTTCACATTCACCACGTCTGCAACCTCCTTCTTTGTAAACAGTCCCAACTTCCGCTCGAGCCGCAACACCTCCGTGAGGCGCTCGCGGATGAGTCGTTCACCGGGCTTTTTGAAGCTGAGGATCTCGCAGTGGGGCTTCAACTTTTCCAACGCGGGGGCATAGAGGTCGTTACAGATGGTGATGATGGGCCTCATCAAGAACGGCTGCTTCTTGCGATCACCTCTGCTCTTTTCGCGCTGGTAGTTCGCCACGGCGCGCGAATCGTGGTAGATCAAGTCGGTCAAGACCCGGATGAACCCATTTTCTGCCGCCCCGTCCACCTCGTCTGCCACCAACACGTTGGGTTTCCCACTGAACGTCATGGAGGTCAACGAGTTGTGCACCTTGTCTTTGATTCTAACCCCAGACCGTTCGTCACTCGCGTTGATCTCCATAATGTCGTAGCCCATCTGCTTGCTGAGCACGTGGGCAACCGTCGTCTTACCGATTCCGGGTGGCCCGTGGATCAACAAGATCTTCTTCCGCGGCCGCTGGAACGGATCGGGGTTGACCTCATTATCCGCAAGTTTCCCTGACCGCTCTAGAGGTTGGCCAAACACCGCCCGCGACCATTGTTTGAGCCACTGGAGGATGTATCTATTCGTCTTTTCGTTTCCCACCAAGTCGAAAAACGTGTTGGGGCGCCACTTCTCCGCCCACAACACGGACCCAGTGGGTTTCTTGGCGCGCACTGGCCGGTCTTCGTTAACGAGGTTCATGAGCTCCAAACGGCTGTACAACTCGTTGATGTTGACCCCGTAGTGCCGCTCGTCGACCATACCTGTTATTCCTTCGTCGATCTGCTTACGGCAGCGTCTTTTGAACGAGACTTCCCGTCCGTTCAGTAACTTTGCATCCACCTTGGGTCTTGAGCTGGTGGCAGAGTAGGCAGGGGGAATGTTCGAGAGAGACGGTCTGGACGAGGAAGAGGGCTCTGGCTTTCCCAATAAAGAGGATTCAGAGACTTTGAAGGTGAAGGGAGGGGCCGTCGTATCCGTAGGCTCAGACACTGGTTTGCTCAATAAGAACGAATCACTAGCTTTGAATGAAAATGCCGGGGCGTCAGACGACAGAACAGCGTCCCTGGCTGGACTACCCAAAAGCAAAGAATCGGCCGCTTTCAACGTGAAAAGCGGAGGTGCAACCGCTGAGTCATAAGCAGCATCCCCTTCCAAGCTAAGTAGCGTGCTGACACCTCCATTCGCCCTGAACAAAAAGTCTGGCAGAGAGTTGGTATTGACTTCAGCCGGAGACATCTCTGGGACAAGCTCGAGCAGTATATCCTTTCCTCCCGAGATTTCTGGAGTTTTGCCTTCCTCGATAGACATAAAAAGGTGGATATTCTGGAAAAAGGTTTGAAGGACTATCGTATTTGAGGTTTTGATATCAACAGCATACTTTTCTATCCTGCGTGGAAAATTACGCGTCGTGCTTAAGGTTGAGACGCGTCCACAACCATGTCAGATGCGCGAGTAGTGCGTGGAACACAAATATAGGAATTACACGACTAAAGACCACTAAGGTAACTAGATGTACCATACATTATTTCACTCAATAATCTGGTTTATAATCACAAGGGCAAAGATTTCTGGCGCTACAACAGATGGAAGGATAAATATCCGTGTTTATAAGGACATATCACCATTACCATTATTTTTACATCTGCTGTCTTGTCTTTAACGACCCTCGGTGTATCCTAAATAAACCCAACGTGTAAATACTCATTAACTCAATGCTATAGCTCCCTTCCAAAAAAAACAACCTCCCAAACGGTTTGTCATCCAATCTAGCTCCACCATCAATATAGCATGTATTTATTCTATGTTCTCACCTCACAGGGCGGTTCCTTTAAATAATTTTAACCTTACAACGTAATGTACTTCTTTTCGACCAAGTAGGCAATGATCTGCTGGGCAGATTCCTCCACGGTGGACTCGTAGTTCTTCAAGTGGATTTCTGGTTTCTTTGGGGCTTCGTACGGCGCAGAAATACCGGTGAACTCCTTGATAATACCCTCTCTGGCCTTCTTGTACAAGCCCTTTGGATCTCTCTGCTCAGCAACCTCGATTGGGACGTCGACGTAGACTTCCACGAACGGTAAACCAGCCTTTTCGTGCAAAACTCTAGCCTTTTCACGGTCAGCAATGTATGGGGAGATGAAGGAGGTGATGGCAATGGTGGTGGAGTCGGCAAACAATTTGGACACCTCCGCGATTCTTCTGATGTTCTCGTTACGGTCTGCCTCGGAAAAGCCCAAGTCGTTGTTCAAGCCGAATCTGACGTTATCACCGTCCAACCTGTAGGCATTGATGCCGTGCTGCAACAAAAATTGCTCCAATGCACAGGCTACGGTAGACTTGCCGGAGGCAGAAAGACCGGTCAACCAGATGGTCAAACCGCTCTGCTTGGTCAAACCCTTTCTCTCGGCGTGGGTCAAGTTTTCGTGCCAAGTGATGTTAGTAGCCATTGTGTGAGGTGGTGTACGTTTTGTATCTGTAAAGAGAGGTTTTCGTGGGAGGCCATTTATATTCCGAAAACATTTTCCAGTTGGAAGTTGGTGAACCATTTGTCATGGCCATGCCGGGGTCAAGGTGCGTCATGTGGGATGCAGCCGATGGTGAATATTCACGTGATCACGCATAAGAAGGCTGCTGTTTCACGTGGCGATAAGGGAGAAAAAAAAAGAGGTGCCCTGTTTTTACAAGCCGATGCGAAAAACTATTGAATTTATTAGATTGCTATTAGCCTAAATTGGCCCGCATTTACCAATCTGGCGGCTGAATTATGAGCGGTAGCTGCCTACGCATGTGATATACAGAAGAGTGTGTGGTTCTGGTGCCTAAACTTGCATATGCGTACCCTTGGGCTGGAGGCAAAGCCAGCTTGGGGTTATTAACCAAACCCTGTATAATGCCGGTAAAGGGCCGGTATTTAGAGGTTGAACTGCAACAGTTTGTGCTATGAGTCTGCGAGGGTTTGCACACATGCTAATTAACAATGTAAATGGGTAATGGAGTTAAATTATGTGGGTAATAAAGGACTTACAAAAGGGATAGACTGATGTCATTTATACCACCCCTGGTGGCTCTGCAAAACATAATTTACTTTATAGGGATAAATAGACGGATGTTTCTTGTAGGTGCTATAAGAAACATCCATAATCTATCAAAGCCTCCTTCATCAAACATAAAATAGGTTTACCCTTTGAACGTAGAGAGCCGCCAGAAAGCTCTACCACACAGCAATTCATCCTCCCCAGGGATTGCTTTTTCAAATCCGCCTTATTGGACGTTAACTCTAACTACGCAGTGATACAACATAACCTGTATTAAGTACAATATAACAGGCTTGCCAGCCAACCGAAGGAGCAGAGCCTTTCAGCTTGCGGCTGCTTAAGCAGTGTTAGGCCTTCTCCCAAACAACCGTTTAAACCGCCCCACTCTTTCCTTCGACTTTGGTGAAAGCGGCGTGGAGTCGCCGCTGGGCGTGACCAAGCCCCGGGTGCTAACCTGGGTGTAGCTCATACTAGGGTACTTCAACTTCAAGCCCAGTAAGCCTGACACTGCGAGCTTCTTAAGCCGACTGCTCGCCTCCAAACGATCTCCATACACCACGTTTCGGGTCACAACATCAATAAACGCCGTCTGTGCGATATACTCCACAAATGGAAACCACGACTCGTCGTCAATACAGGTAATGATCGACGAATGACGCTTGCTCTTATAGTAGAACTCCTCTGCCAGCAGCGGTTTGAAGTGCAACTTCTCGTGGTCCTCCAACAAGCGGTTAAGAATCGTGGTTTTGCGACGGATAATCTTGCCCTGGTTGCACAAGTCGCCGATATTGATAAGGTTCTCACCCACGTGCAAGAATTGCAACAAGTCCTCGTTGGAGTGTAGTAAGGACTTGAGAAACGTCTCGTTCTCATCCTCGTACGGCACCAAGTCCACATCCTGGGCATCAAACTCAGTGGTTTCGTTCTTCTTTTCAAAGGCGAGAGTGCCAATGTGGCCACCCGTGGGCGTGGCAGCGCCCGAGGGAGCGTCGAGATCGTCCTGGAATGTGAGCATGTTGATTAATTCGGAAAAGCGCAAGTACTTGTCGATCAAGTACGGCGTGCTGGGGAGGAGGTCATGGGACAAGTAGTCCGCATTGTTTTCGGAATCGCCTACGATGTTGAGATCGAACCGTGCAATCTCGTCGCTCAACTCCAACACCTTTTCACTGAAGTCGTTCTTCTTGCCGGTGAGCTTGTCGAAGTAGTCAACTACCTCCGTCTCGTGGTCCTCCACGTACTTGTTAAACGGGATGAGGTACGGTTCCTTGTGCGCGGGGAAGCGCGAGCAGTTGGAGAGCGTCAAGAGGATTTTGGCGATAAGCGTAAGCGTGCGCTGGACCTGGCCTGTCTGGTGGTCTTTGATCAAGTGGAAGAGCTTGGGGTTGAGGATGGCGGGACAGAAGAAGCGCAAGAAGATGAACGACGTCAAGCAATTGAGCGAGATGTTGGTTTTCTGAGTGGGGGAGTCGCCCGGAGCCCCCTGGAGCGAGTCCATGACCAAGAAGTCGATCTTCAGGCGGAACTGCCCCAACTGCTTGCGGATAGGCTTTGGAAGATCGTTACTCGTGCGATAGATCATCAGCCACAACTCATTCACGTAGCCGTGCAAGTTTTGGAAGTTTTCCGCCAACACCGCCTCCTTGTCGTTAGTTCCGAGGTGGTTGAACTGACGTGGATCGATTTCGCAGTTCTTATTTTCGCGGTTGATCTTTGCCACAAACCCGCTAAGCAACTTTTCCAAGTACTCCTGACCCACGCGGTAGTTGAACTTCTCTAGCGACTTGGTGAGAATCGAGTTACCCCGAAGGAACGTATTAAACACGTTGTTGTTCATCACCGGGTTTTTGGAGTTGAGCAACTTGGCCACGCTCACCAACTCCTCATCCATGAGACACTTGAACCACTCGTCTTCACGCCGGAGCAGCTGGAAAATGTCCAAAAACACCATCAGGATCGCCTCCATGTTCTCCCCGTTGCTTACAAGCACCGGGTTCACCTTCAGGTTCATGTACGAATTGTTCACAAAGTCAATCAACTGCAGCAATGGGAGCGAGCCCAACATGGTCTCGAACAACTGGAACGATGCACGCGACGGGAGCAAGATATGGTGCTCGCTGATGTCGATCCTCACCAAGATCTTGCCAATGTCAAGGCTCCGGGAGTCATAAATGGAAAGGCGGATCTCCTGGTGGTGCTTGCTCTTTTCAAGGAGCAAGTCGGGGGTGATGTACACCGTCCCGAGCACACGGTCGGAGGAAGAGTACTCGTCCGTCGCTTTCACCTGTGGCGCCGGAATCGTCTTCAGCGGCTTGGGCCTGAAGGGCGAGTTCGTGCTACCATTATCCATGTAGCTGTCGATGTAGTCGTCCACGCTGTAGCTGTCCTCGTCTGAGCTTTCCAGCAGCTCTCCCAGCGATCCCTCCAGCACCGACTCCTTGATAAAGATCTGGAAGTACTGTGTGGACAATGGAAGATTGCCGAACTCAAAGCACTCCTTCCAGAACGGGTTGTTCAACACGTTGTTGGCAACGATGGATGTGCGGAACCACGGAAGGCCCCAGATGACGATCTCCGCGTAGAGCTTGGCGCCCGCAAAGTTCGGGAGATTCATGCTCTCGTCATTGAAGGTGGCTTCGATCACGTCGAGCGCCACCTTGCGTGCAATACGGAACTTGGCCGTTTGCTTGGATGAGACGGCCGCACTGTTGTCGCTCTCGAAGCTCTGGCGCGGCGTGGACCCGATGCTCTTGCGGCCCAAGCCACCAGCGCGGAGCATCGGCGGCGGCGCGTACCCCTCCGCGGACGAGAGCGACGAGTCGCTGTGGTTCGTGTGGTGGACCAACGGCGCGCGTAAGCCGGCCGGGACCTGGCTCGGCCCCAACTGGTGGTTAAGCACCGTGCCCATGTACAACTCCTTGCGCGTGAAGTAGTTCAAGCCCACGAACCAGTCCTCGAGGTCCATGTAGAGTGGAAACTCCACGAGGATGCGCGTCGCCGCGTGTCCTACCGCGCGCTTCTTGTCGCGCGACACCAAGAACGGAGCGGCACTTGCGTCCACCTCGGCCACGCCCAACGGGGTCACGTTCTTGATCTGGCTGAGCTGGCGCAAGTCACGGAGCACCCCGATGAGCAACACGCGTGATGAGGTGTTGTCTACCACGGACCGGTGGAGCTTCTGGATCTCCGACTGGTAGAGCTGCTTGACATCGATAGTGTAGATGAGCTTGCCGTCGAGCTCCGTGAGGATCTTCATGATGCCCTTAGTCGTGAGCACGCCCATGGCGTAGAACCAGCATTCGGGCGCGTCTTCTTCGACTACCTCTGTGGCGTCGGGGGTCTGGGGCAGACTGTACGAAGGGATCTTGGGACCGCCGTGGACAATGTTTACATTGCGCTGCTTTTTTGGCAACGGCGCGTATACCTTGAAGCGGCACACCAACATTTCGTGCTCCTTGGCGAGTGGGTTGAGCTTCTTGGGGATGGTGTAGAGCTTGTGCACAATACCGCGCGGCTTCAAGTTCTGCCACACCATCAAGGCCGCGAGGAGGCGGAGGAACACGAGTTGGTACTCCGTACGCTCGCTGCCTATGCCAGACGCTGCCGCGCGCGCAACGCGGAGATGGATTTTGGTGTCGAGGGCGAATGTCTTGACGAGCAACACCGGCTCGAGATCGTCTGTGATCTGGACGTAGCACGCCTGGAGGTGGTCCACGGGCTGGTTGTGGAGACGCAACTCGCCGCTGGCATTGATAGTGAGGTGTGTGGTGGTCTGCCAGTTTGTTGCGTGTGCACTGAGCGAATAATGGACGGAGATCTCATCGTTGTAGAACCGCAGGAGGTTGAACTGGCCTTTGTCCTGTTTCATGAACTGTTTGAGGTGTCGGGTGTCGTCAGGGACTTTTGCCATTATGAGAGATTTATTAAAAGACTTGTAAGATTTATTAGCAGACTTATTGGGAGAGTTGGAGAACTCAGAGGACTTGGAAGACTTATTGCCGGAGATTGGAAGACTTGGAAGGCTTATTGCTGGAGATTGGTTAAAGACTTATTGGCTGAAGGTGGTGATTGGGGCAAGTGACTGGAAGCTGAGGGGAGAGAGATAACTGCTAAGGAGAGTAGGTATGGATCTGGTAATTAATCCAATGGATGATAATAAGCGAAGTGTGATTCTTGCGTGGCCTGGCTTTCCGGGAAAGGCAATGATTAGGGTCTGTGTATCGTCACTGGTTAGCACAAAAGTGGAAGCAAGTAGATGGCGGTCTCAGCTTTGGAACGTGTAGTAAACAAGGAGATGGTTTCACCTGCTTGTTTCTGATGTCTCGCTGTAGAGTGGTTCTTTTTGCAACTTGACAGACTTAAACACACAAATCGATTGTTGAGGTTGGTGTCCAACGGAGAGACCACCTACACGACCAGCGTGAGGCGCATGCAGCTTTTAGCTTTATTGTTTAGCTGGCGGGCGTGCGTGGTCGGAACGCGTGCGCTTTACGAGGCGAACTGAGACATTAAGACTAAACGGGGACATCTCAGCCTTATGCTGCAATTTCTTCTACATTTGGTCAATAGTGATCTTTTTCTAAAGCATGTGACTAGATTGGCCTGGTGTCCCTGTCTGCGTATTCATGTCGCCAAGACAAGCACTAGTCTTTTACCCCATGACAATCTACTTTGCAACGATGTTAGACCTTTTAAGCTGCGTCCTAACCAACCCACGTTCTAGGGAGGGCTAGTAGTTCTGTGCATATAGATCGTAGTTACTAACGGGAGAACTGGTTACACCAATCTTTCTGCATGGTAACCGCGCAAAAATCTATAGGTCGGAACCTCGGCTCTTTCAGGCTAGCCTCTAGAAACGGAACAATAAGAGGTACATATTCAGGTTCATTGGTGAGATAGAAGTCACACGACTCTAGGAGTAATCTTGCCAAGTCTCTTCGAAGGCGATCGCTAAATCAGGGTTCCATTTAGCTTCATTTTTTTAATCCATCTTAGTTTTAACATGTACATGAGTATAACATTGAGACCAAATCTGGCAGGCGCACTTAAGCTTGCATGAACGTCAAAGTTCATCTTGTCCAGGGAGCGACAGCTCTAGTGAGGTGGAGGCCAGGAATTTATTCCAATTTCGACGATATATCTAGCGCTCGTTGCTTTTTGGACCCGAAATCCCACGGAACCAAATTCACTCATCTCAGAACAATAGAGTGCCTGCAGAAAAACGTTAGTGATTTACGGAGGTAGCACTGCAGCGCCCCAGAATTACTCTGTCTGGCTTAGGTAGAGGATCGGCATGAATGATCGGCGGTATACCGTTGTGTGAATTGTCTCCCAATACGTCCGTCTAGACCCACTTACGCTCCCAGAAACATCAATATATGAATTCCTGTCATATCAGTTGCTATGGGATGGCCTGAACTCCATACCCTGTTTATATGAATCCCCCCCCCCATTTTCACCAGGGCCATTTCGCTCGTGATTTCCCAAGCTGAAAATATTGCAAATCTCCTAGGGTAAGCGAAATTTAACTAGACAAAATACGATGCTCTGAAAAATTCAACGGGGAGGCTTGTCCCCGAGAGATTTCTGCTATCCGTGTAACTACTGCCATTCCCATGAAACGTAAGCTTAAGAATATATTGAAAATTTGATTGTAGAAGGAATACGCTCGGTCGAAACAAATATAGCCTTTTTCATGTTTTCTCTGCCTCGATATTTGTATTCTACTATAGGGCTATGACATTATTAATAGTCCAAAAGTAGGTCGCGTTGCCCGCCACTAGGAAGCATATCCTCATGCCAACTCTGTCGGATCCGTGACATCTTGGTTTTGGATGCGTGCACTTACCGGCTCATGCCCTTCAATAGTTAAGGGAGAGAACCCCTAGATTGTATTCTGTCCCATTGAAATACCCTAGCAGTGTACCATATATCTACCTTCCGTTTTCTCCACCGCAATGGACCATTTTTACCCCCCAAGCACTGATGGGTCTGGGCCTGTAACCAAAGCAGATATTACACATATGTTGAACGAAATGCAACTCATACGAGAAGAGATTGAAAAGTTGCGCCATAACCTTTCACAAAGCGTTTACTACGCTCGCCTGAGTTAGGCCGAAGTAATATTGGCCGCCACGGTGATATTTTTCGGGTTTTCATTACTGTGGGCATATAATACTCAAATAATGTACGATGAGAAAAAATCCCTGCCACGAGGCCCTCCATTTAGAGATCTTGAAACTATCTTACCGATTATATCGGTTGATGTGGCCTCGATGTGCCTTATGCGTAACAGCAAGAATCGTGCGATACACCAAGCGTGGAACTCTTTTGCATCGAATTTTCAAGACCTGAACGGCTGGGTATAAATGTCTCTTTTTTCAGGAAGAATTCTTGTTGATGAGTTTCGATATAACTAAGAATACATTTCAATGTAAATAAATGAAACAACGAGGGTAGATTTTAGAGCTGGAATGTGGCTCTTCGACGTTCATACAACAGCCTAGCCCCCAAAGAGCCAGATCTTACTAACACAAGTTTACACATAGGCTTCGCCAAGACTCTGATCTTCACATATCCTTATCGAAGCTCGCTCCTACACCTTCACAATACTATGGCATACGTAAAAAGAAATAAAGTATGGTCTAAATCAAAGACTCGCCGGTGTCAGCGCGGACTTCCTTGTCGTCCTCGTCCTCATCTCTCTCTCTATCGTAGAACTCGTCCAAGATCTTTGGCGAGATTCTGTTCAACATCTCCTTTGGATAGATTCTCAACAAGGACCAGGCCTGGTCCAAGGACTCAAACACGGTACGATTGTCGTAGGCGCCCTGGGCAATAAAAGTCTTTTCAAACTTCTCCAAGAACTCGAGGGACAACTTGTCTTCGGTAGACAAGGCTTCCTCACCCACTACAGCCTTCATGGCGGCGGCATCTCTCCCAATGGCGTACTTGGCGTACAACTGGTTGGACACGTCACCGTGGTCCTTTCTGGTCATGCCCTCACCGATGGCGGACTTCATGAGACGCGACAACGATGGAAGCACATTGATTGGTGGATAAATACCTCTGTTGTGCAACTGGCGATCGACAGAGATCTGGCCCTCGGTAATGTACCCGGTCAAATCCGGAATCGGGTGGGTAATGTCGTCGTTCGGCATGGTGAGGATCGGAATTTGGGTGATGGACCCGTTGCGGCCCTCCACACGCCCCGCACGCTCGTAGATGGTGGATAAATCGGTGTACATGTAACCCGGATACCCTCTACGACCTGGAACTTCCTCACGGGCGGCAGAGACCTCACGCAAGGCATCGGCGTAGGAAGACATGTCGGTCAAGATTGTCAACACGTGTCTCTCGGTCTGGTACGCGAGGTACTCGGCGGTGGTCAACGCAAGACGCGGGGTGATGATTCTCTCGATCGTAGGATCGTTGGCCAAGTTGAGGAACAAGGAAGTGCGCTCCAACGACCCGTTTTCTTCGAAATCCTGCTTGAAGAAACGGGACGTTTCCAAGTTGACACCCATGGCGGCAAACACGATGGAAAAGTTCTCCTCGTGCCCATCGTGCACGTCCTTGGTTGGTCTTACCAAACCGGCCTGTCTGCAGATCTGGGCGGCGATCTCGTTGTGCGGCAACCCGGAGGCGGAAAAGATTGGGATCTTCTGGCCTCTGGCAATGGAGTTCATGGTGTCAATGGCGGAGATACCCGTGGAGATCATTTCCTCCGGATAGATACGCGCGTACGGGTTGATTGGCGACCCGTTGATGTCGAGGTAGTCCTCTGCAAACACCTTAGGGCCACCGTCGATGGCGCGCCCGGAGCCGTCAAACACACGTCCCAACATGTCCTCAGACACAGGAATCTTCAAGTTCTGGCCCGTAAATTCGACACGCGTCTTCTTCACATCAATCCCGGAGGTACCCTCGAAGACCTGCACGATGGCACGGTCGCCTCTGACCTCCAAGACCTGCCCAGCCCTGATGGTGCCGTCTGGAAGGGTGAGGTTGACGATTTCATTGTAGCGGGGGAACTTGACGTTTTCAAGAATCACGAGCGGGCCATTGACACCGCCGACAGTGTTGTAGTTGACTCTCGGCTTGATTCTGAAGCCCTCAGTGGCCGCCTTCTTGTTCAACTCAACTAAAGTGTTAGTACGGGAATTGGCCGGAAGCGGTTTAATACGTACAGAGTTCTTTATCGGATAAGTGAGACATGGTGGTCAATTGGCAGAGGTGGGAGGAAGAGGTTAGGGTGGGCGCATTTTGATATCGCCCAGCGTATCGCTATCAGGGAGCGAGGGGCGGGTTCACGTGTGGGCTGAAAAATACGCAGCGGGAGGGGGGTTACCATAGGCTGCATAGACTACTTTGGGGGATACACCCAGGAACCGAGATTAGAGATACTCCTCTCGAAAATATATCATTAATATAAATTGATTTAGTTTCTTGTATATTTGAATTGACGTATGTATTGGTGGACTGAAGATGATAAATTCCGGGTGCGAGCGGTAGAGATGAAATAGGTAGTGTTTATTGGGCGAGATGGTTATTAATGTAAATGGTGAAAATTGATACGAGACTAGGTTTTGGAGAGATTTCTAAAGGCTGTATTCTGTCTGTGGAGGATCAGTGATAAGGCGGTTTAGGGCAGGGTGAGTAACAGGCACGCATCGTCCACCATACTCTCAAAGGCCTTTCTAGAGAAATTGGTACGCATATCTGTTATATGGAGGTTACCTTCGGTAGCCTGGTCTTTGGCTGCTGCCCTCCTTTTACTGTTCTGGACATGGGCCCGCAAAAGCGGATATTTGGCCAACACCTATCTGCTTTCAAATTCCGAGCTTTGTAGCCAAAAAGCAGACGAAAAATCCAAGTCTAGTTTCTGGAGGGTGATTAGCAATTGCCTAGGTTAGATACTACGCGTAAACCCCACTGAACATCGAGACACTTCGTAACCGCTTTATTATACCATATTACCTCCTATAAATAGACAATATTCCCCATACGACTGGACCTTTATTCCAACCAAACAACCTTTATCTGACCCAGTTATGCCAATGGAGTGATATTTCACTACTTTGGCCTCCCTCGGCCCTCAAATACAACATCCTAGCAGTTCCACAACGCTAATCACGTGCACGTTTTTCACCGGCGAAAAATGCAAAATCAAACTTGAACAAAAATATTCCGACGCCGACCCAAGACGAATTTATTTTGGCGACCCCATATTTGTGCTGATGTCCCATTGGTCTTAACCCCGTTTACTTCACATAATACGCGGTTTAACCCAGTCAACACTCACTCAATTTAATACGTGCTCTTTGTCAGACAATAGCGTACACAGAATCAGCTATTCAACCAAACGGCATTCTGATCAAACGAGTTAACCAGTTCATATAGACGTCAAAACAGTAGCTCAGCCACCAAACAGCAACTCAGCCTATTTTAGCATAGACATTTTCGCCATCCCGGTAGATTTTCATATCACAGAAACCCATCCTAGACACCACTTTTGACATCCAAACCTTTATCTATGAACACCTTTGAGAGCTACCCGGAAATGCCATCCACTGCTGAAAGAGCAGAAACCGCCTCGACCATGGAAAACTACAACGCAGACGCGTACGACGCGTACCGTCACCACGACTATCCAGGGTACGCCGCGAACGCACAGGGCTACGAAGGATACCAGGGCGAGTTACCTGAACACGCGTGCGCGTATTGTGGGATCCATTCGACTGGCTGCGTTGTCAAATGCCACATGTGCAACAAGTGGTTCTGCAACCTGAGCGCCAACACGTCGGGTTCGCACATCGTCAACCACCTTGTGCACTCACGCCACAACGTGGTATCGCTCCACCCCGACTCGGAGCTCGGTGACACGACGCTCGAGTGCTACAACTGCGGGAACAAGAATGTGTTCATCCTTGGCTTCGTGTCGGCCAAGTCTGAGACGGTTGTGGTGTTGCTCTGCCGGCTCCCGTGCGCGCAGCTGAAGGACGTCAACTGGGACACGGAAAAGTGGCAGCTGTTGATCGAGGACCGCGCGTTGTTGCCGTGGGTCGCGGCGGTGCCGACCGAGGAGGAGCAGCTTGATGCGCGTTTGATCTCTGCGGGGCAGATTGCACGCCTTGAGGCCAAGTGGCGCTTGAACCGCGAGGCCACCATGGAGGACGTGGAGCAGCATGGCCAGGAGGAAGAGGAGACCCAGCCCATCTTGATGCGCTACAACGATGCATACCAGTACCAGCGGTCCTTCGGCCCACTCGTCAAGCTCGAGGCTGACTACGACAAGCAGCTCAAGGAGTCGCAGGCGTTGGAGCACATCTCCGTCAAGTGGTCGCTCGGCTTGAACAACCGCCACCTCGCGCTGTTTGCGTTCTCCACGTTCGAGTCCGGCGACTTGAAGGTGGCCGTCGGTGACGAGATCATCTTGCGCTACTCCGGCTCGAATCACGCCGCGTGGGAGTGCAACGGCTACATTGTGCGCCTCCCATCCGCCTACCTGGAGGAGTTCACCTTGGAGCTCAATCCCTCAAAGTTAGCGCCGCCAACCCACTGCATCACTGACTTCACCGCCGAGTTCGTCTGGAAGGGCACTTCCTACGAGCGCATGCAGCAGGCTATGAAGGTGTTTGCTGTCGACAAGGAGTCCGTCTCCGGCTACATCTACCACAAGATGCTCGGGCACGAGGTGGCGGATGTGGAGTTCGACGTGAAGCTCCCAAAGACGTTTTCTGTGTCGAAGCTCACAGAGTTGAACGTGTCGCAGTCGAACGCGGTCAGGTCCGTGTTGCAGCGCCCGTTATCGTTGATCCAGGGGCCTCCCGGCACCGGTAAGACCGTCACCTCCGCCACTATCGTCTACCATTTGTCGCACATCAACAAGGAAAAGATTCTCGTGTGTGCGCCGTCCAACGTGGCTGTCGACCACTTGGCTGCCAAGCTCGATTCGCTCGGGTTGAAGGTGGTGCGGTTGACCGCCAGAAGCCGCGAGGACGTTGAGTCGTCTGTCAGTCACTTGGCGCTCCACCTGTTGGTGGCCAAAACCGCCAAAGGCGAGTTAAAGAAGTTGGTGCGCTTGAAGGCCGAGCTCGGCGAGCTCTCGGCGCTGGACTCCCGCAAGTACATCAAGTTGATCCGCGTGTCCGAGAAAAAGATCATCCAGTCGTGCGACGTGGTGTGCTGCACGTGTGTAGGGGCCGGTGACAGAAGATTAGAGTCCATGCGCTTCCGCTCCGTGTTGATCGACGAGAGCACCCAGGCGTCTGAGCCGGAGTGCTTGATTCCGATCGTCAAGGGCGCCAAGCAGGTGATTTTGGTCGGTGACCACCAGCAGTTGGGGCCGGTAATTCTTGACAAGAAGGCCGGTGATGCCGGCTTGAAGCAATCCTTATTCGAGCGCCTTGTGGTGTTGGGGCACGTGCCGATCCGCTTAGAGGTTCAGTATCGCATGAACCCGTGTCTTTCAGAGTTTCCGAGCGACATGTTCTACGAGGGCTCGTTGCAGAACGGTGTGACGGCGGAGCAGCGTTTGATCCAGGATTCCTCCTTCCCGTGGCCGATCCGGGAGATGCCGATGATGTTTTGGGCCAACTACGGACGCGAGGAGATCTCCGGTAGCGGGACGTCGTTCCTCAACCGCGTGGAGGCCATGAACTGCGAGCGCTTGATCACGCGATTGTTCAAGGACGGCGTCAAGCCCGAGCAGATCGGTGTCATCACGCCGTATGAGGGCCAGAGAGCGTATGTGGTGCAGTACATGACCATGAACGGGACATTGCCCGACAAGGAGTTGTACATGGCGGTGGAGGTGGCCTCGGTCGATGCGTTTCAGGGCCGTGAGAAGGACTTTATTATTCTCTCGTGTGTCAGAGCCAACGAGCTGCAGACCATCGGGTTTTTGAGTGACCCCAGACGCCTCAACGTGGCGTTGACCCGTGCCAAGTACGGATTGATGGTGTTGGGGAACCCGAAGGCGTTGTCGCGCAACTCTTTGTGGTCGCACTTGTTGATCCACTTCCGTGAGCGCGGCTGTTTGGTCGAGGGATCCTTGGAGAACCTCCAGCTCAGCACAATCGAGTTGCATAAGGGCAAGGGTGGGTTCCAAGCCCGAAGCAACCGTGGTGCCGCCGGGCTCGCTGTCGGTGCGGAGGCGACCACCTTCCGCGACTTTGACACCGCCTCTATTGTGTCGTATGTTCCGGATAACCAGAACAACGACTTTGGCTCGGCTGGGGGCTTCTCCTCGTTTTTCAACCAGAAGAGCTGGCCGGCTCTTGGCGGCCAAAACAGCGAAAACACCCCCGAGGAGTTTTTTTCGTCGAAGCGAAACCCGCTCAACTCGAGCTTCAGCAACAAGTTGAGCCAGGTCAACGCTGGGTTTAGCAAGCAGGTGGACGACGACATCCAGAGCGTGACCAGCAACTTTGCCGAGAAACTTGGCTTTAGATAGGGGTCTTCGGATCCAGATGTAATGGGGAGACCCAATTTCTGTCTCATCAGGTTGTATACTACGATTCTTATTCACAATAGATGTAAGTTAAAAAAAACGTATAGAAAGTTAGGAAATAGTGTAGACAATTTTTAGGTTGTATATAACATATTTAAGACTTATTTCTCTTCCTTGGGAGCCTAAACGCTGCAACTTTTGGCATCTAGAATGCTTTACTTGACCCTTTACTGTCCAATCTTTCTGAAATTAAAAGACTCTAGATGTTTAACCTCGGGATCTTAATCCTTTTAGATATTCATGAGGTGCTTTGTCCCAGCCGCGCTGGATCCTGCACCGAGCTTTAATTATTGATATGGTTTAAAAATCTCGCTAATTGGACATACATTTTATCGGACATAACCACACCCATCAACCCCCCCTCCAACCATCAGCCCATATCCATTTCACATTCATGTTTCTCAGATTAGGGATCCGGACGCTAACGGTCTCCAGAGTAATACTGCCGAGGGCATTCACGCCACTTGCCAGATGCAACGTCGCTATTGTGCGGGGGCTTGCCACTCAAAGCAACACCCCGTTGAGGGGTACTCCCAGAGGTATCAAAAAAGAGTCACCTACGACAATTCACGAAGGATCCGAAAAGGAAATTTCCGAGGCTTTTAGGGAAGCAAAGGAGGCGGCGACGGTAGTAGTAGCAGCTCCTTCTAACGAGGAAATCAAAGTCGATGCGCTAAAAACAAAAACCCCCATCGGGGAAGCTTTCAAGCTCTCCCCCAAAGACTCAAACCCCAACGGCTGGACAGACATCAAAAAACTCTTCCGCCTCGCATACCCAGTGCGCGGTCAGCTCGCCTTTGCCTTTGCCTGCCTCTTCATCGCCTCTCTTGTCTCGATGTCGCTTCCACTCGTCATTGGTAAGCTCATGGACTCTGCAAACCAAGCTGAAGGCTCCCACAACGTCTACGGAATCCCCCTCGCCAGTTTCTACTACCTAATGGGAGGGGTCTTTGTCGTTGGCGCCATCGCCAATGGCCTCAGACACACCCTTCTCAAGGCTATCGGCGAAAACATCGTGTCCAAGCTTCGCACCCGGGTCTTGAAAAACGCTTTGATGCAGGACGCGGCCTTCTCTGACACCAACTCCGTGGGTGACATGATCTCGCGGCTCTCTACCGACAGTCACATTGTCGCGAAAGCTGTTTCGCAGAACGTCAGCGACGGGCTCAAGGCCGCACTTCTGGGAACAATTGGGATTGCTATGATGGTCTATGTAAGCACCCAGCTTTCGCTTATGATGGCGATTGTACTTCCGCCGTTGGCGCTCTTTGGCGCCTTCTACGGTCGCAAGGTTAGACTGTTGACGAAGCAGTTGCAGGAGCAGTTTGGTGAGTTGACTAAGGTTGCAGAAGAGCAGCTCTCCGCCGCCAAAACCATCCAGTCGTTTGGCCAGGAGCGCCAGGCCGTGAACTTGTACTCGTCTGAGGTCCGGAGGGTCTTCAATATTGGGTTGCGCGAGGCGAAACTTTCCGGTGTCTTTTTTGGCTCCACTGCCTTTCTCGGTAATGCCACCCTCTTGGCCCTTCTCGCATATGGTAATGGGTTGGTTTCTTCTGGGGCCATTTCCTTTGGTGACCTCTCTTCCTTCATCATGTACGCGGTCTATACTGGGAGCTCGATGGTGGGCCTCTCCAACTTCTACTCAGAGATCATGAAAGGCGCGGGTGCCGCGTCGCGTGTGTTTGAACTTCTTGAGCACAAACCAACTATCAAGCCTACCAAGGGACTCAGAATTACCGACCCGCACACCCAATTGGGCGGCGATATTGTCTTTGACCGGGTCAGATTTGCCTATCCCACCCGGCCAGACGTCGCCATCTTCCAAGAGTTGAGCGTCACGATCAGAAAGGGCGAGCACGTGTGCTTTGTGGGCCCTTCGGGGTCCGGGAAGTCCACTGTAAGCGCGCTCTTGCTCAGATTCTACGACCCACTCTCCGGCAGCATCAGCATCAACGGGCTTAATCTCCGCGACTTGAACCTTTTGACCTACAGGCGCGGCCTTGGGGTGGTCCAACAGGAGCCATTGTTGTTTTCCGGCACCATAAGAGAGAATATCACGTTTGGCAGACCGCACGCGACCATGGACGAGATCCGTAACGCCGCCAGGTTGGCCAACTGTGACAAGTTTATTTCGGAGTTTCCCGCGGGTTTGGATACGGTGATTGGCTCCAGAGGTGCCCAGTTGTCGGGAGGCCAGCGCCAGCGCATCGCTCTCGCACGGACATTGATTACCAATCCGGCGATTCTCATCCTAGACGAGGCGACCTCGGCGTTGGACACGTTGAGCGAAAAGGCGATCAACGAGAATTTGCTCTTCAGAAAGGCGCACGGCCAGACAACGATTTCTATTGCCCACCGCTTGTCAACCATCCGAAATGCGTCGCGCATTGTTGTGTTGAACAAGGTCGGGGACGTGGTGGAGACTGGTGGATTTGAGGCGTTGTATGGCGATGCCAAAAGCGAGTTGAACCGATTGTTGCGGTCAAACAACGGAGAGTTGGAGGAGAGCGAGGTGATCAAGGAAAGGGAGGAGATTGATATGAGGATTGAGCATGGCAGCAGCCCCACTGGGCTTTCCTAGAGAATTGGCGATTGGGCGTTAGTGTCTGGGTCAACTAGCATATAGAGGTATTATGCATGGGTATGAATAATGTATATAGCCAGTTTAGCTAAGGTGTAGTGATTTTCTTTTCAAGCCCAGTAGAATGGCCTTTGAAGCTAGTCTAACATGAGGTTGAGTAGAGATGTTATTTTGGGCTAGATAGGCTAATGCTTTATGGGCGATCTTTCTACGGGCGGCTCATTCAGCTAGACCTAAAGCCTCTCCTTACTATGAAAGTTATACCTTGGTACTACCATGGTTGGGGTTTGGCGAAATGAACATTGCGAGGTGGCATCGGAGAGATACCAAAGGGGTTTTATGGACACGAAATAAAGGTCAGATATTTGAAACCAGGCTCTCGGGCAACCTATATAACGTGACTATTCATACTGTACTCAAGCTATGTCAGATTAATACCTTTCAACACATTTCGTGGATTGCTACTCGTCGCACACCTTTCGCCCAGTTTTTTCTACATCCATTTGTTAAACTTACATTGATTCTAGTAGCCATCTCTTCCCCCGAGAATCTCCCACAAGGTGTATTTATCTCCCGTCACCAACACCACCACGTCGTTCTGCCCATTCTCATGGAAGCCGTGTTCCTGGAGGCCAAAACTGATGGGCGTGTCTGCTAGCCCATAGCTGGCCACACAGGACCAGTCTTTGCCCTTCTGGAGCTGGTGGAGCTTGAATGACAAGAAGTCAGTGGCTATGAGCCCGTCCCAGGTGACGCAGACAAGGTTCTGCTTACAAGTCCCGTCCAAGTCGCGGACGGAGTAGCTGGAAACGTAGGGGTCGACCTCCTGCGTGAGTTGCTGGCCGTTGACCGATGCGTAAGCGAGCCACTCGAGAAGATCCAAAGTGTACGACTCCAAATGATCCTTTAAAAGCGACTCGGCGTATGGCGGGTTTTCCTTAAGGTGCTGAGAGTAGCTAAGGGTCTTTGGGGTGTCTACCGACGTGAACCTCTGCACCTGGGGACCGACCACCGTGTGAGTGACCGTTCCGATCAGGGATAAGTAGGCTTTAGTTTCCGCAATGGCTGTTTCATCAGTGCTACACGTGACAGTAATCTTAGTGTTCTGGAAGATTTTATCTGAGCTCCAGAGAAGCCTGTCCCATTGTTGTTGTTCGTCGTTGGCGCAGACGTCAGCATAGACCACCTGGTACTTTTTCTGTTTCAGGATTCCGGAGAGCAACTGAGACCGTTTTCCCATAAGCCCACACCTCTGGTAGGTCAATTCGGATAAATTCAACACCATCCTAACGGCCTTTGTGGAAAGTTTGGATACAATGGCAAACATATCTTCGTGGTCCACATGGCCCTCGCTCACCACGCACAATCTGTGCGCAGCCACCAAGGCAATAAAGCCGGGACTGAGGAGCGCGTTCAAGCTAGGAATGGTCATCTGGAAGGTGGAGGCTCGGAGCCCTGCTAGCTGCAGTTCCATACGCTGGAAGCTAGCCTCAGGTAGTAGTAGCTGCACACGGCAAGAGAGATTGTGCTTGACGAGGGACCTTTCCGGCTTGGTGAGCTTTTCGGAGACTACGTCACCACAGGTAACATGACACTTGGTTCTGGGAAACTGGATCTGCTTCATACGATTAGGGAGAGGAGCTGACGCCTGTGATGATCAGGTTGAGGTGTATGAAAGAATATTTTTCAGCCTGCATGTACGATTTTTCAGCCTGCAGGTAGGTCTCAGGCTTATCTCGAGGAGATGTCGGCATCTTTTGGCATATTAAATGCCTAGACGGCTAGTAATTTTGGGTAAATACTCTGAAGGAAATTACCATGAACTGAGATACTTTTTTATGTGCACCTCAATCCGAGTTTCACAGGAAAGGGTGGGATTATGGGTACCATCTTTGAGATTTAGACGAACTATTGGTAAGCCCATGTACATTCTTTCCTTTCGATCGTCAATCGCAAACACCGTTGGCAGGCTAGCGTATCGTAACTACCTCCTGCCTGTCTCTACCACCCGCAGCACCTTTCGATTAATTCCTAATTGAATCTATGATCCCAATGTTTAAGCTCACCCATCGATTCTCTTTCCGATAGCTGATTACAATCAAGAATATAGACATGATACAGCTGGGTTTATGAAGCATGTGAAACAGCACATCACGTGACCACAAGGTGCAGGTCTGCTTATCGTACTGACTGGCCAGGCAAAAGTAGTGGCACCAGTTTCCAGAAAAGTGGGTTTTTTTTTTCCTAATCATCTCCCCCAACTATTCAATTACAGAAGAGAAAGCTTACAGCACGTACCACCAGCCAATAATTGCTAAAAGGACCATTCAACACCCCGTTATTATCTCTTACAAACCCAAGGAGAAGTCACACAGACGTCACGCTACGGACAGAAGCGACGCAAAAGTGGTACTAGAGAAGCGCTTATACCCGTCCCTTGAAGTCTAGACAAGAGGAAGTTTAACGATTGATTACCGTTCCACCGGCACAACTTCACTATACTAGTTCATCTAGCCATCACTCCTATACCTCTCGCATTTGCTTGACAATGACATGAGCCGCCACCCGGAACGGAACGAGAGCGGGTTTTGCTGCGGGATCTGTCAGCACACAACCCGCGAGGACGAGTACGCCAGCCACGCACCAATGAGCCGCAAGGTTTACTGCGCCAGCTGTGTCAACTTCAAGCTCATGGGGCCGTTTGTCCGGCGGCAGAGCGTGGAGTACACCAACCAAGAGGCCCGCCACACCATCGACACCATTCTCCACCAGTCACTCGACCCAGAACGTGGCTTGTTGCGTAACTATGTGGAGAATGCGGCCGATTTCACCATCAACAGCATTTACAGCAACTCAAGCGATGAGTATGAGGATGAGGACTCGGGAGGATACGTGTCTGTTGACTTTCAAGCCAAAGGGGCGGGCGCAACTAATAGCCTCGGCAAGACATTCAACAAATCTGTCCCTAGGCCGAGAGAGGCGGCCGTAGCCAGCCTATCTGCACAGTTGCTTGCCATAGAGACGATGAACACCAAGCGGAGGGTCCGACGGTTGCAGAGAGCGACCAAAGCACTTGCGGAGCGGAATACGCGGACCAGAGAGAGCATCAAAGCAGCGGAGGCGACCTTATCAACCAGAAAAACACAGTTAGAGGACCTCCAGGGAGCCTTGACAGGCGCCAGAGAGACTGAGCGGGAGAGGTTTATGGAGGCAATGAAGGAGGCCACGCCGAAGCTCCCAGAGACGCTGAAACTAGTGGATTCGCTCATGATCCGAACGTGCATCTCTCTCAACCAGCTATTCTTTCCGGGTCTAGCGTCCAGGACGGCCGAGATCCAGCTCACACGGATTGTCAACATTCTGGACTTTAAGTTCACCCGTCTCGAGGAAATCAACTTGTTTCTCGAGAAGCTTGTGCTTTGGCAGGTGATGTTGGCGAAGATTACTGCCCGGGATCTTCCGTTCTGGGAGGTGGCCAGCTTTCTTCCGACGCGGGATTTTTACAACTCGTTGGGAGGGTCTTATTTCCCCGATTTGCGTAGCCAGACCCCTCAGGAGCCTCAGACCGCCCCTCTGGCTCTTTCTATCAACCCATTTCCCACCATCCGTTTAACCAATGTGATCTCGGCACCCACCCGATCCGTGTCCTTTTTGGGGGCCAGCTTCTCCGAAAGCTCGATGGTGCTAGACAAAGCCAGGCACGGCCAAACTAGCATTCCCTTATCCTCCACTAGCATCAACAACCGCCGTCGACTCAGCGTTAACAAGGAAACTACCGAGAATGGACCCAAGCCGTTGATGTCGCCCCCACCCAAGCACCGTTTGCGGGAGGGGCTATCGATTTACAAGATTCTACCGGCACCCGTGGTGAAGTTGGATAAAGACGCGCTTGCCAATTTCTGCCTCAAGCTATCGATGATCATCATAAACATCTGGGAGTTATACCGGCTGTTTCTCGATAGAGCACAGGGAAGCGAGCCCACCATCACCGAAATTGTGGCCAAGTTGGACGAGGTAATACTCGACGTAGCGGCGCTATCGCAGGACCCCTGCTCCAGCAGATTGTTCAAGCCGAGGAAGAAGGATGTAGGGGTTGACGGGGACGAGTTTAGGTTTGACCGCACGCTGAATGTTGAAATGGTCACCCTTAATTCGGTCGCCAGGTTTGTGTTCAAGTACTTGGAGCGACAGTAATACGTGTTTTTTTTCTGGATTAGACAGCCACTGCCAAGGTTTGGTAGAGTCTAGTATGTTCCAACGTGTATCTAGAATTGGACTAGAGTTGCGGTTGTAATGAAACTAGGAAGGGGTTGCTGAAATTTATTAACCCAACCTGTCGATTTTTAGAAATTAGTCTGGTACGAAGGTGTGTTGATTAAAAGGGTACAGCAGTGCGCACTTGTTTCTGTAACACGCATAAGATTTAGATCGATAGGCTGGAGACTCGTTTATAAAGGTTACTCGCAGCTAGGTTTGGATAACTCTAAAACCGTACCGGTAGTGAGATGCTAGTGGTTTGGCAAATTTGAAAAGTGGTTCTGATTAGAGCATGTTAGATACCATAATGATGGTCCTGGAATGTTATTGTAATATCGTGGTTTAGGGTGCAGACCTTAGTATCTACATTGCAACCTCACAAAGGTGAATCATAAATCATTATATAGCTTTCGTGTCTCTCCATACGATACCTAGAGGTTTTTTGAGTACTTTCTCACACTCGCTGCTTGTCTGTCCAAGTGCAAGTCCCTTGTCTTGGAAGCTCGCTGAGAGGGGAGAGTGTCATCTTCCTTTCCGCGCAAAAAGGAAAAAACCGACGCTTTGCGCCTAACCGCAGCTTCAGAACTTGGGTGGACGGGGGCCGGGAAGACAAAAGTGCCGGGTTTCCTTTGTTCCGTACCCGAACCGAATTGCTTCTGTAGACGGGCATTAAAATCGTCAATGTTCAATGTGAAGTGGTTATCCACGGCGGCCGGCTCCACACTCTTTTTTCCGGGCTCTGAGTACTGCATCTCTGTGGGGGCCAAATGGTCGTAGTCTAGCTTAATCCCCAACATCATGGATTCGGTAATAAACCCCCACAACTTTGAAAAGGCAGTCATAAACGCAAACAACTCAGCTTCTTCCTTGCTGTTCAATTCCTCCGCCGCCTTCAGGACTTCCAAACCAGGATTGTGGTACAACTCCTTGATTCCTAGCAAAACCGCCGCGCCAAGGATTTCCAAACTGGCGGGATTGAAGCCCGGGGTGCTGTGGGTGGCACTAAAGTCCAGCTCGCCGGGGATATGTACCGCCTTTCTTTCGTGTATCTCCTCGCTGGCCAAGAAGACACGCTTATGCAACCGTCCAAGGTTCACCAACTTTCCCTGAACTACGCTCAAGTGTTTAATGTGCCCCATACATAAACTGAGGATGCTGCTGATGGCTATCCGTTGGTGGGCCGGTGGGGGCAACTGTGCGAGGATCTGCTCGAAGGTGTGGGCTTTGGTGGTGGAGAAGAAAGAGTTGTGAACGGCGCTGTCCAAATGGGAGTTGTACACGTGGTGCCAGAACTGGATAGAGGATAAATGCGCTTTCAATGAGCCAGTGTTTTGATTCTTGCCAAACTTGGTAAACCATGCGTCATTCAACATTTTGACCTCGTACGGACTGAATTTGGTGTGGACAAACTTCCAGTAGGATTGGTCTCTATCCTTGGCCTTAGCTGGGACGGAGTATGATGGTACCTGACGCGAGGGAATGGCAGTGAAAGCTAAGACGGAGGCATTGTCACTGTGAGAGCCACTTTTGGCCTTCTGCACCGAGCGTGTTTGGAACTTTGCGTGTGAAGGGGCAGTGGAATAGACAGAGGAGCTGACGCTGGCGATTGTGTCTCGAGAAATCGTTCTGGTGACTCGGCTCTCTTCAAAGATCGATTCATCGGAGTTGCTGGAACTGTCGGATGCTACCGACAACTTTCTTGACAGATAATCGCCTGTGCTCATAGTGTAATATTTAGAGAGCCTGTGTGAGAGCTTATAGGTGTGGTTAATAAAGGCATGTGGCTGAACATAACGGGGCTAGCTGGAATATATATGCTGTTTTAAAGGGCAATCTACAACGTTGAACCTGCCTATGCAATGGGGTTAACAGTAATCGATCCAATAGTCTAACCAAGTTACATGCATTCTGCAGCCCGTGCAGATTCGTAAATAGTAATCGGCACTGCCCTGGACAGGCAGGAGGACGCACATGCTTTAGAAAAATCAGCATGCATGACCGAAAAGGCAACCGAAAGCAAAGGAATGGCGGGGGGATAGGCGGGAAGCCTTGGGTACCAGCCTCCGCAACAGGTTGTTGGTTTGCGTTTTGGTGTTATGCGGGATGAGAAATCACATGGCCGTCCCAAGAATCAGACTTTATGCCCTGTATCCTCAGACATGTGACCCTGGGACTTAGATCTAGTGGTACAGCATTACTGCATGCCTATGATCTGTTGTGCCGCCGCAGTTGGCGAGCTTTGTACCAGACGCATAATAGCCACTCGAGCTAATGTGTTTGAAGTGGAAACGCCAGAGAAGCGCTCTTACACGGAAGCAGACCATTGCTCCAGATCCCTAGCCACTTCAAAAGACTAGGTGGAGAAATACCCCACCATCTACTTTCCCATATGGTAATTCCTGCGAATGCAAGAAGATCGAGATGACTCTAGGTTTCTAGGCTAAAAGGAACCTATCCCTTTTCATCGAAGATGTCTAAACGTTCGGTACGCAAACTATCCGTCGACAACGCGGATCTAAGTTTAACAACTACATGCCGCTTCACTACCAGGAACTCGATTGGTACATGGGTGTTGGCTGGCGGACAATAAAACGAGGTCATTAATTTACGCTAGTCCACCGTCAAGCTAACGGACCTAGGCTTAAATTACCGATGAAGAAAAAAAACCACTTCCCGACCGGCAATTACTTAACGAAGGTACACGGCACCCTGTTACCCGAGCGTCCTGTATAAATGTCAGCTCGCCGACGGCCCTATTCCTATAGGCCTAGCCAGCTTTCTGGACCAAACGGAAGGGGTTATTAAAGCTCACAAAGACGAGAGTCTCTTTCACTAAGTCTAGAATACCAGATGGCTGTACGGAGGCTTTTCGTGAGACCTTTGAGATGCAGGGGATGTGGCACCGCCAAAAAAAAATTTAATAAAAGCTGGAACCTGGGGAGGGCGCATTCTACAGATGCAAGCTTTTCAAGCCGGTATACCCTGAAAGGTATGCAGTATGCTCCTCGCCGTTTAAAGTTGTTGAGCAGGTATTCCCATTGGACCTGCCCTTCACGGGGGGGAGGGCTAGCTTTATAACTCCTACGTCACCTTCCTAACAGGCTCTTGTTTGGCTGTAGTCGCTGACGAGCTTACCTTTAAGGTGGTGATAAAATGCACATGCAACCTGCAGCTCAGAAGTCACACCTTGCGTGGTACAAACTTAAAACCGCGTATCAGCAGTGTTTCACATGCTCGTACTAGAACAGCGGAGAAGACCATTGAACTCCAAATGAACAATTAATAAAGTTGGGGACCCAAGTCGACATCATCGAGAGGGAGGAGCTTACCATCGAGCCGTTATGCTTAGCCAAACCCTTATCAAAGATAGGCCCAAATACCCGGTTCTCGTCTAGTTTCGCCAAGTGGCTCGGCTGTTTGCAACATGGAAATCAAGCTCGTGAAAGTATCAATGGACACGCGGCTACTGCAGACAAGAATTTTCCAACCCGAAAGTTTGCACCCAGCGAAAGAAACGTAAGCTATACATTGCGTACTAGGTTGGTACCCTGGACAGACGCGCGATATTCATCTGGCTACCGGCAGATCGCCATAAGCAGGAAATGTAGCAGATAAGACAAAGACGTGTCAGGAGGTAATATTGGCACATAGGTAAAATTGAACAACCCCCAGAACAAACCAAAACTATTATATAATACAGGCCTGTGATGCTGTTACCAAGGGAAATAACTGGGAGCGTATCAGGTATGTAGGTCTCCAATAAAGTGCCTGCAGTTATTGTTCGCGCTAATAAAACCAAAGCTTGGTCACACACGAACCAGAACTGTCAACCTCTGGTTTGAACTCAGCTCCTATCCATTCAACGTCAAATATGACCTTAAGGCGTCCTGGCTCGCTGGAAACCATTTCTAGACGGGGCACCTGCTCCATCTCAGCCCATAATCGTACGATTGGCTAACTGGCTGCTTACACGATTGCGTACGTCACGGGACGTGCAACGGTAAGTCCCTTGCACCCGGTCCGCAACCTGCACTTACTGTTTTGCCTATTCCGGTAATTAATACTGACTATACGTTAAGACACGCGTATATTACACGTTTACCCCAAATAGTAAAGTATACGATAAGGTTCAGATACGCCCAAGAGCTTGACCTTGTCTCTACGCGATTCAAGTCACGTTCCCCATTGTGTCCCCTGGTATAGAAAGGCCCTCGATTGAGGCCTGGCTGGCCAGGAAGAAAGACCAACTTAGATCTATCGCAGGTCAAACCCCTCTGCTTGATAGCGGGCAAAAGGCGTCTGTTGCCCTTATTTCCTTGAATACACCGCTTTACTGTTCTCTGGTATCCCACCTAAAAGGCTATCGGTTGAATTATTGGCCATGAATTTCTTTCACTGCATGGCCCGAGGTACGAAAAAAGTGGTCGCTTTGGTACTACCGGCACGATATATGTGATAGAAATAACGCTCCGTGTGCAGCATAGGTTTATGCACGTATCCAGATTCCACCGGGCTCAATCACCCCTCTGCCGATCGTGCTCGCTGGAGGATCTCTGGCCGTTAAAGCCATAAATCTTAGTAAACTTTGAGCCTACGTTTGATGCAGGATATATCTGGTTTTACCGGGAAGATATTTTCTTCCCACGCACATAGAGATTCGCGTGGTGTGGGGATGCAGACATTACAGAGTTCGGTAGCTTCTCCTATTTTACATGCGAGGGAAGAGCGCACGAACGCTGTAGATCATTGGGATATTTCCAGTCAGGGAATATTGTGACGTGTCGACATAGTACGCGCGATCTTTGTCTCGAGATTTCGGCCAACCGCAACTGGAAAGCATTCTCGCATATGCGGTTATAAGCTTTCCTGGTACATGTACAATCCTTGTAACACTTCTAACCCTGGCGATTTGGATTTATAACGTGTTGCAATTTAGGCCGAAGAAAAAAAACGAACTTATGTGTAGATTTTTGACATAAGGCTAGGGTGTAAGGTGAACTAAAGAATATTCATGGGGCTCCTACGTACACTTTGGAACTATGGGTGTAAAAAACTACATGTAATACGTATCCAATTCCTTAACCAAATTCCCTACCCACCAGTAAAACCCGGTACTCTTTAAATATGTGATAAAATTACAACTTCTCAACCATTAGTATATTTTAAAACCCATTGTAATCCAGCACTACATGAGATCCTCGTGCTTCAACAACCCGGCAAGCTGCGCCAACTTTTGCGCGGCCTCGGGGTTGACCTTCTTCAACCGTGTCATGATATCCTGCTCATTAAAATCTTCGTCATCCTCTTCCTTAGTACCGGTCTCCTCAAAGACGTTGGCAATCGGTGCCTCGTCCGCCTCCTCGTCCTCATCCACCCCCGGAATCACCTTCTGTAAGCTCTCTTGCTCGTCCTCGTCCTCTTCCTCGTCCTCCTCGTCCTCCTCCTCGACAACCTCCTCGTCCATGTCGCCCTCTTCGTCGTCATCGTCATGGCCCTCCCCAGCCTTTGTGGCCAAAATGGAGCTCAACACCTTCTCCTCAATTGGCAAGTCGTACAACATCCGCTTCAATTTGTACCGTATGATCTTTCTTACAATGTCCATGGCGTGGCAGTCGATCCAACCATCAGCCGCCAAATGGCACGTCAGAGACAACATCTTTGGCTTGAGGGCCAAGGTGGGAGCGCCTGGATTGGTGAGAAGCTGGGCCCGGACCATCGGATCCAACACATCCCCGATTTGGAAAGTCAATGTGGCAGGCAACTTTTCGCCCGTAAACACCAAGTCCTCAGGAATCACCGCGTGCGCATACGTTGGGAGCGGAACCAACTTAGACTTCGACCAATCGTCGGACTCGTAGCTTGTGTCTAGGGTGTTCTGCACCACCTTTTCGGCCTCCTTTGGGTCTGTTTCCCCGGCTTCTCCCCCAGCCTGGGACCGGCTGGTGACGGCAATTTTGTGGAAAAACCCAAGCAACCGGAAACTCTCGGACTGGTACTTCCAGAACGCCGGGTCCACCCGCGGATCGACCCCGAACTTGATATAGGTCTGTCTCCAGGGGCCCTTGCGCATAATGTAGCTCAAGTGTGGTAACGCGTACTTCAACACCGAGCGCATCTTCTCGGGCACCACCGCGTTCAACTGGCGTCTGATCCACACCGGCTTCTGCTCAAACAAGTCACGCAAGAGCTCGATGCACTCCAACGTCTGGAGACTCTTTGCGTGCAGCTTGTCATCCCCCGCGGACGGATCAGTTCTCATCTCCACGAGCTGGCGGTACTTCTTCACCAACTCCGGGTGCGGCGTCTGCGGCGTAGGGCCCAGGATATTCACAATTAATGTGTAGAGTTTGATCCGGCGCGTTTTTGACACGAGTTTCAACTTGCCCTGGTCGTTGACCACCTGAATCGCCGGGTTTTTCTTGTACTGGTAGTTGTGCGGCACATTGGTGTGTGAGAAGCGGCACGGCGGGGGCAAGCTGATGTTCTTGTTGGTGTAGTTTTCATGCGGGTCGTGTGTGGAGTTGAAGATTTCCTGTGTAAACTCCTTGATTTTCACCAAATCGCCGGCAAAAACCGTCTCTTTCACTTGTTGCGTGAGCGCGTCGTTTCGCGTAATGTACTGGAAGTCCGCCATTTCGCGAAACTGAAAGTTGCGGTCAATTATCGCAATCGGCTCAATCTTTACTGTGTGTGGATTCTGGATGTTGCCCAAAACCTCGGAGATCCGGAGCCCCGCCAATGCCGCCTTGTTCTCCGTCGTAAGCTGTGCCTTGGGGATAGACACTTTGAGCAAGATCTTTTGTTTCTGCGTATTTACCAGACCTGTGAGTGGGTGGTGGTATGGGTCCTTTGCCGATCGCAACCGGAGCTCCAACGGGTTCATTTTTGGGTTTTGGATTGCCTTCGCGATCCGTTGCTGACCGCCGAGCAAGCCAGTCGCCTTGTCCACGTTACGCACCTTCAACGGAAGCTCGAGTGCCGTGAGGTGAGGAACGTCTAAGGAGTGTTTCTTCGCTGGTTTGGGAGCCATATTGGTGTGCGAAATAGGTCGAGGAGAGAGCCAGGAGTAGTTGAGATGGTGGCTGTTTTGATCACTGGTGGTGGCTTGAAGATCGGGAGGGTTTCGATATGGGTAGGTGCACGACTATCGAAAGGAGGACAATCGGTAATTATCACTTTTTTTTCTCTGGTACCGTAAAGAATTCAATAAAAATACCCATTTATCAAAGTAGTATACGTTTTGGTACTTGGATAAATGACTGTCCTTCTTCAAACTCGCTTATAACCATATGGCACAACCAGTGAATGCCTGAAGGATACGAGAAGCAGAATTTGTGTCACGTGACTATAACTCAATTTGCATCCTGCATGCAACCTATACGGGTCTTTACGACGCAGATACAATATGGCTACGCCCTTATCTTCAAACGTACGCTTGAAAGACCCTCGACAGAAATCTTCCAATCCCACGTTATGCCACGGAGCGATGATTGGTAGAACCACTTCGCCCTCCTGGGCCACTCGCTTGCATCTTCTGCGTAGCTCTAGTGTCTCGACTGGGTCGCACACCCCACCACGAGTACGGCAGAGCTCCCTTCCCAACCCGCTTCTACAGGATCCTTTCAACTACGTCACCCTTGAGAAGCGAATAAGTGAGATCTACAGACGATACCCCCGCATGCACAAAGTACCAATCCCGCCCCAGACCTTTATCCAGGTGATTGAGGCGTGCCGTGAGCTAGAAAAACAGACGGAAAGGTCGCAGAACTTTAATTCCAGGCCGGTATTTGTATCTAAGGACAACCAGCCGAGTCTCATGAAGTTGTTAGATTTCCAGGGAAAATACAAGAGTAGCGACGTGGAAACGAAACTATTGGGCCGGTTTCTAGCCCGCTTCCACGTGGATTTCTACGAAGGGCTAACCGCAGAGTCTCCCATAAAGGCATACATCACAGGCGACCCAGTACCCGCGGTCGACCGGATTATTCTGGTATTCCGCGACATTCCCACGTTTTCTAGGGCGAAAATGGAAACCAAGCTAGCGTTTACGGCTTTGCGGGTCTTGCTCCAGAAGCACAACGACTACTACAGTGCCTTCAAGTTGATTGATGAGACTGTCAATCACAAGTACTACCTTTTGGCTAGGGAGAGTATGCTTCTCCGCCATACGATCCCCAAGTTGGGGCTCTGGTATGCCGGTTTCCATGGAATAATCGAGATAAGCTCCCTTTTGGCAGGTGTAGACTCCACCTTCTTGATCCACTACAACATGTTTATGCTCTCAATCGCTTACCTCTCGGCCACTGCTTCCTTCCTCATGATCAGCAACATGCGCACCAACTTTCTCCTCAATGGAAACAGGGTCCGGTGGCGATCCAGTACGTCCATCAGCTACCGCATCTACCACCACAACGAGTTAAAGATGATGGACCGGATTGTGGTTGCGTTTGAAGAAACTATGGAGCGAAACCCGATGAATTTCCACTTAGGCCGTGACTGGGTGCTCCAGGATATCCTCAGCCAGCAGATGTTGCAGCAGGGGATCATCCTTGAGGAGGACGTTTCGAGTTACCAGCAAGAGGAGCAGCGTCGTCTGGAGATTACCGACCCGAAGATTGACAAGTTGCGGAAACACATCCACCACCAATTGCGCACCCGCCGAATGATGCTCCAGGAAGACGAACTTGAGTCTATGTTCAAGGAGTACTGGATGAAGGGAGGTGATGGGTTTGAGTGGGCGGAGCCTGACCAGGATCCTGCGGAAATGGAGCGTGTACTGAAACAGGTGGGCACCCAAACGGAACCGCGCCCAGTGACGAGGCAGATTTGCTGAATCTTCTGTGCACTTACATACTAGATTTGACCAGATAGAGGAAAGATGTTGAGTAGACATTGAGTAAGCATACTGAGCAGACGGAGTAAACAAGTTTCAGGAGATCGTGCTTTAACAGGTGAGCTCCATCTCAACTTACAAGGCTGGGCAATAAAATTTCGAAGCCCGAAGCTCACCAAGCGGATATCTAGTCAAGTCTGAGAATTTCCAGAAAATCTACTCATACAAAATCATTAGCCTAATCTTTTATTATACCATTAATCCCCTTTCAATGTCAACGCACTGAAACATAAAATTCCTCTAAGTGGAAATGTCCAAATAGTTATTGTTGAGGAAGCTCATCTGCGCTTGTCTGTAGTTATCCTTTCCGGTGGAAATACCCAAACTATTAATATACATCATGTTGTTGGCCAATGAGTTGGTGTTCTGGTACTTCGGCCAGTTGGTCAAGGTAAACAACCCACCGCTGTTAGGGTTCAAGGTACTGGCAAACGCAATAAACGCATTTCGATAAATCAAGGACCCAGATGCAGTGACAAAATATTGCCAGATAAGGTCGTTGGCGTGGAACGTGCCGAGGATTGGGAGGCCTTGTAATTGCTGAGACAAGTAGGTGTAGCTGGTAACGTCCGGAGTGCGATTTAACATAAATCTTCTTGGAGCCTGGAACACGATGTCTCCCATCAAAGCAGCCATTCTCTTGTTCTGAGGCGTCAAAGCATTGAGTATACCAGTTCCAAAGGGAGAACCCTGTGTAATGTCATGCGGGTATAAGGTCAATAACTGAGACATCTCAGAACTGGTTATATTAGGGAACGAATACTGGATAAAGGCTTGCATTTCAGCATCAGTGGTCACGTTCAAGTTAGGGAGAGAGAAAATACTCCCTTCATCATTTTGGTCTCCAATGATGTATGGGATCCGCGCGTAGTGTCCGTCAGCAAGCATCTTCATCAGGTGGTAGGGAATGAAACCACCATCCGGTCTTGGCAAGTAAGAGATGTGCAAGGATTGGTAGGAAAGGAAACCGGGAACGGAGTTGCTTGCAGCTTGCATCTGGGTGTACAGGAGATTTCTCAAGCACTGTAGCTTATCCGTGGCATTCCCACATCCAGCGAAGCCAGCAACAGAGTCAAAGATACCTTGGGCGTAGTTGGAATCGATATCCTGGATTGGGGCAACAGTCCCGGATTGCATGATACCAGCTCTGAACAATGGCTTGCCCTTGTAAGTGTTGTCACCGTAGTTTGCAACCATCTGGTGACCCACAGAAATCGCACCTGCCGATTCACCAAAAATGGTAACCTTGCTTGGATCACCGCCAAACGAAGCAATGTTGTCGGCAACCCACTGCAAGGCAAGCCTTTGATCCAACAACCCAGAATTACCACTACCTTCGGCCTTGATCTCCTTGCCTGGCAAGAACCCGAAGGCGGCGACTCTGTAGTTGACTGAGACATAGATGAAGTCTTGGCCCTGGAGAGCCCCCTGCGCCATCAACTGCTGCGGCAAGTAGTAGTTGGTACCACCGAGGTCGAACCCACCGCCGAAAATCCAGAACATTACTGGCAACTTGGCGGTCGAAGAGAGGCCCCTCTTTCTGTACACATTAAGGGACAAGCAATCCTCGGACTGAGGGATGATCGCATTGAATAACGGGGTTTGCATTACCAATTCCAACGCCACTTTTGGCAAGGTATTGGTGTAGTCCGCCTCTGGGTTCATTTGGGGACATGAAGGACCGTAAGCCTGGGCACTGAAACCGTTCAAGCTTCCGGTGTACGGCTGGGGTGGCTTGAATCTCAAATTCCCGACGGGTGGAGCGGCATATGGAATACCTAAGTAGGATTCAAGATTGCTGAGGAGTTCGTAGTTACCGGTGATGGTATCACCGTTGGATAACGTTACCTGAGGACCCAACAGAAGACCGTTGATGGATGACGCCAACGTCAAAATTTGAAGGGCTAATCCCAAGCTAGCAAAAGCTGATTTCATTTTGAGGATACGCTTTCTTGATCGGATGTAACAACATTCCGAGTGGATGCTTGCCGCTTTTTATACCGTATTTCAAAAGTAGATTGAGTACGTCGGGAGTACCTAGACCTGCTTTAGCGTGCCAGGTGAATGACCGAACCCCGGCCTACTATTTCCTCTCATTATGTCTCGTCGTCTATCCTGGTGCAAGCATGCAAAGCGGGTGCATTTATCCCTACGCACGTGCCAAACTTTATGGTGCATGTACATCGCCCTTGTACGGCTATTAGAGGTTTCGCTTATTCTGAGCGATATAATTTCAAGTGACTGTCCAATTGGATGCAGCAGCCAAAATATCAGGCGTTATAAGGCGGGATCCCAACGACTGGATTCGTTTCCCGATGCGTAAATAATCACTAGGTTTGCAGGTGCGTGCTTTTTGTACGGTTCCATCAAGAAACAACCAGCAAGGCTACACATGTTCTTAGATTGCACAAGACTCTTTAAGTAAGGTGTTTGCTGAACGGGGAGAGTTGGCCCAAACAGCGCCAGAAAGAGATCTAGCGGATGAAAACTAGATGTAGGAGTATGGATCGTATCAAACGAGGCGGCACCATTATCCTTGTCATCGCCAGCATGACCTGCAGCAACAAAAGCTTAGCTTGATCCCGGATCCATACTGTTCATAGCGAATTTTGACACATGCTACAAACAGTCCGATGCTCTTCGTTTTGTTTCATAGCCTATAGATTTCTGTAGACTTCTAACATTCTAGTGGTGGCGTACCCAGCGCTTGGGCTTCCAAACCAACAGTAGAGGCGCAACTATAAGTGCGATCTGCTATAAGGCCCGTTCCGCGCCTACGTCGAGCCTGCGTCAAAGCTTTACTAATTAGCTCTCACTGGTGAGAGTTAGCGTAGGACAGCATACCGTAAGGATGCAGAAGCACGTTTCAATCTTGAAACACTAGTTGAATAGACATTCTTCATGTTAGGTACCAAAACGAGAAAAGATCCCCGACTCGCGGCTAATGCATTCCTGCAGTCTTCATGTCCGGTACTGCATCTAGCACGTTTTTGTCGAAGTTCCCATCTCTGTGTACCCGATAGCGACCATCCTCGTGGCCTCAGTGCTCGTCGGTGCTATTAAATAGAAAGAAAATGTGTAAGGTTTCAATATAGTAGGGCACTTAGCCAGTCTTAAATGCCCTGTGGTATCGTTTCCGGGTTCTAAATTTCCTTCGAGAGGCATCTCTTACAATTTGGTGGGAGGGTTAAACTGCGCAGCTTCTAAGCGTCGAATGGTTCGATCTAAATCGAAATGGGACTAAAATCCCGAGAAATCACACCTGATTGCTTATTAGCCCTGGCCTGTCTCAGGCAGTATGCTTGGTTAAAAATGTGCTAACTACTAGGATGCTAGTTGGTGCATCTTGGTCCACCCTCCGCATATTTGAAAGCTTTCTGGTCAATAACATCCGGAGAAAAAAAAAAAAAAAAAAAAGTCAATTCTAATAAATGGAGTATGAATCCCAAGATATTTGTAGAAATGTCTCAGTAGCATTATGGTCTCCTCGGTTGTTCCAAATATGAACCGCCAAGCCTGAAAAGTCATATAGTCACGTGAAACCCCCAGAGAGCTTCCCCTATAGTGAGAAGAGGAAATTGATGAGGCTTTTGGCGCTAACGGGTCGGTAGATATTCCAAGACCGTGGTAGATCACGATTATACCATGTCCTAACTTTGACAGGCTATTTTATTAAATAATTGCTTTTGAACCGGTTTGAGGGTATTGGAGAAAAAAACTGAGGAGGGTTGTTTGCTACGTTATTTTAATATGGCATACGCAATTATTGGTCATGTGATACTAGTCAAATCTACTCAATGACGAGCCTAGTGGGCTTAGCCCTAACCTCAGACAATGACATTGTTTAGCCTCCTCCTCTGAACCAGCTAATTTGAATATATTGCTGTATTCCCCCTTCTCCAACTCCTGGCATGACGTCACGTAGAAACGAGCGCCCGCTTTCCGCGGCTATCCGTAAATGCGCGACAAGCATTCTGGAAGGCAAATAGCCGAGGCATCCGATCATGCAGGGCCACTTTTCGCGGATTGATCTTTTACCATTGCTAGATCTATCATACCAAACCCCACACATCCATTAAACTCTCTGCCCCTGACCAAGTCCATTTCCGATGAATAAACTCAAGAAGTTGCTTTCCCCGGAGGATCCTGCAGAGGCGCCGCCCGTCAGACGCAGCTCCATCACCCGTCGCTCCTTGAAGCTTCTCCGAAACCACTCTAGCTCGTCTTTGTCCACCATGGACAACCCCTTGCCCAGGTCCCCCGAAGATTCTGATGACCCGAATGCACTAGATGTTTCTTCAGTGGCTCTTGACGGAGACGATGAGAGTATTGCGTCCGAGCCAGGCCCGGAGGCGCCGTACGTGCCGATTAAGACGGAGCGGCGCAAGTCAAAGCTCACGGTCAACTACGCCTCCTCCATCATTGGGGGGTCATCTGTGAAACACACCACCAACGAGCCGAAGCCCAAATCGTCGCACGATGCGATGAAAACCGACGATGAGGTAGCCACCGATCGCAAGGTCTTTTCCTTCTCATTGCCGTTTGGCAACACCAACCCATTGGCTCTGCCGCTCAGCCTTCCGCGGAAATTCCTCGGCTCCTTCACCAACCACCCGGAATCCGATGAGGGCTACAGTATGGATGAGTTGCGGCTTCGCTTGGAGCGCCAGGAGCTGATTAACACCATGGAGGAAGAGTTCCTCTTCAAAGACTTGAAGAAGTTGCAGTCGTCGCGATTCAGCGCGGTCAAGCGAACCTTGACTCCCGATATCGAAAACTTAAGGCAGTTGATCAACGGAAAAAAGCCGTCGCACGAGGTCTTGACCAATGAAAACGTGTTTGAACACATCGACGGTCCCGTAATCATTCTTGGCGGCTATCGTGGCTCGATTCTCCGTGACGTTAAAACAAAACGCCGCCTCTGGATCCCGTTCAAGGTCAGCTTGAACTTTCGCAAAATCAACTTGTGCTTGGGGCCGTCGGATGAGGATGAGTTGAAGGCCTCCCGGGATATTGTTGCGGATGGGATGTTGACCCACGTGGGCCCCATCGATATTTCCAAGAAGCTCATCAACCGCATCCGGCAACGGAGCGCCAGCAGCGGTGGATGCATCTACGAGTTTGGTTACGATTGGCGCTTGTCGTGCGATCTCAACTCTGCAAAGATGGCGGAGTTTCTGCGCACAATCACCGAAAAACACGGGAAAAAAGTATTGGTGATTGCCCACTCCATGGGCGGCTTAATCACCCACCACGCCATGAACCAGCACCCGGAACTCTTCCGCGGGGTGGTTTATGCCGGGGTGCCGTACGAGTGTCCCAACGTCTTGGGGCCGATACGTTTTGGAGACGTGGTTTTGGTGAATAACAACATCCTCACGCCAGAGGTTAACTTCATGATGCGTTCCAGCTATGTGTTTTTGCCCACGGACGGTCGGTTGTTTAAGGATAGAAAGACCGGAGAGAGATTTGACCTCAACTACTTTGACCCGGACGTGTGGGTGGAGTACAATTTGAATCCGTTGGTGTGTAAAAAGCGAAAGTTGAGGGAGGAGGCGGAAGAAAAGAAAGGACTGGAGAAAGGTAGCACCGGGTCCTCTCTGACGGGGGTCTCCAAGCTCTCCGCCGTGTCGATGAAGCGGACCTTGTCGTCCTTCACGAACCACTTTGCCAGCGAAAACTACCCCCCACAAGTCGAAGACGAGGACATGGGCAGCTATGCCATCTCGTTCTCAGAGGCGTATGACTACTTGACACGCACGCTTAAGCGGACGGCCAAGTTTATCGAGGAGTTGAACTTCAAGCCAGACTTGGCGGCCGAGTATCCGCCTCTTGCCATAGTGTACGGAAACACCACCCCCTCGATGCGTCACTCGCGTGTTCCGGGCTTGCAAGGCATCAAAGACGGCGACTACTACGACTTTGCCTACGGCCACGGTGACGGGGTGATCCACCAAAAGTGGTTGATGCCTGAAAGGAGGGGCTTTCCTATCGTGGAAAAGGTTCCCAGTGAGCGAGGCCACGTCAGTTTGTTGACAGATATGAACGCCGTGGGCCATGCCCTCCGCAGCATCCTTGAGGAGGAAAATAAGCGGGAAGCACAAAATTGAGGCTCTGTCTTTAGGTTACCTTCGCGTGTATATAGTTATGAGATATGCTAATAACTGGTGTATGAATAGAAGGTAATGGAGAGCAGTTAGTGTATAAAGGCAGACGAACCTGTAACAACAGGTGCCTGGATTAGCATATGCGATGGTGAGGAAGGTCAAGGATTTATTTGACATTATCTCTGTTTGCTAATTCTGGGTGTACACCTTGGGGGATCCCTCAGTTGGACCCTTGCATACGCAAGCACACATAAGATGTATGCTCCAGGAACGTATATACTATGCGCGAGTTTTTTAAACTTGTATCTTGCCATTTTTGAATCATTCCACTCATAATTCCCGTAATTGTGGACCTTTCACACTCTCGGGATACCTCCCGAGCTCTGTACCCCTCTCACCCCCACCCTGTCAACCCCTGTTCTCCCCCCTGTACATGTGTCTCACGTGCCTCTCACGTGCCCTTTGTCTCCTCCTGCATCCGCCAAATCTCGTGATTCTTTTCCGTGAATCTCGAACTTTTCCCCTTTCGCACACAAACGCCAGATACGTACGTCTGAGACGAGTCTCTAGCGAAGGGCTCTTCTTTAGCCTTTCCAGTCGTATATATTGCTTCCTCTCCGGGCTAGAAGCTATTACCATCCTACGCATATTCCACGTACCTTTGCATCAGCGCCTTGTTTATATTTTCCCACCGGAGTAGCCCCTTTTGCTTTGTTTTGGTCGCGCTGCCATTTGCACTCCATAGACACCGAATTCGTTTCTTGGCCTCACTTTTAAGTCCATACCCCCCATTTTATACCCGGACTTTCCATTTTATTCTCGGCTATCGCTTAAGGCCATCCAGTATCCTTATCTACGTTTTAGCATTTGATCCTCAGAGGGCCATTCCTGGTATCTGCACGTTTCCATAGCATTATACACACTTCTTTCCAATGGCAGAAGTGATTGGCTGGGTGGACCCCATTATATCCATGGCGAAGGACCCAGACTTGAACAAAGAAAAAGGTAAGACGGACGCGCTAATACACATCATCAGCGGGTTCCCCCTCACTGAAAAGCGGGTGTCGCGATACTGCACGCTCTCGTTCCAAGTTTTGCGTGACCTCGAGAAAATCGAGTTGAAAACACGGAGCTGGCAGTTCATGTCACTCGAAATCAACAGCGAGCAGCACTTTGAGAGCGCCGCGTCGCCCGTAAAGAACTTCAACACGCAAGTGGCCGCGAAGGTCACCCAGACGTGTGTGGAGATCCACAAGCTTCTCAGCCAGATCTCGGGCGAGATAGACATGGCCACAAGGGTGATCCAGACGTTCACACCGTCAGAGTATATCAGCGACTCGGGCACGCTCTTGACGGAGCTCACGCTTCGTAATATCAAGTTGAAGAGCGAGTTGAACGAAAAGGTGTCGATCACGTACTCCAAGGCCCGATTGATCAACATAGGCTCGCAACTCGAACGGCTCATGACCGAGAGTGTCGAGGACGAAGCTAGTCGGTCGTATGATGACGTTAGCGCCAACACCATCCGCTCGTACAAGTCTTTTGTGGCGTCATTGTTGAAGCAATTGAACAACGCCGTTTCCTCAGGCGACCAGACAGGGACGACCGAGTGTATTGCCGTGATTAATGATGTCGAAAAGATGTTTGAGGCGATTCCCAGGGAAAAAGATCTTGTCGGGAGAAAGAAAGAAAAGAAGAACTCGAGGGGCAAGGCTAAGGAGAGAAAAGGCGAGAAACGAAACGAAACAATGGATGAAAAACCAAGGGGACGGAATAAGAAAGAGCAAGGAGCCACCTCGCCTACCGCGCTTACGTCAGCCAAAACCTATCATGACATCCAGCCCACACCCGTGTCCATTTCGGATGACGAGGGTGCCTTGGGCTTTGGCGAGGGATCCTCAGATATGGTCTTTTCTGAATTGGAAGACTCACAGTACATTCCGCCAAGCTCCAAGTCGAGCTCTCCGCCGGACTCTGAGAAGTACCGCTACCATTCTACTGGCCGCCGTAACTCCATTTCCTCGCTAACAACCTCCACAACATTAAACCGTACCACGATCACTGAGGAGTTGCCGTACTTGATGAACGCGTTCGATGATGCAAAACAGGTGGAGGAGGATGTCAAAAAGGTGCAGCTTGCAAACGAAGAAGAGGAGGTCGGGACAAAAAAGGGCGGGACAAATGCCAGGTCTAGCTCCTCGAGTGTCTCCAGTCTGGGCACGTTTCAATTCAGCGAGGAGTATTCCTCGAGAAACAGCAGCACTGAGACCTACGAAAAGACTGAATCGCAGACCCTCCACAACCCGGCCTTTTCCCTGACCAATTCGCTCTACTCCGTGTCGCAAATGATCAAGCCGTTGCCTTTGAACAATTATTTGGTTGACAACAATCGGTCGTTCTTGGGGCGCATGGGCATCAAGCCACAGGTGGTGACCGCCCAGTTTGCCAAGCCCAAGCCTGCGATGTTTGTCACCGGCAGCACGCACCACCAGCGGATGGTCAAGGACAAGGAAAATGCGGATACGCCAGCGGTTAGTAGCGGCCACAAGCCGTTAACCCAGTCGAACTTGAACTTTATGAACCAGAAGCATGCCTCGGAAAAGCCCAGTATAGTGGCGTATGGGTTCCACGATGATCTGATTGATTAAGGGAGGGTGTTAGGTAAGTGTGATGAGTAACGTCGCTGGTATAGATGAACTTGTCGTCTTGGATGTGTATTTAGCGGTTTCTAATATATTTCATGCATTGGAGCTGGGTTTTCTTCGGATATATGGTTATGCACCGGATCTGCTTCACTTTACTCAAATCGTTTATTTTTATACTATACACGGAAACACCTGTGGCTATAACTTACGCTTCTTGGTGGCATTTTCTTCCTCTTCTTCCTCCCCGCTCAAGTCCAACTCCTCGCTGGACTCGTCTTCGGAGTCTTCATTCAAACCTGGAACGGCCTCGGTGTAGTACTTGACCGCGTATGGGAATAACTCCTCAACAATCAATCTGGTCAACTCCTCCCCATTTCTAAACTCCTTGCCTGGCTTCAACCCGGTCCACTTGAACCATGCAAAAAAGGATCTCATGCCCAAACGATATTTCTTCTTACCTTCAGCAGAGGTCTTGTCTGCAATCAAGTGCGGGGTGATGCTGGCCAACTCCACGGGCCACTCGACGCTGGCCACGGTGGAGATTAACCTCTCCTCGTGGTTGTCTTCGTCCATTACAGTCTTGAATTTCTTGGTGACGGACTGGGCGGCAATTTCACCGTGTGGCGCTTCAAACTGAAAGGTGATACTGAAGTCACGTGGGTTGGTGGCTTCGTCATTGGTGGCAACGTCGTATTCAACGTAGATGTCCTTGACAAACTCCAAGAACTTCAAGTCCTCCGGGCCAATATAGTCGATGAAATCCTCGTTCTGGGCAATCACAATGTACCAGAACTTTGGCACGTCAAGCAAAAGCTGTCTGCGCTTGATGTAGATCGGATGGGTCTTTTTGATTCTGAAAATGTCTGGGCGGGTTAGTAGGGTTTGTGGGTGGTGTGGTTTGTACGTACCTGCATCTCTTTCGGCCTGGTCGACTTCCTGTTCGATGCCAGCTAACCCCACAAGGGTGTTTTCAAGGAGATTGGTTTCGGTATCCGACATGTTGGGGGATTGAGAGGAATGGTGTTTGAGGGGGGTAAGCTAGGATACTGCCTTTGCTCTGCGTAAATAATAGGTCGTGTGCTGAAAATTTTTGGGCATCGCCGCGCAGATCTCGAACTACCAAATGTACGATTGATAAAATTATTTGAGGGGTCGTTAATGGCCCTACTAATACAATTAAATCTTTGTTAGTTTACGCCACGCCGTTATATGGTCAACCGCTTGCTCCGGGTACCTGAGTAAATGCACATTTTTATTGTCAGTGTCACCATATAGCCTGTATTGTGGAAGGGCAAAGTCACTATGAAGATTATTGTTTAGTCAACCCTTGTAGAAATATTTATAACTTAGTAGAAACCTCGAAAGAAACTTTCGGCCTTCCTGGCCGTATTTTTGCTCGGGTGTAATGGTTAACTTCTAGTTGGTGGGTATCTATATGCAGCCGTGGAAGGATGTGATGTATTCGGATTATGACTGAAGCCGAACAAGAATAGCTTGTCGTGGGCCAAAGCCAGTGACAGGGTTGGCGTATTCTTGACGGGATATGCACTTAAGAATCGTAGTCCGAGATTTGCCCAATTGTAGCAGTACCCAGTTGTCTTCACTTTGCCCACTGTGACAGTCTGCTGTTGAGAACGTTGCAACCCAGGTTTGTTCTATTCGAGCAATGTTGACGTTTCGGGATTGGAACCATTTTCTTTGGGGCTAAAATTTTGCATTTCCACAGGGCTCAACTAGATTAATTCGTCTCTGGACCCTAATCAATCTTGTCTCCAGACTCTAATCAATCTTGTCTCCAGACTCTAATCAATCTTGTCTCCGGACTCTAATCAATCTTGTTTCCTTCGGAAGCTCAATTAAATTAATCCCCTTCGCTTGCTTAGTTTCTCAATCATCTCATCATACCACGCCTCCACGCTCCCCTCACGCTGGTGGAGCGCCACAAGCATAATTGTCATGTTGTCGTATCCAATCCCCGTGACATTATTCGCCATCCCCAAACTGTTATCCAACACAATCTGGCAGATTTCCTGCAAGCTCTTCCCCTTCAATATCCAGTCGCGGATCTCGTTATTCAAAGTCTGGTTTTTATAGCAGTCCCAGATCCCGTCGCACGCCAACACCAAAAACTCGTCCAGTCGGCCGAGCGTGTGAACAATAACCTCCGGCTCGCATGTGACTGGCGTCTCCTCGGGGGGGATGCGCACCACCGCGTGGCGCTTACCATTCGGCCCCGGGACAGACATTAGGCCGGCCTTAAAGCCAAAGTCGCCGAACGCGCGACTGAGCGCCAACACGCCGTTGACTCTGTTCATCGCTACAAAGCCTCCCGAGCGGTGGATACGCATGAGCTCCCCCACATTGTTCGGCTTATGATCGTACGAGAGCGATTTGGCAATCCCATTGACAGACACGTAGCACCGCGAGTCGCCCACGTTCGCCACCACTAGCCGCCGATTCACCAAGAGCGCCACAACGGCGGTGCTCCCGGAGTTGAAGTTCTGCTCCAGCAACGCGCTATCGACTTTGAAGAAGCAGTCACGGAGGAACTTGAGGTAGTCGATCTGCGCCTCAATTTTCCCCAATCGCTCCAAGAGGTCGCCCGACGTGCCTTCTAGCAGGTTGTGGAAGCGCGCGAGGAGGCGTTTCATGAGCAAACACGGCAAGACTTCGGAGACATACTTGGCGGATTTCTTGCCCCCATGGCCGTCAAAGACCCCAAAGATGGAGATCTCAAAGTCCGGATGGATCGAAGCGTCGTGTGCGAGGCAATGGGCGTCCTCCATTGTCACGCGATACCCCTGCATCGAGCCAATGGACGTTGTGAGACTGGCCGACGTGTGTTTTGTCTCTAGGGACTTTTCATCCACAGAATGTGATGCGAACTGGCCCATGTTTACGGTAGGTTGTAGCACTGGTAAGCAAAGGGCGAAGGTTAAGACGAAGTATGCGCGGGAAAGAAAAATGTGGAGTCACACGGATTTTTCGCGGCAATCCTTGTGTCAAGTCGCGCGTAGAATCTGGGGTGGCATGTGTGGGCATCACGATAGAAACATAGGTTTACAGGGGGGTTTAAAGGGGCGAAGTTTATTCAATTGGTGATCTACATAATTATAGGGATGTGATGACACGGAATTATGACGTCTTAATGTATTGGAATGGTGGTTAGGCCATTGCTACAAGTGGTATGAGTCTGGTAAAATGCCAAGGCAAAGTATCGGCGACTTGAGCCGAGGTGGCGATGCGGCTCGATACAAGTCCTAGCCTGCGCGAATGGCGGAGATATAGCATATGTTCTAGGTGAGAGGTCAAATAGCACCCCCTATGAATGGTTAAATCCAGTTGGTATTAAATCCGTCAATGTACTATCTCTTTATAATTATCTATAATTATGGGAGAGTTTCTAAACTGGAATATTTACTGTTTTTTTTGTATTTCCTGCTATTTAATATAAATTTTTGCCAAAAAAAAAGCGTATCTTCACTACACCTTTGAAGAACATTAGAAAATAATCTAGCCATTGAGCACTGTAGCCTACACCTTAATTAAGCTCAAGTTCCGTTTCCTCTCGCAATCTTTCGCCGAAACCGAAGTTATTTTATTAGTCAGCTCTCTAGCTTGTACGTGGCCTACCTATAAAATATGATGCTTTATATCATTCAAAGCGCTCACTCACGCTTAACTCTACAACCATCCCATTAGCATTAGTATACATTTCATATCGGAAAGATAACTTCATTATATCCCCCGTTCATTAGTTTTCGTAGTCCGGGATAGCACCACGGACCCACGGCACCGCGAGAATATCGCCAATTCTCCACCGCTTGTCCTTTCTTATAAGACAGTTCGTGACGATCCATTTTGCCTCTGCATATGCCAGCGACAGGTGGTTCCTCAAGTGCGCCTCCGCCAATTCGGCCATGGTCGCATTGGACGTTTCAGCTCCGGTCTCCTCGCCATCCTCGCTTTTGAGCAACATCCAGTCCCATTCAATTCTAGCGATGCGGTGGGCGGTCCGCGAGCGCGCCCGGCGGGACGAGGAGGTGGGATTAGTCCCTGCCACCGGGTCAAAGGGTAAGCGATTCTCGAGCAAGGCGTACAACACCACCCCCATCGACCAAGTATCGGTGAGCGTTCCGTCGTACTCGACCCCCATGAGGATCTCAGGCGCGACGTAGTCGTCAGACCCGCAGCGCGTAGTTAATGGAGGGTCTGTGGCCGGCAAATAGTGCTTTGATAGGCCAAAGTCGGAGATGGTTACGAGGGGAGAGTTCGAGTAAAGCCGTTCCGCAAGCCCCTCCCACGCGCAGTTGAGGAGAATGTTCTCGAGCTTGATGTCGCGGTGCACATAGCCGCTCTGGTGGAGGTAGGCGACGCCGCACGAGAGCTCGGCGAAAATTCGCCGGATAAACATGGGAGTATACTCGGCGTAGTGGTTGATAGTCATGTGGAAAAGGTCGCCCCCGGAACAGTAGGGCAAGACCATGATATTCTCCTCGTCAGTGTTGGAGGTCCCAAGTAACTGAATGATGTTCGGGTGGCACACGTGGCGCAACGTGGCAATCTCTAGGTTGATGCTGTTCTCAAACTCAAGCCGCAAGTGCTTTGCCGCCGGGTACTTTGTGATTTTGATCGCCGCAAGCGCTCCCAGCGCCATGTCTTCGCCAAGAACCACCTTGGAGAAGCTTCCTTGGCCGAGCTCTTCCTTCGTCCTCCATCTGTGTTCGACCTGCTGTCTGTCTTTCGCAGCAAATGTCTCTCCATTACCTAGAACCTCCCTGGGGGGTTCGATGTGACTGGCCTCCTTGAGACCGCCCTCGAGCTCAGGAATGCCCGAAACGGAGAAATTTCGATGCTGTGGCGACGTCACAGTGTAACCAATATCCCGCGGCCTGTACTCTGACAAAATCCGCGAGTTGACGCTGTTTGAGTGGCTGGTGTCGTTGCTAGTGATCGTCTGTCCTTGTTTCAGTTTACGGTATTTGGGGATGTGCAAGGCGCCCTGCGAGTACACTGGTGGGCTGCGCTGTTGCTGCACATACGAAGATTCGGTGGCCTTTGGTGAGGTAAACGAGCCGAAGGCATTTTCTGAGGCCACAATTGGCGTCGGTAGCGAAGAAAGGTCCGCGTAACGTCCCTGGCGCTCTGGCGTCTTCAGCGCCTCCACCGCTTCCTCTACAAGGTTATCTGATGGCGGAATGGTCACAGAGAGCGCCATTCTAGGAGTTTGGCGGTTTGGTGGGCTCTGGACCATGTTCTGTGGGAACGCCAACGGCTGGGCGTTATTTAGCAGAAACGGCAAGTCCAAGTTGGGTTTCTGATCCGTCATTGTCAATAGCGAAGCAGAACGTAGATAGGATTTGAAGGAGCGTAGATAAACCCGTGGATAAAGGAAGAGCCCGTAGATAAAGGTGCCTCCCCGGCATGCCTTTAGAGCAAAACCCTCTCGACTTTAAAGGAAGAGAATTAGCAAAGACTTCGCTGCAGGATACTGTTCTCCATCTCTGGTTCCTGTGCGTTTAGCCTTGCTAAAGGACGCACAGGCACGCACATCAAAGAATGCCACAACGTTACTATTTAGCTTATCTTTTGTGTAATTCCCTTTGTATTGTTTAGATAATATCTTTACAAGGCTGAGACTATGCCCCCGGGATCTGGACCTAGCGCACGGCTTAAGCCACTATTCGTGAATGAAACCATGCGGGACGGACACTCAGTGCAGGAGTTGCACCTAAAGTCGATAAGGTCACGGTTGGGACTATGTAGACGTGCGCCGCAGTATCGAAATCCGCATGGCTGGCTGCCCAATGCGGAAGCTTGCCTGCCCAATCTGTGAATGTCGCATTTGAAAATCCTCACCCAGGTTTAACAATATGTACATGCTGCATTTGAAAAAGACATGGTCAGACCGGTATATCGGTGGTAGACTGCTTCTCATTGGCTTCTTACATAAAACAGAACTGAGGTGAGCTTCCATGATATCAGAAGCGTAGTTTACGATGGCAAGTGTCCACTCTTCAAGAGAACGATTTAGATCGAAACCGCCCGATACGGACTGCGGAATCGTATAGCTGCGTCCTCCCCCGGAAGATTCTAATGCTGGGTTCATATAACTTTGCCGAGTAGCATGTGTAAGAAGCATGTGCAAGAGGCTCGTATCAGAAGCATGTGCAAGAAGCTCGTATCAGAAGCATATGCGGGAAGCTCATATCAGAAGCTTGTGCAAGAAACTCGTATCAAAAGCTTGTGCTTTTTTAGATACGATCAAAAAATCTCTAAACTAGAGCTCGGTAGTGGAAGAGGACGCAGCTCAATATTTTATTTGGAGAGGAAAATTAGCATTGCAAATAGAAATATTAACAGTTATGAACATGTACTTGTCTAGATATCTCCACTACATGTCTCTACTTTGTATATAACACAACTAGCACCGTCAGAGTAACCCATCCAAAAACTTGGCCAGAACGGATGCTTATATGGACCATCAAAGCCAACATACCGTGGTATATTTTCTCCGTTAGACCTTCGGGCCTCTGAAGTGTCTGTTGAATGTGCCCTTTCCAAGCCCAATCAAGTGACAGCTTCAAATATCTGCTAGTCTTACTGATCTGTGGAGGAAGCACCCAGATTAAGAGCTGTACCCTATGTATTACAGAGAGTACGCCCTCCCGCACTACACCCTTTTATAATGAAAAATGCGGATAAATATACATAGCTTAGCGGCCCTTCTTGCTGCCCTTTCTGGTCATTTCCGGCACCTTGAAAGGAACCCTTAAAGATGCAATCTTATACGTCGAGGCGGCAGACTTTGGAATACCGTAGGCGTCAGCCTGGGCAACGGTAGCAGACTTGACCCCACACCCCAAGGTCTTGAACAAGTTGACCAACTTGGATGGCTTCAAGGACAATTCCTGAGCCAACGGGGAGATTTCCACCATGAAGGAGTCAATGTGCAAGACAAGACACAAGATGTAGCATAAAAGCTTGTCCTCGTGCTGGGGGTCGATCACAAAGCCACGGTCCTTAGATCTGCCAAAAGCACCTGGACGGGCAATGGCAAATCTGTCCAAGATCCCGTCGACCAACACATCTGGCGGGTTGTTCAACTTCTCAGACAAGTTGTCCTTGTTGGAGGTGCGTCTGTTCTCGTAAACGCCCATCAACAACGATGTGTAGTATAATAATTGCAACTTGGTAGTCTGGGAAGACGACAGGATGGCCGGTAAATGAGCATTGACAAAGGCAGAGGTAGCAAATGGCAACATCTCCGCACGCTTCTTGGCATCCTTCTCCTTCAAGATCGGACTCACTCTCAAGAACTCCCACTCGTGCGCTGGAATGATGCTCTCGACGGCGTAGACGTCCTCCACGTTCGTGGCGTCCGCATTGCACGGTGGCACCGGTCTTTCGTTGCTGACGTTCTGGGCCAACTCCTTTCTGGACGGCAACTCCAGTGTGCTGGATTTGACAGCGTCCACGATGTCCAACTCCACGTTGGACAACTTCTCGGCATCGACTCTGTTTCTCTCTTGATCGGTGATCGCCTTCTTAGCCTTCTTGGTACCGAACGCCTCGCCCAACGCGTTACGCTGGACCATCATCCGCACGTTCTTCTGCTGGATGGCTGGCTTGGTCGAGAAGCGCTTGGCTTTCGCCGTCACCTTTGCCAAAAGCATCGGCGTCTGGTACAACTCCACGGACTTGTTGACCGGATCGTACATCGCAACCACGTAGTTGTTGGTGTCATCTGAAGCGGTCTCACCGTTGTACTCTAAGGTTTCGTTTTCGCCGTGGAGCGCAAACTCGGCTGCGGACTTGTGCTTGTAGAGCTGGAAGTCGGTGGACTCTGGAATAGACATCCCGTTAAAGAAGGACGTGCAGACCACCGATGGATCTTCCGAGTACGAAGAAACACGCAACTCGGTGATCTTGTTAGACGCTCTCTTTCTCTTTTCGCCCATGATGTGTATTGGATGTGGGTTGGCCTGATCTAATAAGCTATGATACCTGCCAGGTTTTTTTTTTCTTTTGCAGGGTGGGAAATTTTTTTCGTGCGTGCGAAACCCGATGTGAAAAATAGAAAAGATTAGCTTTCCTGCACGGAATCCTTAACCCCGAGGGGAGTTGAATATTAGTGAGACGGCCTGATATCCAAATTATTCGTATTCTTTTGGCATATTCTATTGCACAAAGAATCCCATGTCGAGTATAGTCACCGAGATGAAGGTTGTAAATCTTCGCAAGACTCACTACGAGGTGATGGGTGTGGCCCCCGACGCTCCAGCATCCGAGATCAAGGCCGCCTACCGAACCCGGTTGTTGCTCACCCACCCGGATAAACTCAACCAGCGGGAGACCCCCTCAAAGGTTGATGCATCCCAGGAAATCGCAGAGCTCAAAGAGGCGTATGCCGTGCTTCTACATCCCGAGGAAAGGGCGCAGTACGACCGCGACTTGCAAAAGTCGGTGCAGAGATTTGGGTTCAATCTCAACGGGGACGGCCTTGACATGTATACTCTTGAAGACTTTACAGTCCATGAGCCGAAGGGCGATGAGGCGTACTTCTGGACCAAGGACTGCCCGCGGTGCACTGGCCATGGCGGGTTTGTGCTTACAGAGGGGGACTTGGAATCGTCGGGCACCGACGACGGGGAGGGCGGGTTCGACTTGATTGTGCAGTGCAATATGTGCAGTTTGTGGTTGAAAGTGAAGTATTTTGAGGAAGAAGAGTAGGGGAAGGTTTCAAGTTTCATTTTAGAGGTGAACTAGGTTCTGCGAGCCTAACCAGACAAGGCATGGGCTCGAAGCATTTTTCTCGCTATCGGAAAAGCAACCCCATTTCAAGGTATAGCACTCAGACCGCTCCCAGGAGGGTAGATAGCCACCGTTTCACAGACAGTCAGACGTACCATGATAGAGCTATGCGTGGAATTATAAACTATATGCCACGAAAAATAGCCAAGTACAGTGAATGGAAGGTAGTATGTTGTATATTCCGCGTTCGTCCTGTGACCTACAATCCTTAGTCCATGTTTATCACTCAAAGATACTCTGTTAATTTGAAACCCTCTGCCCTGCTCTTTTACAAATAAATCAACTAGCTAATCATATATTATTTAATAAATATCACTCGCTGGTTTAATAGCGGTAGGGAGAAGTAGACCCGTCGTCGTGTAACCCCTCATCTGCGCTGCTGGGATCGCCGTCATCCACATCTGTCTCATTCAACAATCTATCTTCCTCTATGTCATGGTAACTGCTGCTCTCCAACGACTCGGCGATTCTCTCAGGACTTCCCGCAACCTCTTCCTCCTCAGACAAAACGATATGGCGCTCGCGTCTGCCAAATCTCTCCTGAAGATCAGTCTTTAAGTTTCCGGTCCATAGCCGGGTCTTTCTGAGGCTAGTCTGGGCTACGGCCACAACTGTAAGGAAGGCGGTCATGGCACCTTGTTTCACCTTTCCCAAGGTGGATGAATCATTGCTGTCTTCGGTAAAGGCGTTCAACAAGCTTGGTCTATAGTCGTCCTCATCGTCCTCCAACCGAATTGGCCCGGTGAAAATCCTCAACTTGTCGCCGTAGTTCTTTACAACATACCTTCCAACCACAAGCGAAATCCCCACTACCCCGAGCATCGATACGAAAGCCTTGAATACACCCATCTTGGTAATCCCGTACATCTCATTGAACCTCGCATTGCTACCAGGACATGCCTTGACCTCCTTCTTGTCCATCTCAAAGCCACCCTTGCAGGTGCTAAGCGGAATCTTGCGGTACCCCGTCGAGACCCAGTATTCCACCTGGTCCTTGTTGCGGTTTCCCTTTCTGTCGAAGCACATGTCTTGCAAGTGGTTTGGCGGGCTGTAGCCGGCGATCAAGCGGCACGTGTCGTCTTTATCTCTGATGTAGTTGAAATCACATTCAAAGTCCTGTCTGGTGCACGCGCAATCCTTCACAATCAGATGTGGCTGGACAACCTGGGTGCCAATGAAGCAGTCACGGCCCGGAATCTTGCGCAAGTACCGGGTTTCTCTCCCGAACAAGCAGTTATCCGGGGATAGTGGGTGCTGGGGGCTCCAGATCTCAAAGTCGTCGGTTGTGCTTTCCAAGTTCTGGACATCCAAGTTACACTTCCGCTTGTACAACGTGCTGAAGTCGATCTGGAAGACCCGTGATCTGTCACCGTGGCGCATGGCCAACTTGGTGAACAAGAGGAACTTCTTGGAGTTGTCGGACGGGACGGTGGAGATATCCTCCACCCAGACCTTTTCCTCACTAAAGCGGAACGTCTCCCAGGTGTCGCCCTCGTTCAAGGAGTACAAGATCTCGTTCGTTTGGTCCAAAGAGTTTACAAGCACGATAATGGACCCCTGGTCACCGTATTCCCACATATAAACTCCCTTGCGGACCTCCTTCCAGGTGATCCCGCCGTCTCTTGTGAGGTACGTGTTGCCATCATACAAACTCTGTAAGGTCTCGCCAACGTTGCCGGTGGCCACCATCATGCCCAAGGCACCCTGGGAAGAAAAGGTGTCTCTGTAGTCGGCCCTCTCGGTGTAGCCGTGTAAGTTCAACGAACATTTTTCTAACGGATTGCCGTAGCACGGAGTTTTGACCCCATTCGAGTCAATGGCAGGCGGGTGGATGTACTCCCAGTTCCCCCCGTCGTTGTGGGTGATCTGCGACTTGACCTTCTTGCGGGCGCCGGCACGCGCCTCGTTAGGGTTCAACACAGTGTTGATTACGCTGATGCCCTCAATCCCCTCCATCTTTTCAAAGTCCACGTACCCGCGGAGGTCGCGGTTGACGTTGCTGACGATCTGGTTGTAGTACGTACCGTTGGAGTTGGACTTTAAAATGTTGCCAAACTCGGTGCTGGAGCGGTCATTCGTTGTGATGTGCATCCAGACGGAGTATTCCGTCGCCGATATGATCGTGTACGCCTGATGCTTGCTGAGTTCCAATCCCGCAGGCAAGCTGGTCTTGTGCCAGTTCTTCCCGTTGGTGGAAACGTACGCCTCCACCACCCCGCTGTCACCCTTCTCCACGGTGGTGAAGAAGTACTCGCCGCTGGTCTCAAAGTCTACTACGTTTGTCAACACCACCTCGCGCGTCTTAAAGAAATCCTCGCTGTACATCAACTCAGACCGGAAGTTGTTAGACTTGGTGGCCGGTCTGTCGCAGAGCACCAACGGATTGAACGTGTTTTCGTGCAACTTCACGATAAACGAACACATGTTGACGTTCTCCTGCATTTCCAACCACCTCTTCCCAAACGACTTGGAGACGTACGCCACGGTGCGACAGCTGAGGGAGCCCGGGTGAGTGCACCCCTCCTGGCCCAACCAGATCAACCAACTGTCTCTGCGCGGATGGAATCGGATCGGCTGCGTGTTAGGCGAAGGGAGCGACGGAGTCCTGAACGACTTCCAGTTATCCGCTCTGTCGCGCGAGTACACCACCTTTTGGTTTGCGGCGATCAAGTACACGTGATCTGAGTTATAAGGGTTCACGTGGATGGAAAGAATCTCCTCGCCAGGTGCCACGATTTCCCACGAGTATCCCTGGTCATGGGTCACATAGCAGGTGTTTTGGGTCGTGAGCGCCAAGATGGTTTCGTCGTTGTTGCCGTGGTCGTTCTGTTTCAAGTAGACGTAGTCCCTGACCTTTCCGTTGAAGGAGAAGTATGAGGCTTTGACCACCTGGTTGCTCAATCCATCCTTAGAGTCTTCCTTTTCCCCCTCCTCTTCGTCCGGGTTGCCGCTATCAATGTTGGAATCGTCGTCGTCATCGCGTTTGATGAGGTAGGTTTCTGCGGGACTGCCAGAACCAACCAATAGTTCGTTTGTGCCAAAAAGCGGTGACACGTTTTTGGACACTGCAGAGGAGATAAGGGTGCCCAACACCACCAAGGCCACACTTCTGTATAATTTCATGGTAAATGAGTAAGTTGTGAGAAAAGACTTGCGTTTAAAAAACGGGGCGTCTCTGTTTATATACTCAAATTGCAAGTCTGGGTATTTTCAACAACCCTTCAGGGTGATGGAAGTTGTGCAGATGGCAGAGATAATATGCACACCGACAACTCCGACTTGGAAATCATGCATATGCGAAATTGTCTGGGGCAAAATTCTGGAATTTGTCTTGGACAATTAAACTCTAATGAATCGGGTGATTGCTGAGTAATTGTTAATTGATTCGACACGGTATATCCTATCTGATAGATTTACAGGGGTAAAGAATCAAAGCTCCCCCTATCACACTAGCATATAGAATCTATGTGGCGTTACTAGAGCAGGGAGCGACCGTTTAAGGGTCCTGACACGGATATTTCCGCGCCGCACCGGCCTCGATATCTCCGATCAACTTATGTTATTCTAGCAGTTACTGATTTCGGTTAGATTTATATTCGTTGTTAGCAGCCTGGCTAGCTCAATCGGTAGAGCGTGTGACTCTTAGCAGTACGCGATCACAAGGTTGCGGGTTCGACCCCCGCGTCGGGTTTCATTTTTTGTCTGTGCCACGTACAGGTTTACTCAAGACAATTATGTTCTACTTGTTGAAATCTGTCCTTGTGCATATTTGATGTCATGGGGTTGTTTAAATGTCTGTGAATAAATGCCAGATTGACTTACCTTGTTAGTCATGTTGAAACCTGTTTCTACACATATCTGATGCCACAGGATTGTGTACAAATTGGTGTGGAGAAATGCCAGACTGACTCATCTTGTTAATCAAATGATGGCTCAGAATTGATTTCGGTATAATCAAAAGCAACTTTACTGGAAAAAACTATTTATCTACAAAAAAAAGCATACAACGTCTGTAGTAAAATTGACATTTAACTGGACAGACGTCGGCAATGGTTAACCTCCTACCTCTGATAGGTTGGCACCCTTGTATCGTATCCGTCTCGGTATATAAGATAGAAATCTAGTTTTATATAAAAAAGACTAATTTCATAGCCAGGCAATCCCCCTGGTTTACAGCATCTGGCATGATACTTACTTTAGATGAGAATGGCCTGAGGTTCAATTCCTCGCTCAGTCCGATACTTTTCCTTTTTATTTGGCAAATACTTTCACACCTCCAGTTGGACGATATTTTACAATACTGACTATCCGGCATTTCGGTTTCCGCTACCTTCTAGGTGTATCACAATCTCCCTGAATAACAAACTAGACTGTATCAGAGCTATTATTCCTGTGCTACATGTGTACTCGAGTTCTTACTAACATTAACTCATATAGCTATTCAATGGAAAGGGCTTCTTAATCAACATTGATTAGAAAGAAAAGGCTTGGTAGTTATCGTTGAGGAAGCTTATAGCTGCCTGCCTGTAGTTGTCTTGTCCGGTGGAAAGACCCACAGTACTAATACCCATCATGTTGTTGGCAAGAGTATTGGTGTTCTGGTACTGTGGCCAGTTGGTCAAGGTATACAGCCCACCGCTATTAGGATTCAAGGTATTGGCAAACGCAATAAACGCATTACGGTAGACCAAGGACCCAGAACCAGTAACGTCGTATTGATCGATGAGGTCATTGGCGTGGAACGTGCCGACAACTGCGGTGCCCGTTAATTGTTGGGAGTTATAGGTGTATCTGGTAACGTCTGAAGTGCTGTTTAACATAAATCTTCTCGGGGCTTGGGAAAAGATATCGCCGATTAAAGCTGAAATTCTCTTATACTGAGGTGTCAACGCATTCGAAGTACCAGACCCGAAAGGAGAACCCTGAGTGATATCCTGTGAGTATAAAGTCAACAACTGATCTAACTGGGAGGAAGAAACTTCGGGGAACAAATAGTCGACATATGTTCTCACCTCAGCCTCAGTGGTCACGTTCAAGCTACCGAGGGTGAAAATAGTCCCCCCATCGTTCTGGTCACCGATAATGTATGGTACTCTCGCGTACTTTCCGTCCGTAACCATCTGTGCCGGCAGGTAGGAAATAATACCACCATCCGGTCTTGGCATGTAGGAAAACTTCAAGGACGCATAACCGAGCATACCAGGAACAGAGTTACTTGCAACCGCCATTGTGTCATATGGAACGTTTCTCAAGCACTCTAACTTGTCGGAGGCAGCATCACAGCCAGCAGCATCAGCAACAGTGTCGAAGATGAGTTGTGGGTATGCCGAATCAATTTCTAGAGATGGAAGAACAGATCCGGGCTGCATGATAGCAGCTCTGAACAATGGCTCCCCCTTATAAGTGTTGTCACCACTGTTTGCAATAAGGTGGTGGGCTACCGACATCGAGCCAGCTGATTCACCGAAGATGGTGACCTTGCTTGGGTCACCGCCGAACGAAGCAATGTTATCGGCAACCCATTGTAAACCAAGTCTCTGGTCCAAAAATCCCGCGTTACCACTGCCCTCAGCCTTTATCTCCAGCCCTCCCAAGAACCCAAAGGCACCAAGTCTGTAGTTGACAGAGACATAGATAAAATCTTGGCCCTGAAGGGCCCCTTGCGCCATAAGTTGTTCTGGCGGGTAGGTGGTGGTACCACCGATTTCGAACCCACCACCGTAGATCCAGAACATCACCGGCAACTTGGCGGTAGAGGAGAGACCTCTCTTCCTGTACACATTGAGGGTCAAGCAATCTTCGGATTGAGAGACGATCGCGTTGAATAATGGGGATTGCATCACTAAGCCCAAAGCCGCACCTTGCAAGGAATTGGTGAGTCCCGCTTCCATGTTCATCTGAAAGCACGACGGACCGTAAGTCAGAGCATTGAAACCGTTCAAGCTCCCGGCAAATGGCTGGGGCGGCTTGAATCTCAAGGATCCTACGGGAGGAGCGGCATAAGAAATACCCAAGTAAGATTCAAGGTTAAGAGTATCGTAGTTACCGGTGATGGTGTCTCCGTCGGACAACTTAACTTGAGGACCCAGCAGGCCATAGACGAATGACGCTAACGCCAAAAATTGAAGGGCCATTCCCAAGTTGGCCAAAGCTGATTTCATTCTGAAGATAATTTATTTTCAATAATAATGATACTTTTTTCTATGTTGGAACTACTTTCGAGGGTAATTGCAGCCTATATTTATACCCTTTCTTGGAAGTTCCCAGCACCCATGTTTAATGGGTTGGAAATCGATTTTTTTTACCGTAGGATAGCTTTTGGCCTATAGCGGATAGGAAACCTCCGCTGGTGCGTCCATCATTTAGTGCGTTATTGTTCGCCATAGCCATGTAAGCACTGATAGTGCATGCATTTATCTCATCCCACCTTCGTAAACTAAAAGGCGGTAGTAAGTACAATGAAACAGGTCATTCATTTGTACCTTAGAGATGTTCACAACTTGTACTTGAAACACCAAAAGGGAAAGTTGGGTAAGACTGAAAGCATTTAGAAACCCTCATGACGCATGGAAAATGCTTATAAGGTCTACAGCTTGCATGCATATGCCGATTTGCCGAATAAAATAACCTTCACCCTTAGCATCGTTTCCATAAACTACAAGCATTATGCTTCACGGCGTTGCTTAGTTTGCATTTCCGTTAACTTCTACATGGCCTTCCGTTTATGAATGATCAATAACCATACGTTCACAACCGGAGGAGAGGGTAGACCAGAACTAGCCTATAGTTTTGTCTGTATATATTATCTATGAAAAAAAAAGTTCTTAGTTAGTTAATGATATACACCGCATACTAGATATGCAACAGTTTATACCCGGAAAAGAATCTTTCTCATGGTGTTAGACCTGCGTACTGGGTACCGAAAACCAAAGCTTCACTTGCACCGTATGTAGAAGCTTTTTTCCATCTGCATTCAGCAGCCCCAGGTTCCATATTTGTCATTAATCTGTCTAACAAGGATAGTGGCGTTTTCTCTGTCAGCTGTCAAGGATTAAACTTTTTCCTTAACCTTGAGTTAAGGTTTGCTAGGATGGCATACAGGTGGTTATAGTTTTAAACGCGACATTTGTCATAAATCCTGTGATTACCACGGCCGGAATAGCGGCTGCGATCTCAAAGTTCTATAGCCTACGCAACGGTTGCTACTAGACGCTATAAGTGTTCTAACCTAAATCTGTCCAAGAACTCGGATAAACAGGAGGCGATTCTTGGCTCAAACATAGATCGTTATAATTAGACATTACGCATAGACTAGTCTGGAATTATCTAAATATTCGGACGAGCGGACCTTAATTTTTTTTTGCATCTTTTCACGAATCTCTATAATTTTGGTTTTCGCCAATGGCCCACCAAAGCCCGATTAACCCTCCCAGCCTGATGCTCCATCTGTCCGGGATGTCTATAGCTTAGACATGATGACTAATATTATATAACTGGTTACGCTGTCTACTGGTAGCTGTCAACGATGAAAGAATTCCACCAGTCTTCTTGGAGCCACAAAAATTCTTTGTTTTTAACTCTTAGTATAAGTATCTAATACACTAGTAGACCAATTCTTTAGCGCAATCTCCTCGGGACGTGCAACAGCACTCATTCCTTCACAACTCTTAGGGCTTGGGCAGGTTCTCTCGACCTTCTGGCTTTCACCAACCTTGAGGCTACATCTTGTATCTGAATGAACCTCAGCTCCACCTAGACCAACAGAAAAATAGTATAACTTGTCATTGTGGAATAAAACTCTGATTGATGCTCATACTAAATTAAGAATATATCATAATAGTTGGAAGCTGCTTCAGCATACTATCTGCCGGAATCAACACTAGCGTTTTCATCCGCGAGTAGCCACCTGTGTTTTAGTCCCCTAAGATCACCACTAGAATTCTAACCCTCTTGGCTCAGCATTCTCTTCGCTCGTGTTAGAGGGCAGACTCCGACCTCTGACACTCAAATCTGATTGCCGCGTTCTATACCACATAATTCCGTAACCAGGAAATCCCCTTGATTTGCAGCGCTTAGTGTCAGTGATCGGCTCTATAGCGGACCAAACCCTTATCGCAGTTCCCTTATTATAACCAGGCACATGAAACTATACTCATTATCTCTCACCACCTATATGATTCTAGTACCTATTGGATCTTCAGTCCGGAGATTGTGGTATGTCGTTCTATCTACAAGATACATTTACAATAATCCATGACAAGGTAATTCTTGAATTAATCGCATATCCTGCCAGCAGGAAACCACTTCGTTATATAGCCCTCTGGGCTTGAATCACCACGTCGCTTTACCCGTGCTAGAAAGCTAGTTCTAGTAACTGTCATCAACCCATTCTGGTAGCTACACACGATACCACTCATAACCTCAAAGATAGCTTCTCAAACTCTGGCATCGCCATTAGAATCCTGGCTAGTTCAATCAATAGAGTGTGTGACTCTTAGCAGTACACAATCACAAGGTTGTGGGTTAGACCCCCGCGTCGGGTTCTATTTTTTGGCTTGTCTTCTTACCTCGGACAAGTTTTCTCGGGAGCAGCTACGTTTTACAGCGCTGAAATTGTTGAAATCTGTTCTGGTATATATTCTATGTCTGAGAAATACGTTAGAATACTCCAGGAGAAATTTTAGGATAGCCAAAAGCTATTTTACTGGAGATACCAATTAAATCAACACTCCCTAATTTCGCCTGTGATAGCGAGGGTTAGTTTGGACCCTGGCGGGTTCATCTAGGTATTTGATCATGATCTATAGAGTTTGAAATACAGAGTTCTCACCTAATTCCCATTGCCGACCTGCAACTAGCTGGAATGTATTTCCCTCAGATAAGTGTAGAGTTGCGCAACCAAGAGTACCAACAGCACTTCTAGAACTATTTCTGGGGCAATTGGGATACTTTTTTATAGAAAATTAACCATATATGATATAATTTTCTGTCCACATGGTAATCCAAAGAGGAACCCTACCCATGATTGCCCGGGGGGTGAATAACTAGAGAGACTAAAACCGCAGTTCAGTGAGATGCGTTCACCATTACATCAAAGCATGGCTACCCTTATAATTTATTACTCATTTACTTCAAATTTTAGGCTTATGTATGTGTAGCGTGGACCCAAAATCTTTTAAAAAAAACAAGCTTCCGCAACTCCACAATGCAATGGATAAATCACTATATTCTTTAGTCTTCATGATAACACTGTGTTGCAACCCCGAGTAAGAGATATTTGCAACCTTTCAGTTTAGTCACCTGGCCATACCTCTCTGCCTTAGTATAATTTAGTAAGACATGGTTCTCCTGGGAGTTAGCCTCGGTGTTACTCTTTGAAAGTAGCCTTGTACTCCATCTAGTGTGGCAGTACAGTATGTGTTAACTCCGTAAGGATGGACTAGAGTTTGAGTTTGACACTGGCACACCACCCTCGCCAGTGCTCCACACGAGCCTGTTTCAATCTTTCATCAGGTACTCAAAATGGCCGGTCGGTAAATAAAAAAAAGTTGGTCCTATTCTCTATACACAAACCCAGCGATTTCAGTGTTATTTCCATGGCGAGACGTATAACCAAAATTACAGTCAATCAGAATAAAGCGTTCCTCCGCCAATTACTACCAGATACTAAGTCCCTGGAATCAAAGTTTAACAGCACCTAGATTGTTCCCTGGGAACAAAAATTAAGATATCTCTTTGAATATACCATTTTATTTGGGTAACTAGTTATTTGGCTATCGCGTGAAATAAATCTCTGCACGACTGGGCTAAAAATTACTAGGCCAGGTGGATAATCGAATTAAAAGAAAACAATGTAGAGAAAAAAAATCTACCCAGAAATAATATAAATCATTTTCAAGAGAAGTTAGATCTTGTGAGAACCCTAAGGGGAAGCTTGGGGAGAGTATTCCCTTCCGTTATCGTAGCCAGTGGTGGAACCTTCAGTGTCTTGCACTACCTTCTTCAACCCTTCCTCTCCCAATCTCACCATCATCTCTTGAGCATCAAACGTGGTAATCTCAGTCTTCACAAAGTCCCTGGCTTTGACCTTGTTCTTGAACAAGGTATCCAACTCAGCAAATGTTCTGCCCTTAGTCTCAGGCAACTCGAACCAACACCAAACAGCACTGAGGATGGCAGAACCTGCCCAGAAGAATCCGGTCTTGGCCTTCCAGTTCCATGCATCTGGGTTCAACATGTACGGAGTGACAACAGCGTTGAAAATACCAGCAACGTTGTACACATTCCTAGAGATAATAACTGACTTGGTTCTCAATCTCACAGATGGGATTTCGGTAACGAGACAGTAACACGTCGGGCCGACAGCTAAATCGTACACAAAGACAAAGACTAGCAAAAGAGACCCGATGCCCCATGAAGCACTCTTTGCACTGAGGCATCCAAGGATACCAATCAAAATAAGAATACTGGCCTGAGCGCAGAGACCGAAGAAATAAATCTTGAATCTACCAACCTTCTGAGAGAGGAACCATGACCCGATAGTACCGATGAGACCCAAAGAATATTGCACGATTGTGAAAGTGAACGCGTTACTTTTGTCCAAACCAGCTTGTTCGTAGAAATAGGTGGAATAGCCGGATAAGGCGCCACCACTGATGTGCTGAACGAGCCATACCATGGCTCCAACTCTGGTTCTTCTCCAGTTGACACCTTTGAAGCAATCGGTGTAGGATAAACCCGCTACTAAAGCAGCCTCTTCTTCGTTAGCCAACTGGATTTTGGCGGTCATTGCATCCGCGAGAACACTCTTATCAGGAATCAGCTCGTTCTCGGAAATTAATCTGCCTATCGACTTTCTGGCCTCACTGACTCTCCCTTTCTTAACCAACCACCACGGAGATTCTGGCGCCAAGTAGATACCTATCATTATTGGCACAGGCCATATCCACTGGAGCGCAAAAGGAACCTTGTAAGCCCATTTGGATTTGGAACCGACATAGGATTTCAAAACACCCGAGGCAATCAACTGCCCAATAACCCAACAAATGTTGACGTAAGTGGTCAAGTAGAATCTCAATACAAGTGGACAAACCTCGGAGGCATAGGAAACCGTCAAGGTCTGGAATGCACCCCACGGCAACCCTAACAAAATCTCACCGGCAGCAAGCATACCAAGATTCTCAGCAAAAAAAAGAATAAAGATAAAGCCGATAACCATAGTAAGCGAGCCAATCAAAGTCCAACGATAACCAACTCTGTCAACAATAAAGCCAGCAGCGAACAATCCCAAGATCTCACCAACATTGGCACACATACTCAAGGCAGTCTGCCACTTGGGTTCAATCTGGTATCCCCCCTTTTTACTTGGAACACCAAACTTCTTCTGAAAAGCTGAAAGACCGTAAAACGAGTTCAACAAACTGGTATCGTAACCTTCCATGATGATAGCAGTGGAAAGGACGATAGACCAGAGGGCAGCCTTGGGGAAGGTCTTCAACCCCTGCTTAAGCAGCATGGTCTTTTCCTGAGTTTCGTTGGCCTGGGCATCGCTGGAGATCCCAAGGAACTTGGCAATGTAGTCCTCCATCTCTGGATTGTTGGTGAGCCCAGAGGTGTGCTTGATAATCTCCGTGGTGGGGTCGATCTCTGATACGGAGTCGATCTCCGTGATAAAGTCGATCTTGGATTTTGAGTCCTCTAATCTTTTCGTGTCAGAGTTCAGCATTGTTATAGGCTCCTTGTATTCAAAAAGGAAGTGTGATGGTTATTTAATAGCTAAAGTCTAGAATAAAAAGCCCCAACTCTGAAGGATAGCCGACATCTTATATAACCCTGTTGGACTTCATGTTCACAGGGATAGATGACGAGGGCATATAAGTCAATTGCAACAAAGGAAACTCACTTGATAATAGCCCTAGTTTTGTAGAAATACTTTACGAGCTTGACTAGACCAGCTACAGCGAGCTATACGACTTTCTGCAATAAATGGCGTAACCCATACAGGTGTGGAGAACGCATTGCATATGCTCCAAACTATTCAGCGTAGTTAAGGCAAGCCATATTGCAGACACTCCTACTAAAAAAACCTTAGTAATTTTAGTAATCCTCCTACAGATGACTAATTCCCAAGATTCTAAGCTTTTGAGTCTCTTTTATCTTCAAACCATGCCCTTCTGGACTCTAAAAGAACTCAGACTACCAGCTTGTTTGTGATACCCTGGTTGACTAGTACGGTTACCACAGGGCTCAAAACCTAAAGCCAGGATCATTTCCGCAGAAACTGTGGAAAAACTGGTATCTCCGAGCGCCATTCGAAAATATACGCTATCTAAAGCGGGATTGCTCTGTGTAGCACTAAAGGCAGCCTTGACGCTCGAACTGGCCTTGAGTTTTGCAGAGCCATCCAACTACAAAGGTTCCCCGTACGATACCCTGTGGCGTATAAGTATTTGGAGGGGATTGGATGTTTGTCGGGTGTAGCCTTTTAGCTTCAACAAAGGCCGCAATCTCGCCATTTGGCACTGAAACGTGTACTTCTGGAATGCAAAAGATCATGTCCTAAGTGGTAGAGACAAAAGCGTGTAGGCACCCTGTTGAAATCTGTTCCTGTACACACTCGATGTCGTAGGATCGTTTGAAGTCTGTTTAAAGGAGGACATCGAACAGTGTTTCTAAAGTGATTTCGGTATGATCAAATGCTATTTAACGGAAGATGCAATAAAGATGCCATTTGACTAGACGGACGTCAGTGATCGTTACCTACCTACATACAATAAGCGGACACCCTGGCATCGTATCCGCCTTAGTATACAAGACCACCGACTACCTTATCCCTGTATATATCTTACGGATGAAAAGTATTCTCTTTTAGCTACTAGGTATACCACAGATCAATTACTATTCATTATCGCCATGGACACCAATATTATTCAGCAACAGATTGCTAAAAACCGACATGCACTGTCTGCACGGGTTTAAAAACTGAACCCTGTGCCGCTCTTTCATGCCATGGCCACGGAGAGGTATATCAAAAAGTTAATGCAAGAGACGGGACTCGAACCCGTGGCCTAACAATGGGAATGTTAGATTTTACCCCTAAACCACTCCTGCACGCACAGGTCAGAGGGATTTGAGCACCATTATGACAAGCCATTGGAAATAGTTCAAGATTTAAACCCCTTCAAACTAGCGCAAAACTATCACTCTGTAAAATTTAGATATGTATCTATTGTATAGGAGCATAATCAGGCTATGAAGTTCTGTAAATCAAGCATTAGCCATCTGCGTTGGAAGCTCAGTAACCGATCCATGGTAGGCCATTCCGGCACCACAGATATGCGTCAGATGTTGGCAAGGCTTTTGGTTTAAGCTCTCATCCGCTCGAGCTGGGGCACTGTCAAACTTTCGTCGTGCTCTTTTGGTGTCATACAAATGTCCGTCATATCCACACTAGTTCATCTATCAGACTCTCTTCGATCCAAACTCAATATTGATGGTCTGGCCAAACCTTGATGTACAGTAGTCTGCATACATCGCCAACAAACTCTTATCGTTAACAACGACAACCCCATCAACCACCTGGAGGGTCACCTTGGTTCCCACCACCACTGCCATATTTGGTGGCCACTGACTCAACGGAAATTCCGTAAGGTCTTCACTATTGCCCAATATCTGCATGGCAATGTTGCCGGCCGCAAGACCACCCATGTAAACGGCACCCCCCGATGTTTTTAGAATCGGCAACGCCACAAGGTCTCCCACCGCATAAATTTTCTCAAACAGGTTTTTGGGGTCCGAAATTGGCGCCAATTGAAGAAACTCATTCACGTTGGCGCACCTCCTCTTTGGATTGAGGTGCTCTTTCCCCGTCAAGCAGTCTTCGAATAATTCGAGGTTGTTGCTGAGAGGCTCCAAGTTGTTGACATAAGAGTGACACCAATAGTTCAACTCACTCTCGATCTCATACTCCCCTTTTGGGCTCTGGATCTTTAAATTCCCATTTGCCCTCTCAGCGACAACTCTCAGTTCCATCAAGACCTCACATCCTAATTTTACAAGCTGTTCGAGGATTTTGTCTCTGAATTCGTCATTTTTGAGAACTGGTTCGGGCAACAAGCGAGGGTACGGGTGGATCAATCTAATCTTTTTAACCTTGCCGTACTGCTGTAACAACTCGCCAGCTGTTTCAATACCAAGCGCCCCGCCCCCAATCACTGTAACCGTGTTCGCTTTCTCGATCAAGTCTTGCTGCTGCCTTTGTTGCTTGAGGAAATCCTCTTTGTTGCAGATATGGTGAGCCTTGGAGATTGGGTCAAATGGAACATCCGGTCTGGCTCTTCCAGACGCCAACACACAGTAATCAAACTTGAGAATGGCGGGTTGGTTTGACACTGGATCAACGTAATGCGCCTCTTTGGCAGTCAATTTGGAGCACTTGGTCTGGATGAAATTGACCGTCAAAAACTCACTGTGGGTTTCCTGGTTGGATAAAGATAACTTGGTTGCCGTAATGTCAGTTCGACCGTCTTCTTTGTCTGCAATTCGAATACTGTCAAACTTCATGTTGTACTGATGCAACGGGGAGTAGATGTCATCAGCAAAGCTACTGTCCACGATAGATTTCGGTAACCCTAGCAAATTGATGATACCAGTCTTGGGTTCAAGCAAGGTGATGGTCACCGATGTGGCACTGGTGAGGGAGGGAGATAACTTCCCGACCAAGGCCTTCAATGCGGACAAGCCTGCATATGAGCCTCCTATGATAATAATCTGCTTCATTGTTCAGCGATAATTATCTGTATTGTTTTCAGGACGTCTAAATCGACCGCAGTTGGAGGAGGTGAGCCGCTACATATAGTGTCCACTGGTTCTTACAAACACGCTGTTCGACAAATTTCCGTGTATGCACGTTGGAGACAATCAACAGTAAGCCTGTATGCACTATGCGTTCTCGGAGAAATCGGATATGTGTGGGTATCGATACATTTCGTTGATAATATCACGTTCTCAGCCGAAGAATGGAAAAACTATTCATATAAAGCTGTTGGTTGTTTTCTTAAAGCCTGATTTGCTCCCTGTAAGTGTAAATAGGCGAGTCGATAATGGTCGATAATCGGACCCTTACATATCACCGAAGCTAAATTATCCGCTTGTGTGCATGCCCCCCACACGTCAGAAACATTGTGATGTACCGCTTTGCGATCGATATTACATTCAGCTTTATGTATCTATATATGTGCGTCTGAGTGTGTGGTCCCAAACTTGATGTCATAAATTTCCGCAACGTTGTCAGTTCTGTAATCAGCGTACGCAGACAAAGTCCCCTTATCGTTCAAAGTAACAACATCATCGTACAACGTCACCGCCACGTTCGAGCCAACAACAATAACCATTTTAACGGGCCATGTTTCAATCGCAAGTCTCGTTAACCGCTCCTCCGCATCTAATATTCTCGTGGCAATGTTTTCTCCAACGTTTTTTCCAATGTAAAATGCGGAACCGGCTGTCTTCAAAATCGGCAACGCAACGAGATCCCCCACAGCGTAGATATTTTCCCACACCTTTTCTGGGTCATTGAGGGATGCGATTTGAAAATACTCGTTAACATTCACACATCTTCTCTTTCTTTCAGTGGTATTATCCCCGGTTAAACAGTCGCCAAACAACTCGACATTGTTACTCAATGGCTCCAAGTTATTGGCATACGAATGGCACCAGTAATTCAACTCACTGGTGACTTCCCTCTCGCCCTCTTTGTCTATAATCTGTAAATTACCGCCGTCCAACTCCCGGAGAACTCTCAGCTCCAAAAGCACCTCGCACCCCACAGCCTCCAACTGCTCGAGAATCGCGTCTCTGAACTCCTCACTTTTGATGGTTGGTTCAGGCAACAACTTTTCGTACGGATGGATCAATCTGATTTTCTTGGTGGAACCGTACTGCTGCTGTAATTCCCCGGCGGTTTCAATTCCAAAGGCGCCTCCACCAATAACAGTAATGGCCTTGACCTTTTCAATAGTGTCTTGTTGCTTTTTCTGTTGCCGAAGGAAGTCTTCCTTGTTGAAAATGTGGTGGCCCTTGGAGATAGGGTCAAACGGCACGCCAGGTCTAGCTCTCCCAGAGGCTAAGACACAATGGTCGAACTTCAAATAAGCAGGCTCTTGAGTGAGCGGGTCAATGTAATGGGCTTCTTTGTTGGTTAACTTGAAGCATCTGGTCTGGATGTAGTTGACAAACAAGAACTTTTTCATGGAGGTAACGAGTCCTGAATCACTAGGAGTAAGAGCTGCATCATGCAAGCTGCCGTTGGTCTTCTCGACCTGAATGCTGTCAAAGGGGATATTGAACTGGTTGATCGGCGAGTAAATCTTACTGGCAAAGGCGTTATCGCAGATAGACCTGGGCAAGCCCAAGATGTTGATCATCCCAGTTTTTGGCTCAAGAAGGGTAACCGTGACGGGGTTTGCCTGAGTAGTGCTTGGTGCTAACCTTGTGATCAAAACCTTTAATGCCGATAAGCCCGCGTACGAGCCACCGATAATAGCCACTTGTTTCATTGGAACGTGATCGGATAACGATAATTATCGACTTACGCCTCCCTCAAAAAAAACGGCAACCACCTCCTCTTTTATAAATTTTTGTGTTTTTTTTTTTTTTTTTTTGAATCCTCGAAGTTATACACGCATTTGACTAACAATGAGAGTGTTGGTAAACTCTTGATGCATATGCACTGTCTGCGCGCACTGCAGAACTCTCCCTCCGGGCCGACCCTTCGCATCTGAAAACTCTCAGGCTCGATCATAGTAATTCGGAGATAGCCCAAATAAGGATACTGGATCGGATTATTACGTATCTGTATTATTAATCACAACTTGGACATATCGGGTGGTGTTATTTGAGGGCATAGTCCATGAGACGCTGGGGGCTTGAGATCCAGACAAGCTTCCATCTTTACAGATACTCAGACATTGCTATATCATAAAATCCCTGTGAACACACCTTGTCCGAAAAGCACTAACTCAATCAGGCTTCCCCTCTCCTGTTTTAATCCTAGTATGCTGTATAAGTGATAGTGGACTTGGTTTTTCCATCAAAAATATCTATGCGACTGGCATACGGGATCATACCTTTAGGATGAGCATTAGTTTGTATATACTTTATGGCGTAGCTATCGCCATGTATATTATGCTTGGTTAGAAACGTACCGTTTGGCTTATCGGTAATATGTATATATTTTAACGCAATAAACAGCACCAACTATGAAGCCGAACGCCCAAAGTGACCGATAAAGAGTGGACTAGTACCATTTCTAGGTCTAACTCTTTCTTGCATCCACCCTTGGCTGCCTAGTTTTATCTCCCGTAGCTACCAGTACCATTCATTGATGCGAAAATTGAATTTTGGTTATTGATTATATACACGGCTATCCGGCCCTATTCCACCGTCACTATTTCGTAGGCGTTTTTAGAAAAGATGGATAAAAGCCGGAAATCTACCCACCGGCAGGCTACTTGGGCATTGGGTTGGTTTCAGGACTCTGCACTTACTTTTTCTTGGAGTCAGATCTTCTGTTACCTCTCTTGTGGGCCAAAATACCACCCTTGACTGGCACGAAACCAACACCCATAAGATCAAGGTAGGCGTCAGATTCGTCAGCCTTTGGAGCGGCAGTTTCAGAGGTTTCAGCAGTTTCAGAGGTTTCGACAGCTTCAGAGGTTTCGGCAGAGACATCTTCGTTGTTGAATTGGGCATACTTAGCCTTGAATCTGTCTAACTTACCCTTAGCACCCACGTCGACCTGGGTCAACCCCGTTCTGGATGGGTTCCACAAAAGAGCGTTTCTCTGGTCGTTAAGCATGGTCAACTGGTCCTTTGGAAGCTGCGATCTTCTCTTGACGACAGACCCATCCGATAATCGGATGAGGGTGTCGAACTGGTGGTACACCTTTGGTCTGGCCTTACCCAACTTGATTTTTCTGCTTGGAACCTTGGCCAACTGGACATCGGTCACAACCGGTGCATTTGGATTGTAGGAGAGGAAACGCTTGGAGGCGCTGGCGGTAGTCTTGTTACCAACACTTCTAAGAGAGTACATTATGTGAAGATGGAAGATAGTGTCTGAAGCGAGGGCCGTCCAAACTACCAGCTGCTTGTGATATTTTTAATTTCCCCAAGCGTAATTTTTCAGCGCTTACGTAAGCTCTACTTGAACGACTGATTTGCTGGGTGATTAACTGAATACAGGATACGCGATGGCCAGAGTTGAATATACTGAGGCACCTTTCATACTTTTGTTAACCAATTTAGAGTGGAAGAACAAAGGGGTGGGTTGGTGTTTCCTCACGTCCAGGTACCAATACTAGCTCCTTCAGATGACACCCCAAAATCTGAAAAAAGAATGCCCTACAAAAATAACCAGGCTAGTTGCCCATACCTAGCCTCCTTTCCCGTAGAGAATGTTCAAACAAAAGTTTATTCTTGGATGCTCTGCTGGATATAAACTAATTGTGACTGAAATCTAAGTCTACTCTTTTGCTCCAGCACTAATCTTATACAACTCTTCGACAAAATTCTCACCCCAGTAGCCAGAGGTGTACTTCGAAACATACGCAAACAACTTCAGCCAGTTAGCCTCTCTCTTCTCCACTGGCAACGTCAAGGCCTCCTGAAGCGAAGCAGCCAACTCCTCGATATTCCACGGATTGACAATAATCGCCCCGTTCAAGGACTGCGCGGCACCAGCAAACTCCGATAAGATCAAAGATCCCTTCTTCTGCGACTGGCATGCAATGTATTCGTATGAAACCAAGTTCATCCCGTCTCTGGTCGATGACACAAGACACACATCACCAATCGCATACAAACTGATCATCTCGTCAAAAGGAATGGACTTGTGCAAGTAGTGGATCGGAGTAAACTCCACGGTCCCAAAACGGCCGTTGATCCGCCCCACAAGCTCATTAACGGTGGCCCTGAGCGACTGGTACTCTTCAACATCACCTCTGGACGGCACAGCCACCTGGACAAGAATAACCTTCCCGACCCACTGCGGGTTCTGCTCCAAAAACACCTCAAACGCGTGCAACTTCTGCGGAACACCCTTGATGTAGTCCAATCTGTCGACCCCGACAATAAGCTTGGTATCTTTTCCAAACCGATGGCCGAGCTGTTCGATGCGGTCTTTAACCGCCTGCTTTTGCAAGCCCAGTGTGAAGTTGTCTACGTCAATACCAATAGGGAAGGCACCGACGGTGGCCTGGTGGCCGTTGCGCAACTGAATTCCATTCGGGGTGGTGGTGACAGTGTCCAGGTCCAAGATACGATTCACAGAGGAGAGGAAATGTCTGGCGTAGTCATAGGTGTGGAACCCAATGAGGTCGCAGGAGATGACACCCTCGAGGATTTCCCTTCTGACGGGCAAGATTCTGTAGATTTCCGAGGATGGGAACGGGGTGTGGAGGAAGAATCCGAGTCTCACGTTCTTCAAGCCTTTGGCAGCGATCATATCCTTCAAGATCTTCGGCACAAGCATCAAGTGGTAGTCGTGGATCCACACCATGTCGTTATCGGCAATCTTGTCAAAGATGGCCTGGGCGAATTTGTGGTTCGCCTCGATGTAAGCGGCCCAGGACTGTTCGTCAAAGTTCATCTCGCCCGGGTGGTAGTGGAACAACGGCCAGAGAATGGAGTTGGAAAATCCGTTGTAGTGGAGGTCGGCCAAGTCGTCCAGCAAGTAGATGGGGATGCACTTGAATTTTTCCTCTAAATCGCCCGCAACTCGGTCTTTTTCGCCGTCCGGGATCTCAAGCCCCGGCCATCCGAACCACTGAAACGAAGTGGACTTTTTGAGACCCTGTAAGGCGGTGACAAGGCCCCCAGACGACATGGTGTACTGGTACTCACCGCCCGCAGACCGTTTGATCGTTACGGGGAGTCTGTTCGACACAACCAAAACGTTTCCCTTCTTTGCCATGGTGATGTAATTGGTTATTGCTGCTCAAAACAGGAACGGAAACCGATAAGGGTTTGGAAGGATGAAGAAATAGAACCTCGAAGGGCAAGGAACGCGTACGTTGCTGCTGCATGCTATCGGCGGGCTCGTAACTAAGGGGTGCTACTAAGAGCGCATAGGGAAACTGCAAAAGGTTATTCACAATCGAGCCGGGTTTTGTTCACTTTTGAAAAAAAAACGCCAATTTTCCAGAATTTCGTTAGTTTCACATTAAATATGTAGAATTTTCAACCAAACTCAGATATACCATTTTTAGGCCAATCGGGATGAATCTGACCTGGAAAACGAAGCTTTTTTTGTTGCGGGTTGACCCGAAACCAGCCACCCTGCCCTAGGTACCTTAAGGTCTCTGGTGCGTAATCCATATCTGAACCTCCTTTATGATGCGTAATCTATATCTACACCCCTTTTTATGATTTGTATTTTAGTATACCTATCATACATACACCTGTATAGCGCTGATACCGCCTATAGATGCACCCCTTGACCGTACGGCTAACTGCCATCCTGAAGCATGCTGTCTTCAGATAAGCAAGCTGTGTAGGCCAAAGAGACATTTCTTTACACCTTATAAACTACACGTCCCAGTGTTGTTATTTATAAATTACATCCCATGCCTAAATTACACACTCCTGTTATACCTATGGTACACCGCCGCGGGCCAAGATCTCGCGGTTTAACACACCCAACACCCTGGAAGCACAACTGACGGCGCAGGCGACGCCAGTTTCTAACGGATGCACGTCCATGGGCTCGTCACCCTCCTGGAACGGATTGGTCTTGAACGACCAGAACTCACGGAGGAACGGCGCGGGCGAGGTGACAAAGAGATACGTCCTTCCACGGTAGCCGCGCCGCAAGCGCACTGTGAGGTCAATCACTTCAAGCGCGCGCAACGTCGCAGTGCCGCTGTGGATATCGTGGGGGTCCATAACTGCAGCGCTGCTTTCAGCCAGATACGCCGCGTACTGTAACTGAAAGTGGTTCAACTCGCGAGTGAAGAGGCTGAAGCGGATCTTTGGGAGGAGAAACTCCCCCGAGGCAGCGTCTCGCAACGCCTCCTGGTTGGCCGTGGAAATTTCCCGGAGCGCCTTGACCAACGGAAGCGTGCCCCCGAGCGCCTTGATCAACGTGGGGATGCCGTGGGTCGCAAGGATACTGTCCAACTGGACGGCGACGAGGTTGTGGGGATTGTTTGGAGCCAACTCGAGGCGGATCCCCGCGCCTACCAAGCCACACAACGTGGCCTCCTCCGAATCATAGCGGAAGCGGATAGAGTCCAAGTCCGTGAGCAAGATCTCAACTCGGCTCTGCTGCAACACGTTCAGGATGGAGATCAAGTTGAGGAGTGTGGTGAGCTTTCCAAGGGTCTCCGCGAGGAGCGTGCCACTAGCGGCGCTGCCCATGCTGAGGGTCTCAACCTGGGTCTGAATCTCAAACACACCGGTCTCTGGCTCGAACTTGATCGCCAGCGGGCCGTCGATCTTGAGGTTGATCCGCGCACGGAGCTTGCCGTAGAGCGAGAGGCAGAGAAAGCGGCCAGCCAACTTGATCTTCAAAAACAAGGTACTGTAGCAGCCGGGAACCGCCGTGAGCGAATCCTTGTCGATGACAATCACCGATTCACTCTTGTCGGCACGCAAGAGGTTGTGCACCGCGGGGTCGGCGGCGAGCGTCGGGGTCCGGAGGCTCATCAAGCGGCAGCCCTGGGCCTTCAACTCCTCGAGCACCAAGTGGCTGGTGATCTTGTTGGCCGCAACGACCGCGAGCTCCGCTAGCGTTTCGTAGTCAAAGTAGCTTTTGTAGTTCTTTGGCTCGCACAAGACGTCGGTTTCCGCGAGGAGGTTGATCTTAGCGAGCCACTGGATCTGCCACGCACCCAGCGCCGCTCGGAGTTGCGCCACGCGCCAGTGAAGGTTGGATGAGTAGCCGTTGACACCGCAGATTAAGAACCAGCCCTGCGGCCACTCGCGCCGGCGGAAGAATTGCACGTTGAGAGCGCTGCTGGCAGAGAACTGCAACTTCGCCCAGTCTTCGCTGCCGCTGCTGACTTTGACCACATCATTACGGATCCAGCCGACCGCCGACAACACCGACGAGATCTTCAACGTGAGGATCTCGAGCCGCATCACAATCAAGTTGTAAGCGACCTTCGCGACAGCCGCGGCGTCTTTGTTGATGCGCGTCACAAACGACACCATGAGCGGCGTGGGATTGACCAAGAACACGTTCCCGGTGATGCTGTCGATGCTGACCACGGTATGCTGTGTGTGGGTCAACTGGTAGTGGAGTTTTCCGGGAGAGAGCATTCGGATGAGGGCAGGGCCGTCGCGCACGGCGAGCTGCGCGGACATCTGTTGGTAGATCCCGCGGAGCGCCAGCTCTGCATGCTTGTTGGTGATTTCGGTCAATGTCTGCTCAATGTTCAAGCCAAAATCAGTATCCGTTAAGCCCTCTGTTAGGGAATGCGTGGAGACGTACTCTCCGTCTTTAGACCACCGAAAGGACAACTCAAATTTTCGGTTAAGCCCAATCTCAAGGAACGAGCGGAGAGCCGCGCGTGCAGCCCAGTACGTCACCACGATGGTCGACTGATCGATGTTGTATGTGTGCTGGAGGTGGCCCTTCCAGACGCCGCTCTGGCGCATGTTTGCAAGCTGCTTATGCACGAGATAGAGCTTGTAGGTGGTGGCGTAGTGATGCAAGATGGTGTAGAGACCCGGGAGACCGCTACGGTGGAGCACCGCGTTGGCAAGAGACTCGAGCTTCACGTGGCTGGGTGCAGGCAATGGCGTCACTAGCGCGTCGTCGAGGACGTACCGGTCGTCTGGGAACCCGAAAAGGAACCGAAAGTCGATCAAGAAGAACGGCGAAATCGTTTCGTCTTGGGTCTCGTCATCAGCTATGGACACTGACGCAACAAACTCGCGGTCCACCGTGAAGGTCACGCGGCCATCGCGGATCTGGTAGTTGCGGAACCGCGGCGGTAAGTCGTCCGCAAGCGCGAGCTTAATCGCGAGGAGCACGTTCAAGTTGCGGAACGTTTTCAAGATGGTTTTTGCGGAAAGCGCCGACTGGCGGATGAGGTTGTGCGATGGCAACTGTGGCCGGCCATTGATGAACACCTCGAGCGCCGTCATCAAGTCGGGGTTCGGTAACTTCGCCGAGGCTAGACCCGGAACAATGCTTTTCATACCCCAGACCGAGTTAAACAAGTTGCCCTGCTCTGTACGCATGAAACTCATCAACTGGATGAGCCGCTGAAAGTCGCGCGCACGCGCGGACCACTTCACGAGCACGTATAACTTAACGAGATCCTTACGGAGTCGCACAAAAAGCTCGAGGAGCTTCTTCTTTTTGATGGAGTCAGGCTGTTGGAGGTTCGGTAGTGTCGCCACGAGGTACGAGATCTCGGAAAAAGCGTACTCGGCAAAGTTCTGGAGAAGCGTGGCAAGCGGCAACATGTTGGTGGTGACAGCTGGGAGCGCAGGTGCGGAGCCAGAGCAAAGCGCGGAACCATTTGCAGGTTTAAGCACATCAGACGTTCCATTGGGCTGAACTATATCCATGGTGAAAAGCCGGCGGTTCGATAGGGCCTATGCGTGATGGATTAGAAGAGGCTGGTATATGGAGGTGAGTTAACATAATGAAACTTACTGTTTTTCGTGTAGTTCGAGAAAAGAGAGGTATTCGCGAATTCTTGGAGGTTCGAGAAATGCCGAGCGCATACAAGGTGGGGGAAATGGGGTGGGGCAGAATGGATTGTTATCAGTACAAACAGGTTCCAGAGGGGAGTCTATATGCTAACCTCAAACATAGTCCGGGTCTTAGGCACAGCTGAAGCTTCGATTATTGTTATCTGGTTCCTAAATTCGTACTTGGGCTTTCCTCACACTTTTTGTAAACCATAAATCATGAAATAACCCAAGGCCAGTCCTTGGCAGGCCTTCCCCCTCCGGCTCTAAAGCTCTCCCATCACGTGACGTATGCGTAGATTCTACTATCGGAAACGATGAAAGCTCAGCCTGCTTCATCCATGAAAACAGTGTCATCTGAAATGGTTTAATATCGTAGACAGAAACGATGAAGAGTGATGAACAGGAATGCGTCCAGATTGGCGATCAGGTTTTTCAGCAGTGGTACACTGTCTCGCCCTATCGAAGACGTTTCGTTCTTGCGAGTGCTTTTGTCCCCGAAACAAGTCACACAAGCCAAACTGCCTGCTTTGATTGAATGTTCTCCTGGAGTGTCGAACCGAGAAAAGGTGGTAGAAATACGTGGTTCAGCTAAACATATAGCCGGCATAGTGGAGAGCCTCTGCCACGAAACCACCCTCCAAAGTGCCGTTCACTTCCTTCTCTCCGACCATGAAACAAAGTTAGTGATGCAGCGAATGGACACTATCCCTAACTTTGCTTGTGTTAATATTGGCCAGAAGAACCTCCCTCTCACAAACGACCGTATGGTGCAAGTCTATGGCTCTCCTTCTCAGATCAGAGATGTGGTAGAAAGCGTTTTGGTGGTGGTTCAAGAGAGAAAGCATCTTTTGGAGGGTGCCTACCACGATAAGTATGAACCTTACCCGTCCTTGCCACTCTTTCAGAAACTAGAAATCCCAAAAACCCTTGTGAGTGGGGCACTCGGGGTAAACTATTCCAAGCTTGATGGTATCCAAAAGGCGACAGGCACGAGCATCCACCTCGTTTCCGAGGTCAATAGCGAGCACAAAGTGTGTTTGTTGGTATATGGTCAGAGCAAAGGTCCAGTGGATCTAGCGATCGCCAGGCTCTTTGATGTCGTTAAGCTGGAAATCACGCGCAAGATGAACGAAATTGTCGGTCGGAAGTACGTAGCAGAGACGGTCGCTCCCGTTAGCTTGGTTGACTACATCATAGGTGAGAGGGGTAAAACTGTGATCCAGCTCTCCAAGAAGACTAATACTGCCATTGACATTCACAGGGGCACCGGTGTGTGCCGTGTGATAGGCTTTGATGCTAATACGGTTTCCTCGGCCACCACTCTGTTGGAGGTGACTATTTCGAGGTTAAAGCTGGAGGTGTTACCATACTTGTCCGCTATTAAACCGGGGTACAAGTATCAGTTTTCCAATATGGTTGACATACCAACGTCTTCTGTCAAGACAATTATAGGGGATCGTGCAAAACAAATACGAAAGCTTGAAACTACCCTGAATGTCCGAGTACGGTTCCAAGATCTAGTCGATCAAAAACGGATGCTGGCATGTGTGGTGTATGGCGATGACTTGGAGCATATCGAGCGAGCCATGAATGCTATCGCTACCATCCTCTCTCGATAGAGTTTGGTAGGTTAAAGTACATCCTGTAATAATTTCTGTATTTTGACCGGTACTTACAAGAGCTGGCACTTACAGGAACCGGAACTTACACTCTACTTACAAGACTTTTGCATAGTGGACATTATTCAATATGAAACTATAACCTTGTTGTATAACTATCTTGTGCTATTACTCTTCAAATCCACTTTTTGTGTAGGCAGGAATCCTGTTAGCTTTTCCTCCGATAGACGAGACGACTCTTTAGCCCTCGATCTCTGTTGGACGACACCTCCTTCAACTTCTCCAGTCATTTTACGGCTCCAAGAAAAATTCGTGGTTTTTTGAATGTCAAGTGCTTCGATTATACATACCTCTGGGCGATTCGTTCTGGTTCGCCCCCCCCCCCCCCCCCCCCAAGGTGTCGCCCTTTGCAGTCCTATTCATCCCACCATTCATTTGGTTACTCAAATTCTGTATTAACTTACCCCTTGTTTATTGCCTACAGCGTCCTCTTCTCTCTTGGTTTCATAATTCATAAATTTAGTTAAATATATATGTCTGAGAAAAATCGAGTAAGAGAAAAGAAAGGAGGTTTAAATTGGCGCACTGTGCTCGATTGTAGATAGGGTACAAGGCACTCCAAATTAGAAGGAAAGAGACACAGGAGGGTGCATGAGATCCAAAGGGATACTCGCTCAACACGTCTAGGAGGAGCTTTCCTAAAGGAAATCCACCCCTATGACAGCAAGAGGGAACCAGGAAAAGCTCGGCCAAAGGCAATATCATATCCAACAGACTGCCGCCTCCGGTTAGAATCCAATAAAGTCTTCCCCAAACGCTCCGGCATAGGGATTGCCGCTGGCGTTTTGCGACCCGCGGTTCAACTGGCCGTTGTGCGACCCATTGAACTGGTTGCTAATTCCGTTAAACCCTTGGTTCATGGCCTGTGGATGGTCATTTCTAAAGCCCTGGGGGATACCATTTCCTGTAGGGCTCATGTTTGCTATATTTGGATTATTACCGTCGGGTATATTGAGGAAAAAATTCGGCAAATTGAACATGTTTTGGAAGAAGTTCGTGTTTTCGTCCACGCCGAGAAGCACGTTCAGGTCTTGCAAGTTGAAAATTTCGTTCGTTGAGGTTGATTCATTTGGAGACGTCATGGTGCTCGCGTTGGAGACCGGTTGGGATTGCATCTGAGTGTACGGATCTGGATGAAGGAGGTGCGAGATACTTGAAGGCGTACCACTTCTGCGGGGGTCAGGACTGACGAACTGGTCATTTGGATACGCCGGCTGCAGAGCTCCATTAGACACACCGCCAGCCCCATTCATGGCCGAAGGGTTCAAGTTCGAGCTAGACTTTGTCTTTTCATGGCGTTTGGCAGGCTTTCTCCTCTTGGAAGTATCTAAAGCGTTGGAAATATCGAGAAACGCCGTCAATTCTGGAGTCATCACCTTGTGTGAAGTATTCTCCTCAATCACCTGAACGGCAACCCGGATCAATATCTTGATACAGTAGCTGGCAAACATCAACTTAAAGGTATAGTCGGATCTGTATATCTCACCATCGCTCGCTTTATCGCCATAGTTGATAAAGAAGGACTGGCAGACGTTAATAAGTAAATTCAAGTCCTCCACCGCCTTTTCGTGTTGCGGCACAGCAATAATGGTACACAACAAATTCACCGAAGCAGAGAAAATAAAGAACGCAGAGTGCAAGAAGAACGCTCTTTCTTCGCGAATCACCGACTGGGACAATACCAAAATGCTCTTCGCTGATTGCATACAGATCTGCATAGATTCATGATCGAGCGAAATATTCATATCCTCGGGAGCGTCCCTATGTGCCCAAGACTGGTGGTAATACATCTGATTCACCCACATCATGCGGTAGTGGTAGCTGAAATGGAGGTAAAGAACTAGGCAATGTCTGGACGTGGAGTTTGTGTCGTCCTCAATAGAGTCATACTTGTCCAAGTTGATGGGGTTACCAGGTCTCATACTTTCACAAATCGTGTCTTTCCATTCCCGCAATCCTGCCGAAAGCTCCTGGATGATCCTCTCTTGGTCCTTGGACGACTTGTTTTCAAACGCATTAGCAACCCCCAATCCATCGTATATTTTGGACGTGAGAATAGACAAACGGCTAAAGTAGTAGGAAGTAAACACCCCAAACCCTCGGCCGTTGGAAGCCAACTGGAGCAAGTGCTTTTCGATTACTTGAGCCTTCGACCAGCCTAACTCCAGGATCGGCGATTCCTCAAGATTTTCCTTCTGCTTGATGGCGTCCAAGGCATCGCGGTAGTCACGTGGAGACAACGTGGAGACGTCGTTGTCATTGATGATAGGAGGCCGGAAGTTCTTGAGGCACAACTCTCGGTCGATATTGTAGCACACCAACCAGATGTTTCTTCTTTGGTCCGCCTCCTTCTCAGAGAGCCCATAAAAGGATTCACGACGGTGCAAGCCCAACTCCTGCGCGAATCTGATCGCCATGGAGAACAAGACGTACGTCACCTGGAACGAGATCGTCATATCGGCGTACAACGCAAGTGTTAGCACCCCCTGAACCCCTTTGATCCCATCGCCGGTGAGCGAGATGCGGTGGTAGTAGTAAATCGCCGACCGCAAGTTGTTATCTTCTATTTGCTTCAACTCCTTGGGAGGGATGTCGATTACCGCGGTATCGCTCTGCGGCGTGTTGGTTCTAGAATACGTTTTGATATTTTTCAACTCATCGGCCCACCACTTCACGGCTGCCCCGCTAGTTATAAGGGCGTGTAACATGAGGTACTCCGAGTAACGCAAGTCCTGCGTTGTCCGCTTGCTCTGAAAATCGTAATAGGTATCCAAGAGCGAGATCGCCTCGTTTTTGGTGATCACATTCGCTAGGTCCACTCTGTTCTTGTAGCAATAGTCCATGAGATGCAAACACACCTCCCGGGATGGTAGTGGCGCTAGCTCCTCTTTCACAACAGGATCAATCCAAATCTTGGTGGACTCAGTAATGCTCTTCTGGAGGGCCTGGTGCGCCTTCAACATTGGGATATGGAGTTCATACGACTTGTCCTTCATCCGCGTACGGAGCCAGTAGAAGCCTCGCGGTGAGAGTATGGAAAAAGCAGAGTTTCCGGTGATAAACACCTCACACTCGTTCACTCCTGTTTTCATATTGAAACTCGGCTGCAGCGCATCTGGGCGCAGATCAGCGGCCTCGGCCGCGGTCACAGGCTGTTGGTCCAAATTATTATTTCTGATCGTAAAGTTGTTCTTCATGCTATCCCACGAAGGAGTATCTGGTCCCTTGGCTCTGTACCTGTCCTTTGCTGGATGCACGTATCTGGTCGGCGCGTCTGATTGGATGTCCAGCTGGGTAGAGTTATCTTCATCGTCGCTACCATCCGACTTGTCGTACGCTGGCAGCGCTGAAACGTTAGGAATCTTCACCGTCCCGTCTAACTTGCTCACGAGTAACTCCATCAAGCTTTCCATCTTGGACAACCGGTTCCCAAGCTCGGTGACGGACTTGGAGCTGGAGGACTTCTTGGTGGCGCTGTTTGCTTGGCGCTTTTTTTCCACATGGGTGTACAAACACGTAATCTTGAAGTTGGCACAGTTTTGGCACAGATTATTACCGTCGCACTTGATCTTCTTTTTACGGCAGTAGTCGCACGCCTGGGAGATTCTCAGTCTCTTCTTCGGGTTGTCCCCGTCATCTCTCTGATCCATGTCCATAATGCACGTTCTGGGGTGGTGGATTGGTCAAAGGGTGAAAAGGTTGAGGGGTAAAAACGTCAATACACCAGTTTGTCTTTGATTGGGTGTGTTTGATAGAAAGTATCTAGTTGTACGTGTTTAATTGGATGTATTTGATAGAAGGTATCTGTCTGTATGTATTTAATTGAATGTATTTGATAGCACGTATCTGGCTTTATGTATTTGATTGGAATGCCTATGGTCTCCTTCTCCAGGATTTTGAGTTGCCTCCGACATTTTCGAAGAAGCCTGAAATAGTTAAATGTATGTGGTGCCGACACGCCTATGGTTGACACGCGCAGCATTATTTACCATTTCCGTGTTTACGATTTAGACCACGTACGTGTCTCTATGAGCTCGATCCCTCCAAACACGACTCCGCACGAAACTATCCCTACCCAATATGAACGAAACGATCGCCGATATTGTCAGACTTCCGTACATCGATGAGGTAGCGTTGCGCATTACGAATGCTTTCTTCAACCTGCTCACGACAACCTACAATCCAAAACACTGGACGTCAGCACTGTTTCTCGCTCTTGCTTTGGGTATTATTGTATTGGGTAGTTTTTCATCGGTTGAACGGCCCCATAATGCTTTACCCCCGAACAGAGACCACCCGCTATTCGACCAGTCAGACAAGGATATCACGATTCTCCACCAGGAGGAGCAGACAATCACGGTGAAACATGCAGCCTTGGTACCGATCATTGGGGGTACCACATTGATGGGATTGTATTTAGGCATCAGATATCTCACCCCGGAGCAGCTCAGCAAGGCTTTGAACTACTACGTCATCTTTGTCAGCTTTGCTGCTAGCTCCCGCACATACTCCTTCGCGGTAAAGCTGAGCGTGCGAAACGTGGCACACTGGCTCGGATTCGATTCTTTGAAGGTTCTTGAGAGATATAGATTGACATTTTCCATTGATGACGAAATCAATCCCTCTGGCTTGGCCGAAAATGAAAAATTCCAGCACTACAACGAGACGGCAAAAGCCGACAAGGAAGCAGAGGAAACTAGCAAGCCGTCGGGTAGTTGCGTTCCCGAGGCCACAAACGTCTCTGTTCCAAACCAAATCTTCAACTACTACTTCTCCTCTGCCGATTTGTTGGCTGTGCCGTTGGCGTTTGCCACGTCCTACGTGTATTACCACTACCACGGCAACCAGAACTTTATCTTGAGCAACGTTATCGGGATAAACTTTGCTGTTTACGGGATCCAGATCGTTAAACTTGGCAGCTTCAAGGCTGGTGTGGTGCTCTTGTTCGGCTTGTTTCTCTACGACATCTACTTTGTGTTTGGTACGGATGTTATGATGACCGTGGCCACAAAGCTAGACATTCCAGCCAAGTTGATGCTTCCAAACATCTCCATCGACGGTGCCGCAAACACGCAGCTCGCCCACGACATTGCCGACGGAAAGTTGACCTCCTTGAAAGACTTGCCTGTTGCTATCCTTGGCTTGGGGGATATTGTTGTCCCGGGTATGTTCATTGCCTTGTGCCTCAGGTTTGATTTGTGGAAGTACCACCAGTTTACCAGTCCAGGCACTGAGTTCCACCATTTGAACTCATACGCCAAGCCTTACTTTGTGTCGTCCTTGGTCGGCTACGCGGTCGGGATGATTGCCACCATGGTTGTCTTACACCTTTTTGAAACCGGCCAGCCAGCCTTGTTATACTTGGTCCCAGGGGTTGTGGGTGCGGTGCTTATTTCCGCTCTTTGCAAAGGGGACCTCCAGCTTTTGTGGAACTTCAAAGACGGTGAAGATACCCCAGACATGGAGTCTGACTCGGAGGCCCCAACCTTGGCTGACTTGTTAGATGAGGAGTACAATGAAGAAGAAGATGAGGATTATACCGAAGATGACAATGATGGAGACACTGTGATTTTGTATGACAGTGAGGAAGAAGAGATCGTTGCCTTGAGTGATGAAGAAATTGAATTCTTCAGACAAACAACGGTAATAACCCTTCGTTCCTAGACGCTCTTAGAGTATATGTATAAAGTTAACTGAAGACAGGTATTTTCACTTGTCTGATTTGTATAACCTATGTAGGATGAATTTTTGAACAAGCAACGTTGATACCAGAATAGTGACAATCTCCGAAAGTCAATAAGGAAAAACTAATGTAGACTTCTGCCATTAACGTAAATATAGTAATGTTAGCTTGAAGGGTAACTGTAACTGTTTGCCATATCTCCATCCTGCTTATCCCCCAAGCTCATCCCCCAAGCTCATGCTGAAAAACGAAACGAATGGTAATACCCTTTACTATATTTAAAAGTTTAGCCGTATCTGTACTGTATTGAAATAAATATATACATTCAGATATGAAAAAACTCAATATATTATAGAAGGATGAATATATATATAAAATAAACTTCAAAGAAATATGAATATACACAGTGTATATATACGTACTAATCGTAAGAATAATACCGAGATATTGAAAAGAGGTTGCTCTGCTTTCTGACCACGCCAAAGTAGGTTTCGTAGATGTTACCATTATGGACACCTGAAAAGGACAAGAGTAAACAGCCGAAATAAATTCATACTATACACAAAAGATTGATGGAATCCCACCAAAAAAAAACTCACAAATACTGACTTCGCAAGTAAAATACTAAGAAAACACCGAGGAAAAACGATATGGCACAACCGGAGTAACGGAGACGAAAGGTTCTGAGAGGAAAGCATCCCTTCACTCAAGGAACGGCTTGGAAGTGGGAGGTTATCCTGTTTTAGAGAAACGATTCCAGCCGTTTGACTGCTAGAAGATGATCACAGTACCAGCGGTTAGGCATTATATCATAATATCTTCGGGCCTATTGAGGCTGGAGGAGGGAACTACAGTTACAAGTACCCTAGGGCTTTCGTAACTCGAAGCTTGGCAGGCCACTATCTGGAGCGTGTCCTAGCTACGCTGAACACAAGCACCAAGACTATTATAGTTCTCATGAAAATTGATGAAACAACATGACTCAGGTACAGATATTCTTTAATAAGAGAAATCCTTCAGTATCCTCCATTCTGCGCGCAAACTCCCAGTAGCTTTTTGAGAGACTTACATCAGAGTGATAACAAGGCTCCTGAACAATTTTCAGTGCACCTGTATACCAATTTTCGAGTAAGCTTTCCTCTATAATCCACAGAGTGGCACTTTGATGCTGAATTTAACAAATATGATAATATTAGGCGCTAAATCCTGTTTGACAAGTAAGAAGCAAGAGCAAGAACAGGAGGGCCTAGAGTCATTACAGGGAGGTGAGAACAGCCCTTGAACGTCGACTAGTATGATAGCTAGATGGAGCAGAAGTGGAAACGGCCATTGAATGCTAACTAAGATAACGACTGCATCAAGCGGGTATCTGCAGCTGCATGGGGTTCCGTGACTATATAATCAATCAAAAGATATCGCCTCCGTGACCAAAAGTAATTTAAATGAGACTCTCAGAAAAAAAGAGTAGCCAAAGAAGGAAAATCTACGTATATGGCCAATTGGTTCTTCGGATGCGAGTAGAAATTACCGAGAGCTCTACAGTGGGGAACTGAGAAATCTTAAGCCATAATCTGTACTGCTTCTATTATGCAAAATATAGGTGCTAGAAAGAAGACCTGTTAGGGAAAGGGAAAATAGAGTAGAGAGAAAAGCTTTTGATAGTTATCATTGTTCGTTCTTATGATTTTTTGCTAAGAAAACATAGGTCAGTTCTTCCATAACGACTTACCGAGACATCATCCTGGTCATACATAAAATTCAGAGGTGAGAACAGGCCAGATTATACTACATGTAATTGAGATTATCTAGTTTGGGAAGAGATGAAAACAGATTATCGGGTACGCTGATAGGTTATCTCAACATTTGAACAAAAAGTGCTTCATTATCACATCTAAATGATAACAGAAAGTAAGAAGTGGGCTAATTCATCTTTTATGGACAGGAAAATTCATCAATTCTGTCAGTTACGTGGAATATGTACAATTTGCAATTATATGTTTCACGGGACTGTTACTGTAGATTTGCCAATTTTACATATATAGTCAAGGACGCATATTATTCAGCCTTAGATACAGAAACCCCAAAAAATCGGTATTATCTTGTGCTAATTGATTCAAATAGAGACTTTCAAAGTATCTCCAGTCCTTTTATTTTATAGAATATCAATTTGAGGATGCAATTGTAAGGATTTAGAGAGAATTATATCCAAGTTAGGAGCTATTTCATACACTGATCAATAATGGCGTGTAAAAGACCTCGTAATGAGAAAACCTGACACCACAGAATATTTAAAACCAGATAATATAGCCTTGTGTTTTTCAATGGTCTATAACGATCATGTCATACATATGAGACTGATTACCGGGCACACCGACAGGTTCGATAGACGACTAGGCTATATACATGTACACTATTTTTTACACCATATGAAAAGCTTTAGGAGAAATGTAGATGTTTAGATTATACTACCACACTTATAACAGCAAGGAAGCAAGCACGCTTCTAATATTCCCAAGTGATGAAGGAGATGTATAATAATTTCTGATACATATAAAGGACCCTGTCTTTACCATCTACCAGATAGATAGAACATGGACCTGATTCACTACTGCTATACATAGTGTACCACATGCTCTGAGGTTCCAGATAAGGATACATCATTTTTCATTCATTGGCACTAAGAATACTCTCCATTTATAACGGTTGGGTTCTTGATCAGTATTGTTTCACGCATACCCGTTGTAGAAGGAGTTTAGAAATTAGATGAAATTTCATGGGGATATGAAATTGACCTAAATAGAATGCCTATGTCTAATGCAAACAGGTTGTAAATGGTTTTTTAAGAGTATACTTGAGCTAGAAAGGACAACAGATGTTATTCATGGTCACACTGACAAAGTACTATCATGTTTCTCGGAATGGGGCTTGAGCCTATCTCGGTTATAGTGTTACGAAAAATACGAGTATTGTCTGATATATGTAGTCAAATTGTCAGAGTGTCGATACATAGCTAGACCACAAGGAGCGTAGTACAAATTTTCTTAGAAAGGCAGAACTGATATTAGTCCAATCATTAGTTTTACGGTGGAGACTCCTCGCTATAACAGTGGATATGCGTCATCACCCCAGTAGAAAGCTCTAGTCAAACTTGGTAGAGATTGTGGCAGATATCTCAATATTCAAAATACCCCAAGAGGTGAATGTAACTACCATTTCTCACATTTGTAGTTTTCTTGTACCTCTAATTAATATTAATAAACGAACTGTTTCTGATTTGTAATAACTTGGGCTCAGAATAGATAAGTGATATTGAAACATAGTGTATGTAAATTGCCATACGTACACGTAGAGTTAAAGAAATGCAAAGATGCAACCTGATACTGGAGATCATTATTCTTCAATATGCTACTTAATTGTAATATCGGCTTATTGAGATTTGTATACTACTCAAGCAGTATTAAGTATTGACGTATTTTAGTTGTGGTTCATGGATTCTCAAAGCTCTTCCCCACTAGCTGATATGGCTAAACATAAATTTCGTACAAATCAGGTTCAAGAGAGCGAAAAATAGCAATGGAATACAATTAAGTGATTTCAATGTGAAACCCATAAACGCCAAGCAATAACATGTTGTGAACTACAAGAGTACAGCAGCTTATATTGTAAATTTCTACCTGGAGAAGACAGTTAAGAAGTAGCAATATTCCTTTAGTACTGGAGTTTGTGTCATTTTAAAGGATTTTACCTATTGTAGAAGTGTCAGCTTAGATTATCCTCTTATTCGCTCGAAGCTTCATTGGTCTGCTACAACAGGACTATATCTCTAACCTGATAAAAGTATGTTAAGATACATATAAAATTGGATTTACGGGTGTATCTAAGGTAGCAAGGAACTTTGAGTTTAGTAGCTCAGATATTCTTTTAAGCGAACATGCGTAAGAACTGAGATTGGATGCTACCGACATAAACTATCAACAATACACCGTATTGACGGAAATAAATATGATAAATAGCTCTAGAATGACACCATTACGGCCAAGTCATGTGAAAAGGTCCTTTCGATGAAAGATTCATACAGACAAAATGTACTACCCCTACTACAAAGTTTACCTACTGAGACAATTCTCCATTTACGTTGTAATACAGTTGATGGAATGACAAGAAATTTTATCGAAATACAACAACTGAGATATACTTATCTCCGATAAGATTCAGTAACTTTAACCTCAATAGGGGAAGTGACAAGAGACAAATGAGCAGCTGTAAACGAGTGTTACGGAAGATCTTTCAGAATTCGAGGCTGTGCTTCCGAAGTACATGTAGGCTATTGCCCAATTTCTCAACCTGAGACGCTTAGATTCGGAGATGTATCTTTGAATTATGGTAAACCACTGCAAAAGTGCCTATTTGTCAGATAGTCATCAACTGACGTACCCTGTATGGAGATAGTAGAACCATATATTATTTACTATTCATAATTTATGTATACACATTTAAATTCATTATGCTACTAAGAATAGCAGTAAATTAACGTCTGTAATTCGGTTAGATGCTACTCAGGGTGTCCTTGCAACAAGGATCCAGGCTTGACAACCATTGGAACATTTAGATCATTTCACGCCGTAGAACCTGTGTTAATCTATGCTATATTGTGCGCCATACCTGACAATATAGTGGTTTGAATAATTATTAGTCATATTAAACTTCACCGTTATCGTTATTGCAGCCCAATGGTTCTATCCTAACTGAAAGTCACGGAAGATCCTAGAGTCATGGCAGGCTACGGAACATATACCCTATTGCCATACTTTACATCTCAGTATCTTATTGGATAGATAGTTGCGAATCATCAGTACGAAGTTTCTTCATATATACTTCGATGCTTCAAGCATGTTATGGTTTACAGTAACTCATACAATAAGCATTGTTATATTCTTTGGGGTACAAGTTTATGTATCCCATGTTCTCAATTATATTTCTGATCTCAATTTGAGCTTTGGCCTGGAAAAAAGTCGATTTATT